CAGCCCTTGTAGCCCTGAGGATACCCAATGAACATGCATTTCTCCATGTGAGATCCGAGTCCTTCTCTCTTGTCCTTCTGCACGTGCACATAGGCAGTGCAACCCCAGACTCGAAGGTGGGAGACATCTGGCTTCCTTCCATGCCACAGTTCGTAGGGAGTGGCGCTTTTCACTGCGCTTGTGGGGCATCTGTTCCACACGTGCACTAGGGCACCTAGAGCCTCGCCCCAGAATGCTTTAGGTAGGCCAGTTTCATCCAGCATGGTGGTGATGCGCTCAGAGAGCAGCCTGTTGGCTCGCTCTGCAACACCATTCTGCTGAGGACGTGCTCGGACTGTGTGCTGCCGTTCTATGCCGCAGGAGTTGGTGAACTGCAAGAAAGCATTGCTCATGTACTCCCCTCCCTTGTCGTCCCTCAGGATCTTGATTTTTCGCTCTGACTGGTTCTCAGCATAAGCCTTGAATGTCTTGAAGGCCTCAAAGACATCAGACTTTGCTTTGATGGGCAGGACGAATCTGAATCTGGAGTAGTCGTCTATGAAGGACACCCAATAGCGAAATCCTGAGAAGCTGGGGTGAGGGACTTGGTGCACGTCGGTGTGGACGAGCTCGAGAGGCCTGGAAGCGCGCCATTCAGAAGGAGGGAAGGGGTTTGCGTGCATCTTGCCAGCTAGGCATGGTTCGCAGATAGGATCTGGTGCAGATTTCGACTCTATGGTCATCCCAGTGACGAGCTTCTCCCTTATAAGCGTCTTAATACCTTCTAGGTGATGGTGAGCGAGCCTCCTGTGCCATAGGTCGAAGTCTAGGGGCAGAGTCGCAGCTGCAGACGCATATTCAGTTAATTGCAACAGTAGAACCATCCAGGAATGCAGCATTCGAGTTGCTGATGCTGGCTACAAAGAGTGGGGTACCAGTGGGGCGTTCGAAGGACATCTTAGATGCATTAATGAGCACAGTGAACCCCATGTTGCGAGTTAGATATAGGACAGATAGTAGATTATTTCGCAAATCTGGTACATGAAGGACTCTAGTGAATTCTACAGCTTCGACACGCCTCCCATTAATGACTGGACTGAATACCACTGTGCCCTCGCCAGCTGAATAGACTATGTTGTTGTCTGCGAGCTTGATGGGGACGCGTTTGGGCGCATAATTGCGCAGCCAGTGACGATGGGGGGTCATGTGAGAGGTAGCACCTGTGTCTGCATTCCAGTCAGCATGTGCATCGAGTTGCAAGGGGCAAAGTGGATGGGATGGGTCAAAAGTGCGAAGACTTGCATTACCAGCAAATTCTGTGACCTGTTGGGCGCTCTGGGAGGTGTTCTGGGCAGTGGTCGAGTTGGAGGCAGGTGCAGCGGTGTTGGGAGAGGGTGTAGACGCTGCGGACGATGATTGGGACGCCTCAGAAGCCTTGTTAGCGCTCCTTCCACCTTTTCGACCATCGTTTTTGGTCTTGCGACGATCCTTATCACCTTTAAGACTCCTGCACTTGTGGGTGCAGTGACCAGGCTTCTCGCAGTACCAGCAGGTGACAGAGGTGCCGCATCTACAGTCTCCAGACGCAGTAAACAGCGCTGCATCGGTCCCAGAGCCTTCAGGACGTCTCCTCCTTTGGGTTTCCTCAGCCAGGAATGCTGCCTTCAGTTCCTCCTTGTCCAAGGACTTGAGTAGCATCAAAGACGACGCAAAATTGGAGTACTCCTCGCCCAGGGAACGAACCATGGTCATGCAGACCAGCTCTTGGTCGAGTTCCTTGATGGTGTAAGGCTTGGATGGGTCTGAGGGTCGAAGCTCCTGGACTTTGGACATGCCATCTTCGATCCTGGCAATGAGGGTGCTCAAGGACTCGTCAGGCTGCTTCCTAATAGAGAAGAAGTCGTCCCAGGCATTGAAGCGCGCGCCAGGACGCTTCTGGAGGTGCGTGGAAGCCAGGGTGGTCCAAATCTTGACAGGGTCGTCCTGGACAGCATCGATATGGGTCCTTTGCTCTACAGAGCACGCCAGATACAGCTCCCCAGCTGCCTTGTCTGCCTTGGTGTCCCACTTTGCTGCAGCTTCTGACTCTGTAGGTCGAGTCTCCATGCCATTGACGAGCAACCAGAGACCCTTGACTCGAAGATAGGCCTTCATCTCACCCTTCCAGGTAGCATAGTTGGTAGAAGTGAGTTTGGTGACAGTGGGAATAGATTTGGAGTCTTCTGAGGACATGGCGAAGGAGACGGCGCAGTTTTGCAGCAGTGGGACGAATTAAGGGCAAGGGCTTGGTAGAATTCAAAGGAAAGGCTGTCTTTGCTGATTTTCAACAAAGAGAGCAAGGAATAATGGGTGGGGAGAGTACCAGTGGCTGGATGCGAGAGGAGGGAAAATGCGCACTAAGTTGGCCCAAAGACAGTGAACTCCAGCGACAGATTTGACTGCTAAAGCGCAGGGCTCATAACCTATTAGAAGAACTGAGAGTTCAAAGTCAATGCACTGAATATTATTGTGTAAATAAGTAAAGTACTATACCTGAGAGTTCAAAGTCAATGCACGAAGCATGTAAGACTTGTGAACTCTGCACTATGGGCGAGTCTATGTAAACAAATATAAACAATTCCTAGTATGGTATGTGTCCTCGAAGTGTCTTAGAGGTCTGTCCTCAAAGTGTCCTCGAAGTCCTCGAAGTCCTCGAAGTTATCTACTAATATAGTAATGTCCTTGAAGTGTCCTTCAAGTCTTCGAAGTCTTAGAAGTCTTCGACCTATCTAGTGTGAAGTCACCACACAACTAACACCATGGGACTGGTAAAAGATACTGATGTGCTTGGCGTTGCAGTGTTACCGGATGTCGAAGGTGATGAGGAGGCTCTGGAAGATGGATGGGATGCCATTCTGGTTTGATATATAGTACCCTTACTGAATGTACATTACCCTGACTGTCTATAACATATGGTGACCTTGATTTCGCGGTGCTACCCATGGGTGACCCACTGACCCACGGAAACCCACTCGACCCATCACATAACCCATGACCCACAGTACCCTTGGGTGGTGGGTATGAGTATTTGGTGGGTACGAGTACGGGTTAGCGTGTGGCAACCCATGGGTTACCCATGCTATTGCCTAGTGCCTCCTCCATCTTGCGTTTCAGGGTGCGACCTTCAACACTTCAGCAAGGAGCTTTGGATAATGTTGGAGCAAAAAAAAACTCACTGAACATTGTAACTTTCTTCCAGTTCCAGTTCCAGTCGCTGAAGTGATTGTCTAGCGTATCACATCGACTCTCTGGTCCCATCTCTTTCATGCTTGAGGCAACTCAATTGATATTTGCCCACCCGCGTTCGGGTGCCTCTCCATTGGTCCTTCCTACAAACCTGGCCAAATTCCACAAGAACATCGTCTGGCAGGCGGCGATGTGAGCTCCGATGTGGAACTTGGGAACAAAGTAACGAATCTGCATTACATCATGCAGCACATGCAAATGAGCTGGCATGGAGTCCATCCTGGTCCATAGTTTCTTTGACCACTGGTATGCGATGTCATATGAGATGTTGAGAGTTGTGACCATAAACCCAATCAGGGCTGAAAATACAAAGTAGTCCATATTAAGGTACCTACAGTTCGTTGTCAATTAACAGGCCAAACAAATTCAAGCATAACTTACTTTTCACCCTTTTGAAGATCTCCTACCTCAGTTGGCAATTTGAACTCATGGCGTGCACAGTCCACAGTACCGACACCAGTTGCCGCTAGGCCACGTGCTGATTTCGTGTCGGCCATGTTAACTGTGTTGTGGCTAACACAGGTGCTACGCTAGAAAAGGTTTGTGTCAGACATTACAAGTAGATACAAAACTACACATACCTCTTGTTTCTCACCTGACCGCGCAGATAAATAACTCTTGTACTTTGTTTCCTCCACAAAGTATGCCCAACCTGCATTCAAGCCTGGATCAACGTCATCTGAAGAGACCACTTTGCATTTGAGGCGGAAATTCACATCTATTGTGATAAACAGTGCATACAGCCACCTGCGGTGAAGGATGAGTGTACTGCAACCAAAGTTAAACAAAATTCTGTTAGTTGTGTGGTGACTTCACACTAGATAGGTCGAAGACTTCTAAGACTTCAAGGACTTTGAGGACACTTCAAGGACATTACTTTATTAGTAGATAACTTCGAGGACTTCGAGGACACTTTGAGGACAGACCTCTAAGACACTTCAAGGACACATATCATACTAGGAATTGTTTATATTTGTTTACATAGACTCGCCCATAGTGCAGAGTTCACAAGTCTTACATGCTTCGTGCATTAACTTTGAACTCTCAGTTCTTCTAACAGGTTATGAGCCCTGCGCTTTAGCAGTCAAATCTGTCGCTGGAGTTCACTGTCTTTGGGCCAACTTAGTGCGCATTTTCCCTCCTCTCGCATCCAGCCACTGGTGCTCTCCCCACCCATTATTCCTTGCTCTCTTTGTTGAAAATCAGCAAAGACAGCCTTTCCTTCAAATTCTACCAAGCCCTTGCCCTTAATTCGTCCCACTGCTGCAAAACTGAGCCGTCTCCTTCGCCATGTCCTCAGAAGACTCAAAATCTATTCGCGCTGTCACCAAACTCACTTCTACCAACTATGCTACCTGGAAGGGTGAGATGAAGGCCTATCTTCGAGTCAAGGGTCTCTGGTTGCTCGTCAACGGCATCGAGACTCGACCTACAGAGACAGAAGCTGCAGCAAAGTGGGACACCAAGGCAGACAAGGCAGCTGGGGAGCTGTATCTGGCGTGCTCTGTAGAGCAAAGGACCCATATCGACGCTGTCCAGGACGACCCTGTCAAGATTTGGACCACCCTGGCTTCCACGCACCTCCAGAAGCGTCCTGGCGCGCGCTTCAATGCCTGGGACGACTTCTTCTCTATTAGGAAGCAGCCTGACGAGTCCTTGAGCACCCTCATTGCCAGGATCGAAGATGGCATGTCCAAAGTCCAGGAGCTTCGACCCTCAGACCCATCCAAGCCTTACACCATCAAGGAACTCGACCAAGAGCTGGTCTGCATGACCATGGTTCGTTCCCTGGGCGAGGAGTACTCCAATTTTGCGTCGTCTTTGATGCTACTCAAGTCCTTGGACAAGGAGGAACTGAAGGCAGCATTCCTGGCTGAGGAAACCCAAAGGAGGAGACGTCCTGAAGGTTCTGGGACCGATGCAGCGCTGTTTACTGCGTCTGGAGACTGTAGATGCGGCACCTCTGTCACCTGCTGGTACTGCGAGAAGCCTGGTCACTGCACCCACAAGTGCAGGAGTCTTAAAGGTGATAAGGATCGTCGCAAGACCAAAACGATGGTCGAAAAGGTGGAAGGAGCGCTAACAAGGCTTCTGAGGCGTCCCAATCATCGTCCGCAGCGTCTACACCCTCTCCCAACACCGCTGCACCCGCCTCCAACTCGACCACTGCCCAGAACACCTCCCAGAGCGCCCAACAGGTCACGGAATTTGCTGGTAATGCAAGTCTTCGCACTTTTGACCCATCCCATCCACTTTGCCCCTTGCAACTCGATGCACATGCTGACTGGAATGCAGACACAGGTGCTACCTCTCACATGACCCCCCATCGTCACTGGCTGTGCAATTATGCGCCCAAACGCGTCCCCATCAAGCTCGCAGACAACAACATAGTCTATTCAGCTGGCGAGGGCACAGTGGTATTCAGTCCAGTCATTAATGGGAGGCGTGTCGAAGCTGTAGAATTCACTAGAGTCCTTCATGTACCAGATTTGCGAAATAATCTACTATCTGTCCTATATCTAACTCGCAACATGGGGTTCACTGTGCTCATTAATGCATCTAAGATGTCCTTCGAACGCCCCACTGGCACCCCACTGTTTGTAGCCAGCATCAGCAACTCGAATGCTGCATTCCTGGATGGTTCTACTGTTGCATTAACTGAATATGCGTCTGCAGCTGCGACTCTGCCCCTAGACTTCGACCTATGGCACAGGAGGCTCGCTCACCATCACCTAGAAGGTATTAAGACGCTTATAAGGGAGAAGCTCGTCACTGGGATGACCATAGAGTCGAAATCTGCACCAGATCCTATCTGCGAACCATGCCTAGCTGGCAAGATGCACGCAAACCCCTTCCCTCCTTCTGAATGGCGCGCTTCCAGGCCTCTCGAGCTCGTCCACACCGACGTGCACCAAGTCCCTCACCCCAGCTTCTCAGGATTTCGCTATTGGGTGTCCTTCATAGACGACTACTCCAGATTCAGATTCGTCTTGCCCATCAAAGCAAAGTCTGATGTCTTTGAGGCCTTCAAGACATTCAAGGCTTATGCTGAGAATCAGTCAGAGCGAAAAATCAAGATCCTGAGGGACGATAAGGGAGGGGAGTACATGAGCAATGCTTTCTTGCAGTTCACCAACTCCTGCGGCATAGAACGGCAGCACACAGTCCGAGCACGTCCTCAGCAGAATGGTGTTGCAGAGCGAGCCAACAGGCTGCTCTCTGAGCGCATCACCACCATGCTGGATGAAACTGGCCTACCTAAAGCATTCTGGGGCGAGGCTCTAGGTGCCCTAGTGCACGTGTGGAACAGATGCCCCACAAGCGCAGTGAAAAGCGCCACTCCCTACGAACTGTGGCATGGAAGGAAGCCAGATGTCTCCCATCTTCGAGTCTGGGGTTGCACTGCCTATGTGCACGTGCAGAAGGACAAGAGAGAAGGACTCGGATCTCACATGGAGAAATGCATGTTCATTGGGTATCCTCAGGGCTACAAGGGCTGGAAGTTCTACAATACCACTACTAAGAAGACAGTAATATCAGAACGAGCTGATTTCGATGAAAGATATTTCCCCCTCTCGAAGCGCCCTACTGAGCCTTCAATACCAGTCCCTACTGCACCTACACTTGCACCAACTCGCCCTACTGTCCCACCTATTCCACAGACACAAAGGACATTCCCAATACCTGACGATTCAGATGCTGATGATGAATCCAGCTCTGATGAGTATCAGGATCATGGGGGGAGCAATGGTCCTCCAGATGCGCCTCCTGCTGCCCCTGTAGTCCCTAATATTAATCCAGATCCTCCTCACGTCCGAGCCTCGTCTCCAACTCCATCCCCACCACCATCTCCACCTCCTAGACCGCCCTCGCCCATTGGCATTGGAGCCAGACTGCCCAGGCGCAATAGAACCAAGCCTAGAGAGTGGTGGAAGCTATCTCCAGCCCAACTACACTCTGATGTCAATGATGACATTGAGGACGCGGCTGGAAAGAAGGTCATAGGCTGCAAGTGGGTGTTCAAGGTGAAGCGCAATGCAGACGGATCTGTAGAGCGCTACAAAGGCAGATTGGTGGCCAAAGGCTACAATCAACGACCTGGCTTCGACTACCTCGAAATATTTGCGCCCACAGTCAGAATGTCCAGCATAAGAGTCGTCCTAGCCATGGCCGCCATTCACGACCTCCACCTGCGCTCTATAGACATATCTCATGCCTACCTCAATGGGGAGATGGACTGCGACGTCTACATGGAGCAGCCTGAGGGATTTGTTGAAGGAGATGCCAAAGAGATGGTTTGCTTGTTGAAGAAGAGCATATATGGCACCAAGCAAGGAGGCAACAGATGGAACCAGAAAATGCGCTCTGTGCTCGAGTCTTTGGGCTACACTCAGTCCTACTCGGACGCGTCCATCTACATCTATCTAAAGGACAATGTAAGGATCATTCTGCCAGTCTTCGTAGATGACATGACCTTTGCTTCGAAATCTGCTGCTGCCATCGACCGCACCATCAAGGAGCTCTCCCAGCACTTCAAGCTTCGCAATCTCGGTCCCACCACTCAGCTTCTGGGCATCAAGATAGACAGAGACTGGTCTAAACACTCCATCACCATATCTCAACAGCAGTACTGTCTAGACATCCTCGAGCGTTTTGGCATGGCTGATTGCAAGCCCATATCCACTCCCATGCAGCCCAACCTTCGACTCAGTCGCTCCCAGAGCCCCCAGACGCCTGAAGAGGTCCAGCTCATGAAGACCGTCCCATACCTAGCTGCAGTAGGCGCCCTGATGTACCTGGCAACAACAACTCGACCAGACATTGCCCACACTGTTGGTTATCTTGCCAGATTCAACTCGAATCCAGGATTAGCTCACTGGCAAGCTGTCAAGCACCTGCTTCGCTATCTCAGAGGTACTGCCGACTACAAGATCACTTATGCGCCTGATCCATCAAGCACCGAACTGTTCTCAACCTATTCCGATGCTGATCATGGTGGATGCAAGGACACAGGGCGCTCCACTGGTGGATACTTGGTGAAGATTGGCTCTGGAGTCGTCTCGTGGTCTTCTAAGCTACAAAGCATTGTTGCGCTATCTACTACCGAAGCAGAGTACATCTCTGCAGTCTCAGCAGGCAAGGAGATCCGATGGATGCGAAACTTGCTGCAGGAGATGGGATTCTCCACCACTGCACCATCCATACTTAGAATAGACAACCAGAGCGCCATATCTGTTGCCAAACACCCAGAACACCACGGGAGGATGAAGCAACTGGATCTTAGTTGGTATTGGCTCAGAGACGTTGTTCACAAAGAGATAATTGCGCCTATCTTTGTGCCCACAGCTGATCAGCCAGCCGACATCTTGACAAAGTCTTTGAGTCGACCCAAGGTGGAACTATTTTGCAGAATGATGGGACTACACAGATGAGGGGGGAGTTGTTAGAGATTAGAGATGTGTTCAGTCAGGGGGGAGTGTTAGTTGTGTGGTGACTTCACACTAGATAGGTCGAAGACTTCTAAGACTTCGAAGACTTGAAGGACACTTCAAGGACATTACTATATTAGTAGATAACTTCGAGGACTTTGAGGACACTTCAAGGACATTACTATATTAGTAGATAACTTCGAGGACTTCGAGGACTTCGAGGACACTTTGAGGACAGACCTCTAAGACACTTCGGGGACACATACCATACTAGGAATTGTTTATATTTGTTTACATAGACTCGCCCATAGTGCAGAGTTCACAAGTCTTACATGCTTCGTGCATTGACTTTGAACTCTCAGGTACAGTACTTTACTTATTTACACAATAATATCAAGTGCATTGACTTTGAACTCTCAGTTCTTCTAACACAAAGTCCTCAAAGTTATCTACTAATATAGTAATGTCCTTGAAGTGTCCTCAAAGTCCTCGAAGTTATCTACTAATATAGTAATGTCCTTGAAGTGTCCTTCAAGTCTTCGACCTATCTAGTGTGAAGTCACCACACAACTAACATGGACTGCGCTCTTGAATATACTTTACTTGGTTGAGATGTGGTCTCAATAATACAAAGATATTGACCAAAACTCGTAGTTGGTCAATTTGTTACATGTGGTGAGAAGCTGGTCTCAAATGTCACAAGTCTCTATAGTGAGAAACTTATGTAATCTCAAGGGTCCCTGCACTTGTTTCACTTCAAAGGCACTGGCTTTGTAAGCAGAATATCTGACAGACATATTTTCACAAATGGGAGATCTATTATTTTGGCAGAGAATTGGCTCTTCTTATATACATTTTGTGTCGGAAAGTGACCTAGGTTCACAAACAACAAAAAATAAGGAGGACCAATCAAAATATTGGGTCAAACCCTAATAAAGGAATAAAAATAGGGAGCTATGACATCATTGTGGAGCAAAAGATTTTAGAACTTTCCATGAATGAGTCAGAGTGAGTCATTGTGGAGCAGAACATTCTAGAATGATGTCATTTTGGAGTAGAATAATCTAGAGCTTGATGACATAATATCTTTCAACAGAATACCTGAAGGAGTATCTGTGGAGCCTTATGACATCATACCCTGTAGGTATAATTTTATGAAGTATCAGGTGAGTCAAAGCTTCCTAATGAAAAAGTAAAGTAAAGAAACACTACAGAAGACTATGTAGCTAAAAAAATAACACTACTAGCAAAGATACAGTAAATCAAAGTGGGTAAAAAATAATACAGTTGGCAGGATTTGAAACAGTCTCAAAAATAATGCAGTTGGCAGGAATTGAAACATGGTCTTAAAAAATAATGTGGTTGGCGGGAATTGAAATGCAGTCTCAAAATAATGTGGTTGGCAGGATTTGAAATGTGGTCCTTGGTTGTGTCATATCCCATATATCCATGCTTCTCATCCGGACCTCGGACCCTAGATCTGATCTGATCTGATATACAGATCCTCTTCCAATCTGAGATACGATAAGCTTCCTATTCATTTCCTGTTCATATAACGTTAATCACAGCCTATTCCTTTATTCGGTATTCCTTGTTCCTGGTATCTCGGTTATCCTTACTTCCGGCTATGCTTTATGATCCGTTAACCTGTGCTAATTTCCAACTCGCATTTAACTTGTGATAAACTTTTCTTATACTTTGTGCATAGCCTCGGATAGTCTTCTAGTATGTAAACCCTTGTATATGCCCTGTAATACCTCAGTTCGAATATCATCTTAGTTTGTTCTCTTTCTGTCCTCCGGACTCAAGCCTAGCTAAGCTCTTGTCGCATTCCGAGACTTAAGGATTGTATCCTATAAGTCTACATCTCCGACTCTATCTTTGGATAGTCTATACTCTGTTGTTTTCTAGTCCGGACCTGTCCGGATTAGTCTTATGTGTGCTTCTGTTATCCGGATGACCTTCGGATATCATTACGGTACTCATCTGATCCTCCAGACATGTTATATCTCCCTCTCTGAAATAAGGGGCAATACTTGGGAAAGGCGCACAGCATACGAGCTGAGGCCAAAGCCCTATCGGATCCGTTAATACGAGAGCATGACCTTAACAGTTGACTAGTCTGAGGACTAAGCTAACAGACTTTGTCTTTTGAGGGTCACCTAGTAGTCATGTCCATGCATGATTCCCACATCATGCAGGACAACACCAGCTGACATTCTCTGATGCATAGATCCCATATATGATCATGAACACACAATTGTATGTGCAAGACCAGTTGACTGCATCCCACGAACAACCTGTCCGAAACAAATCGTCTGTATCAGAAAAATGTAAGCACTTTGTGACCCCTTCACTTGTAAACTCAGCCCTCGCCTCACCTCCTCCAGGTATTCTTGGTACTTTGTGAGGATGTCCTTCTTCAACACCAGCTGCAATGTGATTGACTGGTGCTCTCAACCTTTTACATGTCTTTAAGCTGCAAGAAGGTTGTTGGGTCACAGTTGTGCAGACAGGTGCCAGAAGTAAAGTCTTTTCGGCCTCAGGGTCAGGTAGAGGTATCAATCCCCCTTCACACAGGCCATGATGAATGTATGTGTTGTGTTCAATAGCTTCAAAGTGTCAAACCTCACGAATAAGATCTACCAGCAGAGGTTTGTTGAGTTGGTCCAATGTTATGGGCTGCAGGATGCACAACCCATCACACATCCAAGCACACGACACTGTGACATATGCACCAAAGCCTCCCTTGTGCAAGTTGACAAGGACACTTGGCAATGTCTTGCCCTGTGCAGAGTGCCCTGTGACAGCAAAGGCTGGCTGTATAGGCAGCTGGTGGTAAGTGATCTGTAGCTTGTATTCAGCACCATCCTCATTGAGCAGTAGGGTGGTAAATGACCATGTCACGGGAACAACAACAGGAAAATAATGGAGTGGCAAATTGCTGAGCTGAACTTTTGATGCAGGGAACTCTACAATTGCACACTTCACATATGTCAGTCCTGAAGGACAGACTGCAGTGTCAAGGTGATGCACAATGCCCCGCAAACCATTCATTATACCCAAATCCATTGAAATGTTTCTCACACAGAGTATGACTGACATGCCAACATACAATGGAAACACACCAGGCAATGCATTTGACGACTTGACATTATTGAAATTCAGACCAAGGAGTTTTTTCTGGTCTTCAAGAGTCAATTCACGGTGAGCACAATGATCTACTGCATTACTAGAGACCAAAACACATGATTCACAGGACACAACAGCTTTTTGTGCATTCAGCATCTCTCAAAGGTTGTTTGTAGACACAATCAGCAGCCGCTGCAAAATTCTGCAGAGTACCCATGTCTACACCCAACAAGTTGTTACATGACTTGATGACCCGACTGTTGAATAACTCCACATCATTGTATGTACATTCTCTTACTCTGAGGGGGCTAACAGCTTGGCCGTATGCAGGATCTGCCTTCATACATTGCTGCTCTGTGAGGGTCACTATAGTGTTGATTGTCTTCCATGCGAGGTGGCCCAGGCGCTTTTGTACCTCGTCATCCATTTGGCCTGCATAACATGATATATGTGTGTATAGAGCACTACCACCAACAGGGGGATATTGAAAGAAATCTCCAGACAAGATGAGTGCAATGCCACCAAACCACAAATCAGGTTGTTCCTTGGCAAATCACAGAGTGTGGTCCACTTGTGCTAATAACTGTAAGCTCAGCAGTGAACTCTTGTCAACCAACAAATACGCTACATTTTTCCACTCTTTACGTAGTTGAGTCTTCTGTTGATTGCTCGCGATGACAGAGTAATCTTCCATAGAGTCTCCCAATGCACAGTTGCCTTTGCCTTTGTTGCTGGTCTTGATTTTGATACCAAGCCCCTTATGAATCATCATCCCATCAATGAGTGCTGCGGCCAATTCCATAGGTGCCAGAAATCGTATGATGTGTCAATAACTGTAATAGTCTATAACCACTTGCACCACTTTCACTACATGTGTCTTCCCTGTGCCACCAGGCCCGGTCATCAACATAGTAAGTTGCTCAGTTGTATCTGCCTGTTTCTCTATGAACCTGTGTATGAAATGTTCAGCAATAATACAAAATGCATGCCATTGTTTCTCATTGAGGTTAAATTCTTCCCCAATCTGTTGGACAACAGCAGCTGGGGACAACTTGTCATGAGGCTCAGGTGCAGATTCAGTGTGTGGAGGGCTTCACCAGGAGGTGGTTTGATGTCAGCAAGTCATTGAGATTGTTTCAGAAGAAGGATTAACTGGTTAATCTTGAACTCCTCTTGGGTGCTGCAACATATTCTAAATGGGTCTACTGGTAGAACATCTACATCGTTGTCTATTCCACATGATAGTGGACTACTATCTTTCTTTGGAGTTCCACCGGTGAGTTGGGCTCATTTACGCAAATGATCTGCAACTTGTTTGTCCTTATATTCATGAACAGCCTCCCAGTGCTTCATGATTGCCAAACTCCATGGCAAAAAGGCATAACTGTCAAAAGCTTGTTGCACAGATACCTGTGGTGGAATAAGAGGTGCTGTGTGGATGAATGGTTTGAAGTGAGCCAGTGCAAACAGAGGCCATTTTTAGGATCCATGCTACATGGGATACTCATGCCAACCACTCTAGGAATATATTCATGTGTTCCTTCACCTCATGCACTGTTTGTATGCTCTAAGAGTTCATGTGTTTGGGAAAGTAGGTGTTCATCTAGGAGCACATGACAGCATAAGACTCCCATATGAGTCTCATGTGTGTTCTTAATATCCTTGCTTTTGGCCTTGGTTTGCAACCAGACACAACGACAGAAATCATAGAAACACATGTCAGCCAGGGAAGACCCACGAAACAGGTAGTGATGTATTTGGTTACATTCTACAATTTGACCATCTTCATTGGTCGCAACATGCATACGAACATCTTCATGCTTCTCATGACCACCTGGATCTTTGGTGATCTCTTCTGGTTCTTCAATGAGCTCATCTTCATCAGAAACATCTTTGGCGACCGACCCTACTGGATGTGGAGATGCATCATGCAATTGCATACTTTCTTGGACATATAAGATCAACAGTGACGAGAGCATTGAGACTGTGACATGTGAAAGGATCCCATCACCAAAGCCACATATATAACAAGCAGCCTGTTGTGCATGGATTTGCTGCTGCCGAGTGAACTGGGACAAGCATTTATGAAGTAATGTTTTGGCAGCAGCGCTGGGAGATTCCCCCACAGTGTTGTTTGGAAGTCGTGCAACAGCACGAGACAGAAGGGACAACATCTCATATGTTTTAGTGTCCATCTTTGTGATATAGTCTGAAATATAAAACATCACAGCTTTCGCACTTTTGCCAGACAGGATGCACCTCAGGTCATGATTGTGGCGACAGAACACAAGAATGTTGGGATTGAAATAGTTGACAGTGCCATCTCTACACTTAAAAATGACAGAGTTTGTGGCAGCCTTGAAAAATGACCTCTCTACTATCTCATGAGGGAACAAGAACTGACATGTATTGTCATTGCCATACTTGTGACAAACTGCTCGACATGTATGCTGCTGCAAGGCCTCACCACATTGTTTCACTTAAGTCATAATTGCAGACTCCCATTCCTTCTCAATGGCAACACTAGCGTCATTGTTTAGGATCTCAATAGGTAGCTGCGGAGGCCACTCCACACAAGGGTCAAACTTGGAATCAATCTCAACCTTGATGTCTGGCAAATGATGGTGAATGATATCTTCAAAGAACTCAAAAAAGTGCTGTTGAAATCCTTCATCCTGAAGTTTCAGATGGAGGTCGGATGGATTGTTTCCTCCTTCCAGCCATATGAGGTAATGTCCATGAAGAGACCCTCTTTCTGTGTATTCAGATGAACCATAAAAAGCTCGGATGCGGCCAAAGAGACCTCCTTTTATAGAGGATTGTTGCTTTTCAAAATCCCACCCCAGAAGATGCTCAAAACAAGTACACCACATGAATTCGAAGAAGTCAGCTGCAGCCACAGGGTCCTGAGCCAGGTGCAATGCACGTTCACATCCACATACCAAACTCAGAAATTGTTGTGAGAGATCAACAGTGTGGTCGCCATACATCACCTGAAACACAGGACTGTGCACCGCACTTGGATTAAAGGTAAAAGAGAGGTGAGGCAAACCAAAATAACTAAAATAGCTCCGTATCTCATTTCGCACATAAATCTTCAATGCATGTGAGCCAGGAATGCAAGCTGAGACTGTGTTTACCTGCTGCAATAAAGCTATAGCACCTTTCTCCTGAACAGACAGCTCACACACCTTGTGTTTGTGCTCCAATTTGATGGCTAAGCTCTCTAGAACAGCAGCAGACACTTCAGTCAGTTTGCATCCCACCGAGTTGAAACTTGATTTGCGAACTGTGAAAAAGGTATGTACTGAGCCTGTTGTTCAAAAGAAAGTGAGGTTTCCCTTTCCTTGTCCTCAAAACCTCCTATGCTGTATGGAAAAAGAGTGGGAAACATTCCTGGCAAAAGATCTGGGTTTTTGTACTCAGGGATTGTGTCGCACCTTGATGAACAACTAAATCAGGTTGTTGACCAGATTTTGAGTGTAAGTTTCGAAGTGCGGCTGCAGTGCAAGCTCGCCCACTGATTTTCTCACATTCAGGATCAAATACACCCATCTTTTCCAGCATGACAACTGGCAATTGAGACACAACATGCATTTCTTCCCTATTGACAGATGAGTGAGTCTCTCCTAGCATATCAGCAGGATGATTAGAAAAACCTGCAGTCTCTTCCTCAAACACCTTCCGCACATCCAGATCATGGTCCTTGATTATGCCATCTGACAGTCCTGGCAACAGATCGTCCTCAGGGTACATCAATGCAATGGTGGAGTCCAAACTTATCACAGAATATAACCAATTATGGTGCTTCAACCACACCAAGAATCCCCATATTTTGCTGTGATAGACATGGAAAACAGTGCCAAGAACATTAGGATCAAATCTCCTAGGACCTACAAAGACCACACTAAGAAGGCCATTGATATCAGCAGGAGTGCAAGGCAAGACAGATGCAGTGGAAACAACATTCATCTCATGAGCACACATGTTGCCATGAAAAGTCTTCAGCTGTGCAGGATCAGAAGATTGGAACAGTCATGTCACATGAGCAGTGACACAGTACACAGCACAGATTTTCTCCTCAATCCAGGTCAGATCTTGAAACTGGATGGGAAGGTCACCACAGTACAAGTGGTTTCAAAGGGCAAGACAAGGTACCTTATCATGTTTGTGCAATGTTGCTTGACACGAGCTGCAGATGTTCAAGCTGACAGAGTCGTGTTCTATGGATATGACACCCTACATGGTCTAACATCAGGCCATCAATAAGCAGGCTACCAAATGTGAAACGAGGAGACAAAGTTTGTACAATACATTTCTGAATGATGAAATGATCAGTCACACAGAGAGGATTGAGATGAAGTTCACAGGCTTGAGAATCACCAATAACAAACAGCCGACAATCTCTCTGGTACTGAGCACAGACAGCGCAAACAGGGGGGACAGTCCACTGTGATGCTCTCAAATATGCATCCTGGCACTGAGCCACAGTATGTTTAGGAATGAGGACTGGCCATTGGTTTTGGCATTCAATGGTCTGCTCGACTGCAGCTGACACGTGTGTCGCTTTTCATTCACGACGGATAAGCTTGAGGTGCTCGGTCAGCATCAACAGATCAGAAGTCAATGCTTGAACCACAGGGGACCCATATTCAAATTCCAATATACAGCAGATTAAATCTGAAGTGCACACTGGAAATATATTGATGAACAGACTGTATGCAAGCCAGATGTCAGATAAGCTAGGAGAGCCTACAAGTTGCAGGTATAACACACGAGCGCGGATGTGGCAGACCAAGCCATTGGAGGTTTTGGAATGTGAGCAGCTATGCACCACAGGACAATGGGGCAAAGGCGATCTGCAGATATAGTCACATAGCAAGGCAAGCGAGATATTGCATAGACAGTGAACTAGATGGTCAGTAGACAACAACGTCGAAGGAAGCACACTATCACCGACACAATGATAGGCATATGTAGGAGGAGCTGGCCGATGAAGCACTGCAGCCACCTCTGCTCCATAAATATTTTGAAAGAAGGCAGAGAGCAGCAGGAGAAAATGACGATCACATTCAACCGGAAGGTTCACTGACACAAATTCTGTCAATAGATTGGGTATAGACTTGTTGATGAGAGTGGCACGCAGTTCAAGGAAATGGTGGGTAATGGTGGCAACGAAGTTGGATTTGGTGCAACAGATGACACACAAACCTGGAACATGTGAGATACTGTCAGATAAAGTAGAGGAAAGTACAGTGTCCAAGTGAAATTTGATTGTCTCCTCAGAACAAAAAAGCCAAGGGGGATATTGTACCAACATGTCAGCAAACGAAACAGATTGGCGAGAAGCAAGGGAGGGTTTACGCATGATGGAACAGTGGTGATAACCTGCACTCTCGAAAACACCAAGTGACAGCAAGAGAGTCACATCAGAGGACATGACAACAATGTGGACACGTCAAACAATAGACATCCTGTGAACGGTGTTCTACACACCAAGCAGGCGCAGTGATGGGACACAAGAGACTTCAGCAGCCAGGCACAGAAGGACTGAGCAGTTGCAAAAACAGCAGGATGATATTGGGGATAATAAAGTGCATCGTAATATTTGGGGTAATCACAAATAGCATGAACCGTTGGGGGAGGACAAATGGCCTCATCCACAACATGAGTGACGCACAAGGGCGCCTTGTTCAAAAATGCCCTAGAAAACAGAAAGTGAAAGGGTGATCAACAGGCAGGAGTATTGACTTACATGGGTGTGACGAGACATAGAGAGCACAGAGGGAGAGAGCTTTTAAACCCAAGGGCAAAGGTCTCAGATGACATAAAAATATGACCACACTGGGTGCGCAGGGCGAAGATGACACAGACGGATGACATGAATGCAAGCTGACATAATGTTTCCCACAGGATTTTTTGTAAAGAAAAATATATTTCTTGCCAACAGAACCCAGACTTGTAGTCGGGAAAGGACTTGAGATGTGTTTTTTGCGTGAGCTATGGGGCATTTTGCAACTCTACCATTTTGAAACTCTGGCCCAATGATAGTATGGGTCATTGTGGCCCTGTGGGATACTTCGCGCAAGTGGATGCGTTGGTATGCGGAAAGTGCATAGCTGCGTCAGGAGTGTTCTTCCCAATTGTCATATGCTACAATATAACCCAACCATCGTCATTGACAGAAAGGATCTTCAAATCCCCGCGCTTGAAAGCAAGTATCGACGACTATTTCATAGTTCATCATCTCGTAGCGCCTCTAGCGCTCTCAGAACCCCACGCGCTATATCCTCGCTCTTCTTCTCCAACGCTTTACCCCTTCCCCTTCCCTCACCTTGACCTCGTCCATGCCCTCGATTCACATCTGGATTCGTATCCACAGCCACAATATCGCCCTCGTCACTGAGTTCTTCCTCGAGATCATCATACAGCGCCAAAAAGTCTCGCACGTCTGTGATGAGCGTTTCGATAAGGACGTCGCCAAATATCAGTGATCGGTTGGTAGACAGCACTCGTATTTCGCGCGGAGCTGTGGGTGTGCAGAGGAGACCGAGAAGGACAGCGGTGTAACCTGCTAGGAAAGTGAGTTCTGGAGATGGAGGTATGTTGGATGTGGTCGATGTGGATAGGGCGGAAGTAGCTTTAAGTTCAGGGGATGTGGATGGGTAGCTATGGCTTGCAGAGGGAGAATTTTGCTTCTGACGTGTAGATGGTGACTTTCGACGGCCTACGGTTGGTTTACATTCGTGGCCAGACATGATTTTTGCTTTACGCGATGGATAACCAGTCGACACAGATACGGGACTGCCAAATGCCTGATATACAGACACCAAGCACGAGAGTAACGGTACCTGTGAAGATGGAGGACATGAACAGATATGCGAGCAGCTGCGACTGGAAGAGCAGGTGCGATTGAGGACTATGCGAAAAGAAGAAAAGTGTTGTCGACACAAATTCAGCAGCCGGAGAGAAAGAAACACTTACGAATGCGTCCCACCCCCTCACTCACTCCTCTACCTTCGATGCCCCCAGACGCCCAGTTCAGAAGCAACCCAAGCGCCAGGCAAAGCAAGTCGAAAGACTCGACACGTGTGAGGGTATATGGAGGAACTGATGTAGCCTTGCTTTTCCCTTTACCTATGCCATTTCCTTCGCTCAGTGCGCTGGCATCTCTACTCGGCGCACTGTTTTTATGCAATGTACCCTGTTTCCCGAGTCTACTTGACGCATTGCTTTTACGCGCAAGTTTGGACGGTGAGGGAACAGGAGGCGGTGTCCGTTTTCGAGGGGAACGCGTAGATGCATGCCAGGAGCCGGATAAAGGTGGGGAAGAAGCATCGATATCCTCTAGCTCCTGCGGTCTTACCGCATGTTGTTCATCCCCCCGTGTCGCTTCGTCATCCCGTCCTCCTTTGATCCAATCAGCACTAAGACTCCCAACCCATCCAGCTTGTGCACGTAACACCACGCGGGTAATCAAGGATAGGGCTGTGTCGCTTGGTATCCAAGAATCACCATGAGTGTCGGAATATGTTAGGGACGAAGGAGAGTATGAAGATAAAGGATAGGAATGAGATGATGTGGAGGACGGAAGAAGCGTAAGGATACGGAGGGTCGAGAATAGGGTTTTGCGTGCTGTTGAAAGAGCATGAGTTTCTCGCTCATCCCTATTGATAGTCACGGGGAGGGTGGGCAAGTATATGAGCAATGTGGGATAATGGTTTGGAGAAGAGTAGGAAGCAGAAAATTGGAGTGAAGGACCAAAAACCGAAAACATACCAAGCTCACCCTGACCCTCCTCTGTGTCCTCTTCCTTATTCATTGTATCCGAATCTCGTACACAATCTTGCACGAGAATTTCAGTAGCCACACATAGCTCCACAAGTTCGTCTGTAAGTACCGGGTCCGCCAGCGCACGGTGAATTTCTGATTGTTCTCTAGTCCCATGTGAACCGTCACTTGCGACACCAGAAAGCGATGAAACATGACCCATCCACTCTTTCAAGAGGTAGGCATCTACGAGGCGGAGACATGCGTGGATGTGAGCAAGGGAGGGACTAGCGATATCTATTGGAGGGTTTGAGGGTTTATGTGTTTCTTTTCCTTTCCCATTTCTTGTTGCATTCCTATTTTCCCCTGATCCTATATCCGAGCCCCCCGTATCAGGGAATAGCTCCAGACCCCTCTCCCAAGCACTGACACGTGGAGGTACAAGCAGAAGCTCTGCACGGAGCGAGTTGAGGATTGATGGAAGGGTCTGCAATGCAGGCGGAAGAAGGGAAGCCGGCAAGGACGAGAGTGTAGTGCTGAGCATGGCACGGGTGGAGAGCTATGATATTTATGACAAATCCAATAGAACAATCAAACGTTCGTAGCAATAGAGGCATAGCACGGGTCGAGTGTAAGTGGGATGAAAAGTAATGAATGAGGGAATCATATTGAAAGGAGAGACAGCACAACGTACCAGACGTGTATCCTTCATCACTCCTGATTTCGCAATCACGTCTGCAAGGGCTTTGAGCTGCCAAGCCGATTCAATGTCACAAAATCGCCAGAAAATGAACAAGACAAATTATTACATCATTCTTGACAGCCGCCACGAAACTTACTTACCGGCGCCACGTCCGTCCTGATGATGCCTGATGCTCTCAGCCCTATTGTATCTACCCCTGACAGGGCAAGTGCAAGGATGTCTTTCTTTAGACCTGGATGGTTGTCAGCGGGTGGTCATGATTATGGACACCAAGACAATTTTTGTCGGAGAAGTTCGTTATTTTATAGGACATACCCTGATTGAGCCCATCACCCTTCGTGTCTGAGGAGGGAGTGAGGGAGCGCAGAATATCGAGGAGGGTGGGGACGAGTTCGGGTTTATGAGCGAGCTCGGAAAGGGTTTGGATGTCCCGGGTGGAAAGGAACGCAAAGAAAGAGAGGGTAGCGTCAAGAATCTACAAAATGTTGAGTTCATGTTTCGTAGCAAATAACGTCGAAAGGGTCAACATGCTTGAGATAAAGAAACGAACACACCTTATCTGGACCGTCTCCGCGGGCTTTGAGGAATACATCCCAAGTGCGAGCATAAAAGTCAGATGTTTTCGCACGGCGGTTGAATTCGGGGTCACATAATTTAGTGACGATTTCCAAGACACTGATCACATGGAAGATAAGCTTAATTGAGTTCGTTACTAGAGCGCACCAGTACGCACCTAGCTCTGCGGAGTGCAATAGCACAACCACTATCTATGCCTTCAAATAGATACCCTACCTCGTCAAGGAATCGTCTACTTTGACCCTTGCTCCGTAACTCCGTGATACTCTTGAGATCATTCATCATACCATTCGCGAGTACCCGTGAACCCACGCTAGAGGTCCTCTTCAGTGTCCGAGTATCATTGTCGAAAGGACATGGATCGTCCTCGGAGTTGTCCACACCCCACCGAGACCGCAAGTCAGCATAAGATTCACGTGTGTCATCTGGGTCTGCGAGATCAGCTGCCGGAAGTGCAATACGGTACGAACGTGATGCGCCAGCATACGTCCGTGTGTGCTTTGTGAGTAATGGTTTGCTCTGTGTTGGGGAAGGTGAACACGAGGAAGCTATCTTTGGTGGAGAAGAATGGACAGGAAGTGCGTTAGACGATGCTAGAGGATGTGATATTAACGTCATCAAAGTCAGTAGAGTGATTAAGACACACGGGTGGATGAGCAGACATTGTGACCAGCATTATGATCAACGGACGACTCCGTGCGTGAGCGTGACAGCATACGTTTCACCACTCCGAGCGACCTTCCAGGTGAGTTCGGCGTCCGATGGGGAGAAGCGGAGAACAACGTGCTCAAATCCCGAGCTGGCTTGGTCGGCGTACGAATTTTTGACGGCGTACTCGAAATTGAGCCAACATCAGGCATCGTCGTACTTCTTCGGATAGGACTAGTTATTTTAGGTGGTGATAAATGCGCACTGGACGGCGGCTGCACGATCTCAACCTCGATTCTGGGTCGTTTCCGCGGTGGCGAAAGCACGGCCTCTACATCTGGTGAGTCTGGTCGTGCACGGCGTGAGTTCTTACGTCCGTATGTTCTTTGCATGGTCGCTGTGATTGCGTTAGAAGATGGTTGTGGACCGTGGTAGACACTGGAGGAGCTCTTGTCGGAATTCGGCCGGGTACATCGGCGCGCACAATGCACATGCACGTGACCCTCTCAAACCTTGATTTCTGTCCAAGACCACCTCGACCGCAATGGAAAGCCTTCAAGCACGCATCGACTCCTTTCTTAAATCCAAACGCGTCAAAAGGAGTTCGAAGCCAAACTCTACTTCTGCAACCGTGAAATGGCCCCATCCTCTCTCTTTCAATGCCAACCCACACACCCTTGCCGAAGCAGGTTTCTACTGGGTACCAAGCTGGGAGGACAGGGATAGCGTCGCTTGCTTTCTGTGTCACAAAGAGCTGAGCGACTGGGACGAGAACGATAACCCTTTCCTGATTCATTGGCAGAAGTGTGGCAGTACTTGTGCATGGGCAATAGTCCGGTGCGGACTCAGTGAGGATATTGCAGAGGATGGAAGGTGGGTTCACGCGTATTCTCAGCATAAGAGATATTTATGAGAACACTAGCTTTGTATTCTTGAACAAGAAACGCTTGCCAACGAGTAAGGCGATGGAGAAGGCACGTCTTCAGACATTCGGCGAAGATTTGTGGCCTCATGACGGGCAAGATGACCACGGCGCTAGCTCAAAGAAGGTGTGGCCCCACGCTCATTTACGTCGTCCTCTAATCTTATTTCTTATCTTTAGATGGCTCAGGGAGGGTTTGTGTATACCCCCCAAACAAAGGGTGATGATACCGTGACTTGCTTGTATTGCAACCTCTCACTGGGTGGCTGGGATGTTGACGATGATCCAATGTGGGTACATGAAGTTCTTTCCCTGAGACGCAAGGTGACCCATCCACGGCAGGGGGGAGCATAAGAAGCGCGACATCAAATCCGGCACGCGATGCCCGTTTTTCACTGTATCGGGTAGCAAACCCCGCACTGTTTCACGAACACGTGCGAAGAAAGGAGTGGTTGATGTTCCACCCCATCCAAAACCTGAACAATCCGACTCGGGTGATGAACTCGCAAAGGCAGAGATTATCGAGGAGGTGCAAGCACCCAAAACAAGACGAAAGGGACGCGCTGTTTCTACGTCTAAGCCACCGGTCAAGACTAAAGCAACTAAAAAGAAGGCCCCGATGAGATTGTCCAAGTCAACACTAGCAAACCCATCTGAGGCTGAGGTGGTAGCCTCAGAATCTGAGACGGACCCTATCATATCGGAAATAGAAAGTGTTCCATCAGAAGCAAAGGTCGACACGCCTGCGAGAGCGGATGATACTCCTGTACAACAAGTATGCATTAAGGACGATCTTTATGACGAAAAATACCCGAGCGATGTAGAGGTGGACGACCTTAGAAACACGCCTCGTCCTCCCCCGCGACCCGCGACCCCTCATGACAATGACGCACCGATGGTTGTTGATGAGACACCACAACCAAACGACCCACCCCTTTCCAGTCCACCCCACCCTCCGACATCACTTCCACCTTCTCAATCGCCGGAACTCGTAGTCATTCCTTCTCTCCAACCAGAAACGCTTACTCCTGAAGAGCGATGTCTTACTGTCGAGCAATGGATAAGACGAGAGATCGAAAATAGCTATGAGCAACTCATGCAGGACGGGAAGAAGCAAATATCATTATTCGCAGAAAGGGCAAGAGAAGTCCGGCAGTTGATTGAAACACTATGATTGAGTTGCGTTACCACGTCCACAGGATAGCTTTCTGGGTTGCCCATTATTTATCGAAGTATGTTTACCCCAAGTCTGCAGTGAAAACAGACGCCGCGACAGAAGTCCCGACAGCGTTGAAAAGCGTGTAACATATCCTAGAGCAATGAATCCTATAGTACATCGACCTGATAAAGCTCGAGAGCCTCTGTTTTGTACGTGTCCCGTTCAAGGACTTGAATTTTTGCCTAATTTAGAATTTTTAGATTTGCCATTGAATATTGAGGACCCTATTGGGCGCTCGAGCACATGAAAGTTCAACTAAAAGGCTAAGTCTACAAGCAGGGGTCGTTAGAAGCAACTGTATTTGGTTGGACTATTGATTTTCATTTCAGGCACTCCAACGAATCAACTCGAAACAAAGAGCGTGCATTGACAATATGTTGCTAATAGGGAACCTCTGAAGCCCGAGTAAAACTATGACAAACTGATAACGATCGCGTCCAAAGCTAGCGCTCATCCCTCCATCACAAGCGCGCTTCCATGCCTTCATAGTTCAGAGGAAGATATTGATGGGCGTGCAGCCAATGTTGACGAGGCCGTTCTACGGAACGTTAAGAGGTATGATATAGACGACCAAGGCTGAATACGTACGTATGACTCGTTACTGCAGCAGACGGGCTGCTGGAAACAGGTTGCACCGTCACCAGTACCAATCACGTTGATTGGGCTGCAGCCGAGACCGACGTCGCCGAAGATATCAGCGAAGATAGGGATCCCCCCAGATATCGTCGCGTTCTTGTTGTAATCGTCGACCTAGTGTCGACATAAATAAAAGTTACAGAGACGGTGCGCTATATGTATTTAACTCACCGGCTGAGTCGACTGACAACATTGAATGGTGCCGGTGTTGCACTGGCCGCTGGAGTCGCGCAGAGCGAGGGGCGTGGCGATAGCCAGAACAGCAAGGGATGTGATGGACAGGATACGAACAAACATTTTTATGAGACTGAAGTTTTGTTTTTGAAAGAGTGTTGAAGTTGGTTGATCTGGGGGCGACTTGAACTGAAGAATAATCGAGCAAACCTGCCAGACTTTATACCTGCGGGGAGCCCTTGTGACTTCGGGATATCATCACAGTCACCGAGCCCCGCCGTGTCGGCATGCACTCGCCCCGATGGTGTATAAATCCTGATCGGTCATCACGTGAGGTAGCAGTGCTGCCCGTGTATCTTCTTTGATGATTCTAGTCAGTTTTGGCATTCCCTTCTCTGCTCCACGGCATTGAAAGAAACCCGAGGGGCGGTCTCTGCGACGCAAGACCCAAATATTGCGCTTACATACTTACTCTGACCTCACCGAAGTAGCGGTCAACTGGCTGAGCTCCACATTGGACGCAGGATTCTCATATCCGGAGGAGCGGACAGGTCCAAGGACGTTATGTGCGGTAACTGCGGGTTGAAGTTTATGATAACGCGTGACTTGGGCTTCTTGCCCAAGTCTGTACTCTGAACGTACGATTATCATTTGTGCGACTCCACTTTACTAATTTTGTTCTAAGCGTCTGACAACGACTGGCCCACAATGTAACCTTGACATGGGATGTCCCCACATCTGTCTTTTGCGCATTTCTACTTGCGAAGCTATTCAGAATCTTCTGCAAGACTCGAGACATATACCTCACGTTCGTCAGCCCAGCGCCACCAGGTTGTTTAAATGCCATTTTCTTTCCGCATACATTGTGGCGCCTTCTCTACTCAATACTTCAGTGCCTCTTGTTAAGCGCACCGCAAATTTATGGATTACTATAATGATTATTCTTTTTGACTTCGTGCGTGTCCTGCACACAGGCACACTTCCAACGCGCTTATGAGTTGACTGCCAGTGCCACAGTCGAAGACCACGAACTTAATCCCTCTTTCGAAGGTAATCTATCCATTCTCTGGTGAGTTTTTGACACCTCGATGCGTTATCTATATCAAGATTGCTTTGCAGTCAACCCGTCCTTACCAAGAGATGGAGAACATTGATACAACATTGATACAGCAGGATGAGGTGCACTGCCACCAACTTCCCTGACGAAGCCTACAGTTCAAGAATGCCTCAAAGATGGATGTTGTAGAGAGTGAGGAGATAACTTGAATTTTTCAAACAACGTTAACATGACTCCGGTGATGCTTTGAAATCTTGTTATGAATCGTTCACACCTCGATCGTTGTATTTGTATCGATGACCGATAGTAAATCAATAAATATCTCGATAGTCCATTTGTTCTTACTACCTGCAAAGTAGTCCGTAGGCGCGACTGCTTCAGTTATCGATAATAAATTATCGGTTACCAGTTCCGGTGAACTTGGATTGGTAATGGTATCGGTGCTTTGCATGACCCACTGACGTTCACAACGCTGGGCCATCATGATGTTCACCAAAGTCAACAGAAAATTTTTGTTCAAGTCTCCACCAACTGTATTCACAGACAAGCTTATCTCCCAAGAGGCGCGTCGGTCTAAGGTGTGCAAAGGACATACCTTCATCTCTAACCATCTTTGTCTAAGAATGTGTGCTATTAGGCTTTGGAAGAACAGAAACGCGTGTGTGTGATAGATATTTGCGCATTTATTTCCAACATTTGATATCATCTTACAGAGACGAGCACAAAAGTTTGAATCATCCAGGCAACTCGATGCTTTCGCCGATCTCAATCTTGGGAACTCTGATGATGACGGTGACCTCGAGGATGAGCCAGAGATAATACGTGAAGGTGTATCCGGTTTTGTGCAGATGGTGTCACAACCTGTGGAGACCCTGTCTTTGTCCTCCGATGCGCACAACCACGAAACATTGCATTCGGGAAAGCGGAGAGGGAAATCCCGACGTAAACGTATCAAAGCCAAACCGTCCAAATGGGCCGATAAATGCATGTACGCTGAGCTCCTGGAGATGAATGAAGAAGCCCACTTGTGGGACAATCAATCCGCTGATATGGTTGATGGCCTTCCACGCGATTTAGAGGCAGCCTGGGTAGCGGTGGCACCTGTTCCTACTGGAAAACGATGCTTGGCTGTTACTCAGCATTCGGCCGGAATAGTGGGCACATGTATGCAATTACTTCGTGGACAAATCTTCCAACTAATCATATTCTTATAGCGCCAAATACGACTCTTCGATCTCGTGTACTGGGCAAGATGCTTCTTCCTAGATTTCCATCCTCCCTCCCACCTCTTACAGTGCTCGATTGTATTCTCGATGTCAACTGGAAAGACAACGGTATCATCCATGTCCTGGATGTGCTCAAGTGGAAAGGTCAAGATGTCGGCGACTGCGAGACTCCTTTCAGGTGAGCATGCATTACATGCGAACGATCCACTTACTGACCTCTATATGTAGGTTTTGGTGGAGAGATACCCGATTAGCAGAACTTCCAAAGCACCCTTTACCATCTGGAAATTTTTCATTTACAGCCCCTTACACGACATCGGACACATCTTCTCAAAATGCCGGGTCACTTTCAAATATACCTCCTTCTGAGCGTGAACGCTATCGCTTTCCATATCCAACATCTTTTGTCCCAATACCATATCACACTGACACTACACTGACTTCCCTCTCTTCGTTTATCATCCCCATGGCGCGATCAACACGAGAAATTAGTGTTGATATCCCTATGCACGTCTCACCACCAGATTTCACTTCGTATGATATGGCTGTCGATGACATTCACGGTCCAATAGTCTCACGCTCTACCACGTCAGTCATTGCGCGGGTGGACTCGGATGGATTATTGTTGTATGTGTCTCACGCAAGCTATGAGGAAGGAACCAGTCCCTTAAGCTGTTGGATACCCAACAAGGCGATCTCAGAGTGCCCGGAACTTCTCGGTAGTTATGAGGGTCATGACAGCCCACTTGATGTGTTCCAACGGTGCGTGATGGTTCTTCTAAGGTATTCTTGAATGCTGATAGCATATTAGTCTGGTCCAACGGCGCACTACGAAGAATCTTCATGTAGTTCTCGGTTCACAAGACCCTATGGACATCTAGTCGAATGTTTTATCATGAATCGTCCTGCACACTTTTACTTACACCATTCATACATCTTCACTTTACTGCGCAAACCGGTGCTATTTTGTCAAGAACCACACTTTTTCAGGAGACAAATATTTGTACTGCAGGGATGATTAGAATAGCAAGTCCAACCAACACTCTCGGCGCATGAATACATCGTAGGCTGATTGATGCGAATTTTAGATGCTGACAGAACACTCTTCTCCAAGTTATAAGTCTAGTTGTGGATACTCTGCTGCTGATACTTGGGCTGCAGCCCAAAAGCTAGCGAATACCTTATACAAACGAGTGTGTCCGGTCTTTCCAAGATTGAAACGTTGACGGAATGCATCTGCCCATTATGCGTTGAGATATGTTGGTAGAGCTCGTGACGAAGACGAACATACATGATGAAATAGAGGCTGTGGCGGGACCCTGAAGTCACTAGTACTACATGTGAAGGGATCCCCATCAACTACTAATTGCATACAGCTGGTATATAAGTTCCTGCCCCCAACGTGGATTCTGCATAGAGAATATGTGGAATGAAAGAAGTCCCCCATTGAATTTCATGAAACCTCTCAGAAAACATCCTGGAGCGATGAATCCAAGAGACAGTTGACAATGTTATCCTGCCCGCAGGGAAAATTCGCGTCCGAGCCACTCCGAACTGCTCGGCATCTCGCGGTACATAAATTTACTACACAGTGGCAGTGCTCCCATCTTTCCTCAACGTCCTGCTCGACGACCACTACGACGACGTCCATCATGCTTGTCCGCTCTGCAGTCCGTGCTTTATCCGCCAACTCCCGTACTTTCTCTTCGTCTGCTGCAAGGCAGACGAAAGTTGCCGTCCTCGGCGCAGGTGGAGGCATTGGACAACCATTGTCACTCCTTCTCAAGACTGACCCCCTCGTCACCTCTCTCAGTCTCTATGATATCCGTGGCGCACCTGGTGTTGCAGCTGATGTAAGCCATGTGGACGCTCACAGCGAGGTACGTCGTCACTTGCCGAATACGTTAATCATAGGTTAGTTTAATCGACTTCCAAGGTCAATGGTTACCCTGCAGACAAGCTCGACGAAGCCCTTGACGGCGTACAGGTTGTTGTCATCCCTGCTGGTGTTCCAAGAAAGGTGTGTTTCCTTTTTCTATCGTCATACCTTCTTGCATAGTCCTGACCCTACCCTCCAGCCCGGTGTAAGTTCTGCAACTCATCTGTTATTACGCTCTAATCCCCTTTATAGATGACCCGTGATGATCTATTTAATGTCAGTTACTTATGCTTTCCATTACATTCGTCCCTACTAATTCTATTTCGGAAGACCAACGCTTCCATTGTCCGCGACCTCGCAGCAGCAATTGGCCGTGTCGCCCCTACTGCCCACATTCTCGTCATTTCAAATCCTGTCAACTCCACTGTTCCAATTGTTGCCTCTACCCTTCAGAAAGCTGGCGTTTACAACCCTGCTCGCTTATTTGGTGTAACGACCCTTGATGTTGTTCGTGCTGCCCGCTTCACCGCTGGCATAGCAGGGGTTAAACCTGCGGACACTCCCATAACTGTTGTCGGTGGTCACAGTGGCGCGACCATTGTGCCTTTGCTCTCGCAGAACGCACACGGAAAAGCTATCACAGGCGACATATACAAGGCTCTTGTCCATCGCATTCAGTTCGGTGGTGACGAGGTTGTGAAGGCTAAAGATGGTGCTGGTAGTGCCACCCTTTCGATGGCATATGCTGGTGCCAAATTCACCAACTCTCTGTTACGAGGTTTGAATGGCGAGAAAGGTGTCGTCACACCCACCTTCGTCGAGAGCCCTCTTTACAAGGACCAGGGTATCGACTTCTTCTCATCCAATGTGGAGCTTGGTGTAAGTAACGGAAGCAAACCATTTACTACGTACTCAAGTACTCTACAGGTCAATGGCGTCGAGAAAATTTACCCTCTCGGGCCTCTTTCCGCTGAAGAAGAGCAGTTGATGGAGGCCTGCTTGCCTGAACTCAAGAAGAATATTGAGAAAGGCAAGGCGTTTGTTGAGAGCTCGTAGATTAATTCGTTTTAGATTTGCTGTTCCTCAAAATACTTTTGCCATATGCACTTGTTCAAAGCGCGCGCATGACGAATATGTCTTGGGAGGTCTAAACCCTCCTTGCCAGGTACCAGGGCTGTCAGGTTAGTATACACAGAGTGCAGTGGGCTGCCATATATAGTTCAATTTGACAATCGCTTTACTTTCACAAAACTTTCCCAAGTCGACCCATAGGGTTTGAGATTTACGGTATAGTCATGCGAGGTGCTGACAGCGCCCTGAGTATAAGGTCTGTGGCGCGTGTTGATATTTCAGGTTTGATGTTATGCCCCTGATTGAAATTGTTGCTTGCTATATATTCTGCCTACCATGCTCTCGGCGGTACTAGTGCCTCCATACAGCTCGCATGGATTTGCAATCCTCCATTCACCTCTCGACCATCCTCCGGTCCCAGAACGTGAGTGATTAATATCTCAACATTTTCGCTTCACTTATCTATGATCTTGGCACTGACAGTATTTTTACGGTACTATCATTTCGACCATAATAATCTCTGATCATAGCTAACAGGGTTCGTGCTAGTGTCACTAACGGTTTTTTGGGTGCGCGCTCTTGCCGTTTGTTCAGCTGTCATTTAAAAACATCTAGTTACAGATCTACGATTGTTTCCTGACCTTGGACCAGGAGGTGATTTTATCTTGGCGATATATAGCCTGTCGACCCACAGGCTAACTGTCGTGTATAGGTATCTTTCATTCATGGGCCACCGTGGAAGAAAGGAAGTATTCTTTATGTCATGACGAGATACATGCCAGCCTTCGTGCTCTGTATACACTTATGCAGTGAGTCCAAATAGCATGCTCTATCGTCAGCTTGCAGCTAAGCAGGACACGGAAGTGAACTATCTCCCGAATGAAAAATTTGTGGTGAGCAGTTGTCGGAAATAATGTTACCTGCCGTCCTGAGGATTCGCCAATGTAGACTTGTAAACTTCTACATTCAATATGGTATCGTAAGTATTGTAATAATTGGATTGCCAATTCCAGCCCAAATTCGTTTTTCAGTTGGTGCTGCATTGTGCATAGCTGGTGCAGAAGGTATTGCGAGCTTTACTAGTATAGGGTATTCACGCAGAACACTCACACGATCTCCAGGTATCTTCGTCCTTCGCACCTATGCATTATGGGGAAACAAGAAATACATTCTGGGCCTTATGTTGTCAACAATAGTCGTGCGCATACAGTTGCGCTCCCGCATCCCGTACTCTGACACACCCCATTTCAGTGTCTTGCGATCTTGGACGTGATACTGACAACGACGATTTCCCGGCGGTTGGAACGTGAGTGTCTTTAAGAAGATCCACCTGTAAATCGCTCAATGTGGATCGACTACAGTCCAACTATCAGACTGGGGTGGTGGATGTTACTCGCTATCCCGCGACACGATGTCTGCGTATCCTTGGACACTTCTGGTAGCATTCGAGCTTGGTGAGATCACGAAGCTATAGATGTAGCCGGGTGCTCACTTCTGCCTCAGAGATCATAGTACTCACCATTATTCGTGTATATTGGGTATACTGCGAAGGGGGATGTCTGCTGCTTGATATTCTTCTGCAACATAGCATTTTCTACTTCGGAACTGGGCTAAGCAAGTAGTACCCTTTATGGCTGTCAAAATAGAATTAATCTTTCACTGATCCTAGCACTATCGGTGGCCAATATTTTGACCATTGAATTCCTGCCGGTGCGCACAAATCTGAATTTAACTCGATATCGACTGAAGGACCTGACTCTTCATGCAGTACAGCTCCTCAAATATGTTCGGGACATTTCAAATCATCATGCATACAATCCTCGTTACTCGGATGCACCTACAATTTAGCAACACCGACCAGGTTTCCGACTCATCTGAGTCCGGAATCACATCATACTCTCAATTGACACAGATTGAACTTCAGACATGTTCGCACTCAAATGTATGATAATTCAATAGAACTTTTACATTCAGACATTTTTCCTGTTGTGTTGCAACGACTTTAAGCTCTTGTTGGATAGTGAGGGCTACAGGGCAGTGACTCCATGAAAAACTAACCACGGAGTTAACGATGAGTTTTTAACTCACCGTCACTCTCGAGGGTGTTTGACTTTTTTAACTAATTTTTGACACATCCAAAAGATGCGTTTTCCTTGTCAGGCTATAAAGGTCCAATGTACAGGCTCTCATAAAGGCATTGGAACCGTGATATCCAGTTGTTATATGAAGAATTTGTGCTGTTTAGCACTGTACAGCTGAGTGGGGCTTTGCTTTTTGTTCTCAAGGCACAATCGGTGTATATATGGTAAGTTATACTATGATTATAAGGCAAAGGTGCTCCTTTGGTTTTGTGCCTTCAGCACAACGAGCTCGTAGCGCAAGAGGGGTTTTCTTGTCAAATTCACCTGACCAAACTATCATAGTGTAGAATTTTTCAATCAAAATATTTTCTTGCTGCGTATTTCAATGACCATTTTGAAAGTCAAATATCATATACCAGTCTGAATGCATAGTTATGGTTTCCATGGAAGCCTACTCTGCACGACACTTGTAGAGATCTGTATAGAACCTCCTTCGCCAGTAATATCATTCGTCCCTTCAAAACGTTGGATCAAATCCTTGACGCTACCACCGCTACTCCGTCTGTTCTGAGGATCACCTGTGAAGACGCGTTGGACGGGCTCCGGCGATATGTGACGGAGCTCTACGAGGCGCTTTGGCTTGTTCCTGCGCAACTGCATACGCTTCTGTACAGCTGTAGTATGGTGAAGATTTACAAAATCCTTGTGCGGTTTCTGCCGCTGCGAAGGTTTCCGCGCTGGTGTCGTGATGGGCTTGCGACGGTCTATGAGATCTGTGGGTGGAGGAGGTAAGGGAGGACGGTCGGGATGATCGTCAGATTTAACATGTACACGGCGAGGAAGGAATGATGCCCATGTTGGAAGTCTAGAAAAGAAACCTGTCTTTTCTGCTAGATGATCTGGTGGTACAATGGTCGATTGAGACCTAGCTGCGTAAGATGATGTAGATATGGGAACATTCGTTGCGTCAATATCAGTGGCTTTGTCGAAGAGGTCACGGTACCGTGGTATTTGTGAGACTGGCGTAGAGGTGAAATTTGCCAGCGTGGACATGTCCGGGGATACGAAGCTAGCAAAAGATAGTGTTGAGAGATCGGCTCGCGCAACCCGCTTTTTGACGAGCACATCTACTCTTGCTAGCAAGTTCTCCCTGAGTATGTGTCAGCTCAGCTGGGATAGCGAAATTGTGAGGAAGTACAAACCAACTCCAAGGGGGACCCAGCCCTGCCACAACATCGCGACCTCCAGCAAGACATTGAAATCGCATCACCACTGCCTCCCTGCTAACCTCCTTCGGCGAAGTGATAACTCCGTTGACATGACACTCCTCAAAAAAACATTTATCCAAAAGCTTCCAGTCTTCACGCCTCCACTCTCCCGCCTTGGGCTTATACCGAGGTTGGGCGCATGTTGCATTCAAAAGATGAGGCACTCGCTCTTCAGTATGCCCAAAACTGACCTGAAGGGGCAGTTTTATAGGTGCGTGTTGTTCGATGAAGGTAATGTCCTGTATAATACCTTCGACGTCGCACCATGGCGTCGGATCTACCTGGTGGATCGCACGGCGGCTCTGTATCGAACTGCGGCGTTTCCCGACGCCTGCCCCAAGGAACGTTGTGCGCGACTTTCGTGCAGCAGCGTGCTTGGAAGAAGCCAGTACGCAGTCGTAATCGTGCTGAGTAGGTCAAAAACTTCAACTTGTGGAGATTGAAGCGAGATACTTACTAATTTCAAAATCGCAGCGGCTCTTGCTGCAGCCTTTGGATCGCTACCTGTGATGCATACTACATTGCTTTCGACATCCACATCTGATTCCTCGTTCTCTTCTACCCCGATATGAAGATCACTGTTTGGCGAATCACTGAATTCTAGATCGTCCGACGCAGGCGGCACCTCCACGATATCCTCGAATACGCTCTCAATATCCAATGCATCCAATATATTTCCCTCTATTCCCTCATTCTCACTATCTGCAATTTCCATATCCTCTGGATCGGGCAAGCTCCTGTCTAGTCGTGCCTCGTACGGAAATGGGCTGACTGGTCGACCCCACTCCTCCATGCGCGCCTTTGTCCCACTTGTCGGTGGGTCCGCCTTCGTGGGCACTTGAAACATCTTGAAGCGCCCTGTGTACTCTCCCTCGCCTTCTGATTCGGTGTCCGTCCACTCGCCTGATTGGGTGTCCGGAGCATCGGTATATCTATACGGTGACGAGCTTGAGGAGACAGGGGTAAATCTAGACCTGGTGGTCGACGTCAAACGACTCGCACTCAATAGAAGTGGGTCTTCCGTTGGGCTGGGGGGTCTGATTGCACTCAAGTTGATTTCTGGTGGCTCCCTCTTTACACTGGTCTGCCTCGACCCATTCCTGCGCGGCGGACGTGATGGCTAATAATTCGTAAATAATCACGTACTTATAACACCTCAAAACACTTACCGTCGCACTCTTCTTTCTCGGACTCTTGAGCATTCGCCTAATAGTAAGATTCACATTCGACGCGGTCTGAAAGTGATTTGTCCAAAGACCTATGTTCGCATCGCACGTGACTGTTACTACATTTGTTAATTACGTCATATTAGGAACAATGACTGTGAAGCCCATCCATGGTCCATGATGACGGTCGCCGAAGAACTTGAGAAAGACTGCTAAGTAACTAAGAAGTAGTGTGACTGTTCTTCCAGAGTAGAGTATATTGTCATAAAAATCATTAGTATCGTTAGAGGTCGTGAACTGTTATCAAAGGGTTATGAAAGACCAGATGGACATTAACTGAAACTGATCTCGGCAAAGACTAACGCGAGACAACGCTATCGCTCTGGCCTCTCGCTCGGCCATTGAAGTCTCCCGATTGCAACGAACGTTTCGCGCCAAGTGACAGGTCATCGTTTGCACGAGAGAAAAAGTCATCCTCGCCCTCATATGGAGAAGTTCCCGAATTTATCTGTGTCACGATATTTTATGAGCCAAATACTAGGTGGGGGAGACGGTGTCCCATAATTCCAAAAGACTCACCCACTGCTTGAGAACATCAGCTACGCGACTCGCTTCCTCGACGTTAAAAGTCACATCGGTCCCCTTCTCGGCATGGAGCCGCATGAGCTCACTCAGCGACCTGCTTTTCCTACTCCCATTTGTCCCAGGTGTGCTGCAGTCGTCCTGTGTCTCTTCCCCCGGAAATAGCACAGAATTTCGTGGTACTTGTGTCCGAGGTATGATCATGTCGCTTGAACGATCCCAGTCCTCATTCAGGTTCAGTGAAAGGTTACTCGTTGTGAAACTCTCCTTTGATGACATGGTTAAACCCAGTTCTAAGTAGTGGCACGGCCTGGAAGCAGGGCACGAAGTAGAATTTACATAATTGTTGATTCAAGTCCTTTCTGGGATAGCCTGGGAGGCCAGGGCCTTTCTAAGTTACAGCCTCGTGGCGCGTGCGCACACTTTGAAGAGATAGAACCGCTCGAGACCCGGCAACTCGCGATCGTAGTTCCCGGAGCCGCATGATATGTGTTTCACTCAGAAAAAAACATCCGTCATTTGCTGTACTAGATCTACATGATCTGGCACTTTGCGTGACGTTCTCGCACGCTCCCGCACTGTCCGAACCGTTTTCACTGGGCATCAATGCATCACGTTTGAATTTGAGCTCTCGCACGTTGGCACTGCGATAATCGCGGGTCGACTTGAAGTGTAACTTATATGTGATCACGAAAATTACCGTGAAACATGAACTTATGTTACACACTGTCAGGCCTAGAGCTTCCTCGAACACACAGACAAACTCTCTCTCTCTGGACTCTCGAGTTAGATGTGATTCCGCCGCGTAGATGTAAGTACTAATCACATCATCAGCTGAGGCACCGATATCAGCCACAGTATACCTTTCTGATCACTCTACTCGGGGATAAGGACACCAAAATAACGCAGTCCTGGACGGAAATTCTCTTTTTGTGTGGCTTCTACCCGCGAAGGAAACGGATTGCTGAAATTCGCTTGAGATATAAGAAAGAGTTGGTATTGATAGGTACTGATGGGCCTGGTTGCAGACGGCGCAGAACCTAGATCGCCGAACCCTCGCAGAGAACTCAGGTTTCGGTCTTACAACTGAGGGTTCCGACGTTGCGACAGCCACTATCTTTGGCGAGTCCATTATACTTCCCTCGGAATCGGTCTCCACGCAGTCCGAAAATAGCAACCAGTAGGTCGCATCGAAGCCAACACCGACCTGGGTGGACCTCGGAACGTCATCATACGGGGTTAAGTTGAAAAGACCAGCAACCTGAAGGACTTCTTGAAGCCTGTCATCTGATGAGTCGACCATGCTGACCAATTGGCTTGGGACTAAAGCGAGAATCAATGAAAACTGTGGATAGGTAATAAAGAAGTGATGTCAGCCTTCCTCGTGTGGCCAACCTAGCTAGGCCCTCCGAGACATACAAGGTTTGTGAACACACTGTGCATTACCCTAATGAGATAGCGAAGTGCGCCCGTCACGAAGCCTTGATAGACGGAATTGGGGTTGCAAGTGCAAATCTAGCAGCTTCAGTAAAAATTTTGTGCCGAGCGCGCACTGCGACCGACGCGTAATTTCCTATCATCGCACTAGCACTCCTCTGAACTAGTAATAGACTGAGTCTTGAATATAAATGAAATTACGAACATTTCCAAGAGTCGAGACTGATTTGATGGTGCTCCGAAAGGATTATTGTATAATGATCAACAAATGGCCTTATGACGGAGTCAACGAGCTCGACAAATCACCTCACCATCCAAATTTAGTTGCAAAGCTTCTCGTGCCTCCAACCATTCATGCTCCCTACTTTTTGTCCGCACCACTGCAATTTCACCCATACCCAAAGGTTTAATCGTCTGTGCACGGCGTCCGGAGCAAATACGCCGCAGCTCCCCGATGTCCATAAAAATGCGTCTACTGGGTCTACTAATGAGTTCCATGTCCGAAAGGACAGGTCGGTCGTCGCGGTATTTGAGCTCGGCCCATATACGGCGCTGGGCTTCGCCAACACGAAGGAAGTCAGTGGGAGACGGTGACTCAATGGTTCCGCGCGTGACGTTGGAGATAAAGCCGGTTCGCAGGAGTATGCTGAGGATCCCGAGGTTTTGCGTTGTGTGGTCCACAGCTATTTTGTGATGTCGTGCTCGAAAAGCGTTCTGGACGCGAGCGCATATGTCATATGGTAGAGGCATTTGGAACTGTATCAAATAGGTCAGTAGAACACATGTGAGACGAAATTGAACATACAAGACACGTTATTATGCGCGCGCTTTGTACAGTATACGGCCGGGTGTACTCCGAGTCAATTTGAGACTCAACTATCGCACGCGACTGAATGCCTGCTTATGTATGAAGTTTAAAATAGCTCCTGACGATTAAATTTCGTGAAGATAAATCATTAAGTTTTCATGAGCTTCGCATTGTCTCTCCCAATTACAACTAGGGTTAACATATAAGTATTGTGCGAGCTTGTATTCTACCTTGTGCCGTCATACAAATAACTTCTACCCGCCGTCAATTCATTACAGGAACAAATTACGGAACCGACCATAAATGCGATTCAGTCAACATCTGCCTCCCACATGCCTATTTCCTATATGCCGCGCAGTGTCCAATGCACAATGGAGTCAGCATTGCAAACCTGTCATACAAGTTCGCAATAGCTGTATTTCCTATTTCCCGGTTCCCTTGTTGGATGCATGACTTTGAGACACACCGAAATACCACGTTCGTTGCTAACTTAATCTTTGGAACAGAGTATCTTGAGTTGACTCAAGCGGCTCACCGATGCGTGCGGGATGATACGTAGTCCTCGAAACGGGTGTGATCCGGGCAGTGTGGTGTCGCGAAGGCAAATTAGGGAACTGAGCTAAATATTGTGTATTGCAGTGTGCAAGGTCTATTAGGATCTGATGTGAGTCTGTGTCTGTACCTCAATTGTTTGCTCACAGATTGCAGGAACCGAGTAATAACCAAGTAATAACTGCAAGATAACTGGTTCATGAACTTTAACAACGCTTTCGCTCCAATTGCCACCCACCCATCATGATCCCTCACAATCTGCGCCGAATTCCCGAGATTAAAAGAGATACCGTCATCGTAAGTGCTGCGCTTTAAATTAAGCATGATTGAACTAACTCTTCGCTTCCCAACTCTCACTACCAATGGCTCAAGAGGATGTTAGCTCCCAGCAGCTGCAGCCAGAAACGAAGGCAGATTACTCAGTCGAAATTGAAGATACCAATGAGGTGGATTTTCTTGCCTACTATGAGGGAGCTACTGGTCGTTTAGTAGTTGATGCCGAGTACGTGGTTGTTGCTCGCTATCTATCGTAACTCATTTGTAACTCACTAGTCAGGCCAAGGTCGAGTTTGGAGAGGTAATGGCATCTCGCCTAAAGCTTAGCCCTGACGGGTTGAAAGTTCTCTGGCCTCAACCCGCCAACGACCCGAACGACCCGCAAAATGCTCGTCATTTCTCATTATTACTCCCTTTCACTAATCCTGAGCTATTCATTTGTAGTGGTCTGATTTCCGCAAGACTATGCACTTGATCATTATTACGATGTCTGCAGTGGTACCTGACTTCGACTCTGCAATCGGTATGTATTTCGCCCTCGCTTGATACCCATAGTAGTGTCATTGTGAAATCCATCTATTGGCAGGAATCGCGTCAATATTTGGCCTCGCTCAAACTTATGACACAACCTCAGGTGTCATCAACGATGTGACGTCAAAGTGCGTAATTCATCGTTCGTTACTCACATTCAATAACAACTCGTTGAAGCTGGAGCATCTTCCTTCTGGGTGAGGTCACACCATTACATGGGAATAGCTTCTTCTCATCTGTAGTCTAGGTTGGGGAGGCATCTTCTGGGTCATGCTCATGAGACGCTATGGTCGGCTGCCAGTGCTCTTCTGGAGTCAGGTATATATTTCCAGTGATTTGGCTAATATTAACCCTGAAACCGTTGAGCGCAGCTTTTTGCACTTGCATTCTTGGTTGGCGCTACATTGGCACCGAATCTAGCTACCTTTGCAGGTATTTGCACGATATTCTGGTATTCATCGAACAATACTAACTGCTGATGAAGGAATGCGTTGCCTGACTGCATTCTTTGGGCAAGTTGTCATTTTTCTCATGCCTGCGTTAAGCTGATTACAGTTTCAGAACATGTCCCCAGGTGACAGTATGATTAGTAGCAATTCTCGTGGTAGCTCCAACATTTACCAACCTCGAAGGGTCTTTATGTCGTGACGGATATCTTCCCCTTCCATCTTCAAGCACGGAAGCTGAACATCTGGACTTCGGGTTTTGTTATGTCAGAGAAGAAATTTCTTTAGTGGAAGAGGCATTTCTCACTATCTCATAGATCGCCTTTCCTATCGCCATTCGCATTTGGCTTTCTTGTTGCGCGTATGAGGTACGTCTTATATATGCTGTCCTTGATTCAGAATATTCATCAATTGTTGGATAGCTGGAGGTGGGCCTATGCTATAGGATCTATTTACGGCGCCATCGTATTATTTCTCATTGTGTTTTTCATGGAAGAAACGTACGTTCTGATATACTGTTTTTTTTTTGGGCAGCAGTGATGTTAACTTTGCTGAACCAGTATGTATGATCGTCGCCTTGCATCACAGCCATCGCGAACTTCTATTGGACTGCGATATCGATTTGAAACTTTGATAGGCGTCACTGGGTACAAGATGGCGAAATACAGACCACGATGGCCGGAAGTTCTGTTGGCATCTTTAGATGTCGCTTGGCGTCCCCAGTTTTTCTTTATAGTTCTCTTTGAGGTAAGATGAATTACATTGCTGACTATACTTGCTACATCTGCTGACCGCATCGAAAGGCCCTTGTTTTCGGGTTCTCAATCGGTGTGAACGTAAGCATTTCCGTTTCGACCTGCATTAATAGACTAGACAAATTCTGTAGACGACAAATGTTATCTTCATGGGATCTTCTCCTCCCGTCGGATTTGGCTTTAGCCAATATGCTGTTGCTGGAGCCTATGCGACTCCAATTGCAAGTTTTTATTCCTTCGGTGAAATGTTTATGATTATTGTTCTCAACATGAATTTTTTTTAGGTCGCCGTCCTTTTTGGCGAGTGCATTGGTCGTTATGTGAATGAATTCGTTATGAATCTGCATATTCGCAAAAATGGTGGTTTCTTTGAGGCCGAGAGTCGCTTGTGGTATGCAAACTCAACTGTTGGTCTACTTATTGGAACTGAGAATTTGTGTAGGACCTGTTACTTAGCTATGCCGCTTTATATCTGTGGCTTTTTGACACTGGGTGCTGGGATACAGAACCTCAGCCAAGCTGCTCTCATCATGGGCTGGGGCATTTCGATTGTTGCAATCACCCTCAACACTGTTGCAGTGTGTGAGTCTCAAATCTAATGCTTGAAGTGTCGCGGGATAAATCAAGGAACACTATTAGACGCATACTGCAATGACTGCTTCCCTCACAGGGCAGTGAGTGACGCATACATACTTATTTGCATCTCAGTGACACATTTCCATTTCTGCTAGGGCGAAGTCAGTGCCCTCTTAAATCTCGCAAGAGCAGTTGGCGGTGAGTTGTAACGACGCATGATTGCTCCAACATTCACGACTGTAGCCTAGGTTTCGCAGTCGCATATTTCCAAGTCACATGGGCTACAAAATCTGGAGCATTGGTAGTGTTTGGTGTTGAAGCAGCGCAAGTGATATTCCTTAGCACACTCGAGAGCCTAACGGTTTTTATAGGCTTGTGATCGCCATGTTTTTTATCACCGTTCCTATGACGCAACTGAAGGGAAGCTACTTCCGAGTAAGTGCAATTCTTTTCATCTAACTTAGCATTGAATCTGTGCACCGAATGTTAGGCGCGCTTTGCCTTGTGATTGGCACTTTATAACTTCTCGGTTTCAGAAGGGTTATATACATAGAAACTTCCTAGTTACTTCTCTACAATGACATGTTTTGTCTCTCTGGTCTTGTTTCGTATGAGCATTTGGCTTACCTAAGGATATTATTACGTACTGCTAAGGTAGTAAGTTCACCATCCGAACTAGCATTCAATTTCATCTTCAACTTTTCTTTCGTCATTATATTTGACTATGTTCTTGCCTACCCTCGCCTCTCTTTTTTTCTTATCTTCGGCAACAGTCCGAGCCTCTCCATGCATCGCTTTTGACGCCAATTGGAACCTCCTTGCTTTCGGCCTAAACGGCAAAGACTGGAACGCGGGCACCCAAGACACCTGGTCCAGCAGTCAGTCTCTTGTTGTTATGAGATCTAGAGACCTAACATTCTGTTTGTGCAGGCACTGCGGCCACAGACATTACAGCGTCCAACCGACCGTCAGTCTTTTTCCTCATGCATGCATTGCGCTTACACTTCTCCCTAACAGGCCATTTGATGCAGCTAACACTACATGCTACCTCTCACAGGCAAGTCTGGGCGTGCACAATTGTAGCTTTTGATGGCGGGCTGATTTTCTATTGATAGTATGCCAACGCGATCTATGCGATTAATGCCGACTCCAAGAATCCTTCCTCTCTTTACATCTACAATGCGGCTGCAAAATCGTGGTCCATGCAGGGAGTCAATGCTGGTTCTTTTGACTATGCATCTTTTGATGCTATTTTAGACCATGACACAAACGTCTTCTGTAAGTTTGTGCCGTTGCCATTCACGTTGTCTTGTTGACATCCAACAGATGCGTTGTCACAGGGAAACCTCTTCTCCCTAGACATGGGTTTACTTAATGCGGCCAATAGTACAGCATTAAACTGGATTAACGATGAACAAGTGCCGTACCCCTCGAATTACGTTCCAGTCATGGCTCTTGCACAAAATCACATTCATTTCCTAGACGTCCCTAACGTCCCTGCTGGAAGCGCAGACATTTTCGTCATTCATTGTGCGTACTGCACTATTATCATCCAGGGGAAATATGCTAATAGCGACACCAGACTCCTACTTCCAACCGCAGTCCCAGGCTTACCCGCTTCCAAATGGGAGCGCGTTCCCTGCCACTTACGGGCAAGTCGCCTCATTCTTCCAGGCAGACAACACAGTAAGTCCTGTAATTTTTCTACCTGAGATAGTTCTCATATAGTTGATAGGTCCAGCAAGAGTTCGCCTTCATTCCTTCAGATTCCTCTGCCACGTACATAATCAATGTTGAAGTACGGTCCCTCATTTTGACTAACTCCTTTTCACTACTAATGAATCCCAGACGAACACCACCCAGGCCCTGGCAGCGCCTACCATCAAAGACTCCAAAGCGACATACTTCGCCGGTGTCACAGCTCTCGTGCAGCTGACAAGCAATGGCGCCGTGTCTTACCTCCCTTACCTTGAAGGTAACACGAGTACGAACGTCGCTGCAACATGGGCTACTGTGAGCAACCTCGCGACAGCTGCCCCACCATCGTCATCCTCTTCGAGCTCTAGCGGGTCCAGTGGCAATGCTTCCGGCTCACACAGCGCTACCAGTCCAAGCAGCACCACCGCATCTGGAGCCGCTTTGGGTGCAAGCGTACAATACAGCATACTCATCACTTGTATTCTGTGTCTCACGGCGTTCGTGGTGTGAACGCTACTTTTTCTTTTTTTTGAACAAAGATGTTACAACTTCCTACGGACCCTTCACATACATAGCTGGAATATCCGCTGTGATCCAGCCTAGGACTGTTTTTTTTTTCGAAAGTTAGACTACGTGACCTCACAATTCTAGGTTTATTTACCAGCATGGAGAATTTATGACTTCTTTGAGGTTTGCTAGGTCTGGCTGAGACTTCATGTAATTGTTTCTTGTACCCTAAGGTCTCTAATAGTTCGAGAGCCATACGACTGGTACAGACGTCTTCGCAGCATGTAATTCTCATACTTGCACTTGCCTCAGACTTAAAAACAAAAGCATCGCATTATAAGGCGAAGTGTTCCTATAAAATGCCGTGGGAAGTTAAAGGGAACATTAGATCATAATATTGTCACGCACCCGGAAATATCTCCCTCTCAGTTGCACCGTTGGCACAGCAAGTAAAAACAATCCTATCACAATCCTGGCATGTAGTTAGAATATGTTCTGAGCTGCCCTGGTGTGTACATACGCTGCTTCAACACCGAATGTCTGGATTCCACCAGATTTTGTCGCCCATGGGACTTGGAAGTATGCTACGCTGAAACCTGTGAATAGTCGTGACGTGTGGTTAAAAGTAAAACGTATTGCAAGTGCCTACCACCGAGCACGCGCGCCAGGTTGAGCAGAGCACTAATTTCTCCGTGATGTCGCGGAAAGCAATCATTGCAATACGCATCTGAGACAAATTAGCAACTAAACCGATATTTGCAATTGATAGTACGCCTCACAGACGGCAACTGTATTCACCATGACTGCTACTTCTGCTATCCCCCACCCTAAAATAAGTGCAGCTTTATTCAAATGCTGAATACCAGCTCCCAATGTCAGGAAGCCGCAGATGAACAGTGGCATTGCTGCATAACATGCCCTGCAGCATGCGTGTCCTATCAGTAGCTGCAAGGCGATAACCAACATTCTGCACTCACCATAATCGACTCTCGGCCTCAAATATACCCTGATTCTTCCGAACAGTGAAGTTCATAATTCGTTCATTCAGAAACCGCCCGCCCAACTCTCCTAGAATAACCGCTAGCTAGCATGACATGAACATACTGACATTTGCTGGTAACAGTGAGGCTCACGATCGGAGTCGCGTATGCACCAGCAACTGCAAATTGGCTGAATCCAAAACCGACTGGAGGAGGGGAACCCATGAAGACGACATTTGTCACCTAGCATCCTTGATTATCGAAGAATGCTTAACCAGCAAAAGCAGCTCACATTGATACCAACTGAGAATCCGAAAACAAAGGCCTTGAACAAATACCATTGAGATGAGATATTGCCAATTGTTTTATTTACAAACTCACTTCAAAAGATACAACCAAGATAAATTGAGGTCTCCATACAACGTTTAAACACGCCCATACGATCTCCGACCAGCGTGACCGATACTTGGCCATCTTATACCCCGTGATGCCAATCAGGGTCTCGAATCGATATCGTATGCCTGGCAATATTCGTTGTGGGTCGGGATCCAGATGGCGGTCATACATCCTGATTATAAGATAGGATTGTACAAGATGGGCTGTGAAACATAAGCTTACGTCTCTTCCATGAACAGACCAATTAGGAGTACAACGACGGCGCTGTAGAGCGACCCAATCCCATAGGCCCATCGCCAGCTGCGCGCACATGAGTAGCTGTTTATCTCGCAGGGAAGGTAGACTTGCCTCGTGCGTGCTACAAGAAAGCCAAAAGCGAATGGTGATAAGAATGGGGATCTATACAAAGTCATGAGTGCAGCTAAATGCCGACCGACGCGTTAATAACATGCATGATGAATCCAAAGGTCCAGATATTCAATTTGCGAGCTTGGAGATGGAACGGGAATATGTCAGTGACAACATACAGGCCCTTGAATCAGGATCAAATGACGGTAGCATGTATGAAGGCATGTAGTACGTACTGTGACCTGAGGACATGTCCTACTTATCCATAAGGATCATCGTTGCGAATTGACAAAATTCAAGCAGGAGCATACCCAAAAAATGCTGTCAAACAGCGCATTGCTTTTAGATAAAATACGTTGGCATCGAGGTCATTCACTGCATATGTAATCATACCTGTGAAGGTTGCCAGGTCCGGTGAAAAGGTGGCGCCAACGAGGAAGGCGAGGGCAAAAATCTAAGTACAGGGTAAGAGATTCCAGCACTACAGAATGATCTCAAAAGATACGTGCCTGTGTCCAAAATAGCACAGGAAGGCGACCGTAACGTCGCATGAGCATTACCCAAAAAATCCCACCCCATCCTTATAGGAGGAAAAATCAGTCAACCTGTGAGATTTCATCGCTTGAATAGCCAAATTCACCTATCAGGAAAATGCTCCAACTATTGGCTATCATTAAGTTTTCCTTCACTAAAGAATGTAAGGCTACGCACTTGGACGTGAGGTTATTGATAACACCTGTTGTTGTGTGATATGTCTGTGCCAATGAAAAGATTGAGGCAATTCCTAACGATGTCATCAGACACTACAACAAGTATCGTAACGTGGACGCACCAATTCCCGAATCAAAGTCAGGTATGCTGGCTGCTAGTGTGATAACAAGAAGGTGCAGTGCTTTACGCCGATCGCTCCACTACCTCAAGAGTTAGCTCGTTTCAGAGCAAGGGAAAGACCTTATTCTCACATTCTGTGGGTCATTCGGATCGTCGGCAGGTTGTGGCCAGAGAATCGTAGAGCCGTCGGGGCTCAGTTTAAGCGTCGAAGCCAGTGCCTCGCCAAACTCTACCTTTGCCTGCCTAAAGTTGAAAGCAGGTGCGATGTTAGTTCTTAACTAACCACTAGAGGCTGAGACTGCGATTGGATCACATACTGAGGATCGATCATCAAACGACCGGCAGCCCGCTCGTAGTAAGAGGCGGGGTCGAATTTTTCTGCGACCTGGACATCAACTTTACTCGAGTGTTCTCCTAGCTGTGGCATCGTGGTTCAGAGTCAGGGAGGTGGAACTGATGGCATGATTACCCGAGGGGTTTATATCCCATACTTATTGTAATCGAGGGTCAAACGCGGCGCACACGTGGCGTCGTACCTGTGACTCCCACATAAGTACTGTAATTAGTAGTGACAGACTGGGCCCTTCGCACCTCTAAGTGGTGAACCAGGGCTTGGTTCAAGGTGATGCATCGGATGACTAGTGATTTCGGGATGAGTTCGTTTTGCCAAGCTCGACACTCCCTGTGCTATTTACACTGACAGCGTCGTGTTCACGTGACAGAATTGGCGCTTCTTCCAGACTTATACCATCCCTGAAGAAATCATGGATGATACTAGCTTCGTTGCTCTATCTGTTCACCTGCGTCGACGCATAGATAATGCATTCGATAGAGCTGCTGGAAACACCTCAAGATCATCAAACCCGCCTCGAAATAAATGTAAACTTGACTCAGCTCAGTCCGGTGGATTCGTCTCTGCGGAAGATATGCCACCAGGAGGATTCTTAATAGAGGACGCAGGAGGTTTTTTACTTGGCAAATACGAAGACCGCACTCCATCCTCGTCTCCGGACCCTATCTCCATATCACTTTCATGTATCCCAGCTGCACTTCAACTTCTTGGACTTCCTTCAGATGACGAAGAGGTTCTTTCTGTGTTTCGAAATGCTGCGTCAGGCTGGGGAGCAAGCTTGGAGGGATCGAGCGAAGTGAGCCGGAAGGATTGGCGATCTGTGTGTGCTGCCCTTCTAGAAGGAGGAGACGAAGAAGGGAGTGACAATGGCGGGCCTTCTGCTGTATGCAGTGACCAGGAGGACAATAGTAGCCCGGAAAGTGATGAATATCGCATGTCCGTCGATGAGGATATGAGTGAACCAGAAGTATCTGACGAGGAATATCAAGATGATAAGCCTGCCGCTGTTTCCAGATCGCGCAAACCCCAAAAGGCATCCAAGTCGTTGCCCACCGACGCGGTGCTTGACGCTAGTCAATTGAGCGCGAAACAAAAGGCTGAATGTCGGGAGGATTTCGCGAGGTTCTTCGCTGATGTGCCTGATGCTGAGCTGGACCGTCAGAAAATCATGATCAAGGACGTTACGCGCGTTGCTAATCTGCTCAAGGAGAAGATAAAGGCTGAGGAAGTGAGCATTCTCATTATCTATCAGCATCCCTTGTTGACAGAATTGGCCTCCAGATTATTGCAATGCTGGAGGTGTTCTCTACTTCAGCAGATAAATCCATGAATCTTCAAGACTTTGAAAGAATGATGATAGCAACAAAACTCATAAGGTATGGGCAATAATGAACAAAAGCCTAGCTAGTTACAAAGTTCTACGAGTGGAGTAACATTTACAGTCCATATGTGTGCTGGATGTCATCTGAGCGACAAATAACCTAAGGCCCTGCCGTGCCATAGTTTGCAGGAGCAGCGGAGCCTTGATTGAGAGGCTGGTAATGCCCGTTGCCGATGTCTGTTATATCATAATATTCTCAGCCGCAGTGCACAGAAATGGCAAGCGATGTACGTACAATAGAACCCTCCGTATCCATATTTCTCTTCAGCTTGCATCTTCCTGTAGATAAGCCAAAAGGCGTGCTATGAGAAGGAGTCAGAGTCTGTCTCTTCAAGGAAACAGGTAACAGGCGCACAATATGTCCGGGGAAATATCCCAAGCTATGATGGTGATCAGCCAGTATTATTATTACCGTATTAACCATGGGAAGCTCACATGGTCAAACATATATTGATGAGCAAGTCACAGCTGCAGCCGGTGATGAATGCAGCGGCTGCTGGCGGGAAAATGATAGCAACCTGTTCAGTGATTCAATTCCCTGTGCATGTTGTTAAGCAAACATTGTGAATACGAACAAGAATCAGAAGGACGTCAGAAGCTTTGACCATAGTAGCACACAAGCAAAGTGATGGCAGTTAGCAAGGAGTTGGGGCTTATTTATATGTGTGGGGCGCAGCCGCAGCTTTGTACCTATAAATGGCATCACAGGGACCATCATTCTGTAAATTGGAGCCTTTGGATTGCTTGTCATGCAGCAGCACGCTGTTTTCGTCAGTATACCGCCCTAGTGGGTATCAGATTCAGAGAGAGTGGTCACCCAGGGGTTGGGATGTGATGTCAGCCCACGTGTTTTAGACCCGCTTCCGGAGAGTCGGTCTAGTACTTAACTGTTTGTCTAACGGCTTCGTCGCTTACTCTCTCGCATCGCAGGGTCCATGTAATTCTGATATCAGGAGACGTGATACTCCCTTCTTTAGCGCAACCTTTTTTGTATTGTTAGTATCGCCGTCACTCGGGAGAGAGATGGCTCCACAGCCTAGGATGAGGTTCTGGCCAAGGTCCACGTTTCTCTGGCAACATATTTTTTTGCCAGACCCCATATTATTTTCCGCACAGGACTGACAGTCACAATGTGTTAGAATGTGCTCTAGAGATTCTGTGTCTTCCCGGTATGTCTGGCACCTCGCTCTGTGTTCGAAGTGTGTATCTGAGACCAGAACACTCCTATTCGGCACGCATTGTCAAGTGATTTGTATATGAACATTTGCATGTTCTTTGCTATGTCTCTGTTTCTGCGGCTTCGCCACATTCAATTTCCAGGTTGGACGATACAAATTCTACCGCAAATCTGGTAACGTCTAATAGGGTCAATGTCGACCTTTTATAGTCTAGGTGGGTTCTATTCACAATCGCCTTGTAGGCTAATTGTTGGGTTATTTCAGTCAATCTAGCGCCTCGAAGGTCGAAGTTCCGTGGAACGTAGGTGTCAACATCGTCCAACTCTGTCCGGAGCGTGCCGGTGTGCGCGAGCTCTTTCGTTGCCTATATTTCCGTCATGGCCCTTTACCCATTGGAAGGTGGTCGGGCTGGGCGCCTCTGCAGATGGTATACTGCGGACCTGTGTCTTTGTCTTCCTAGTCCTTGAGGTAGGTTGTCAGCCCATTAAGTCGGTAACCATCTTCACAAGGGTCAGCGGGCTTACTTGCAGCGCTACCAATACAGCTGCGATTTCTCCAATCTGGTTTGATTGGTTGGGACCATCTTCGTTTTCATCATGATCCGTGACCATAATTTCATCCTCTATTGTTGTAGGCACTAATCCCTTGTCAACGCGCTGCAGTTCTGCAACATCGAGTGCTCTCCCTTCCAGAACTTCCTTTCCATCCACGTTTCCAGTCTGAGGCAAACACCATGTCCATCATCTTTTTTGCATCACGCATATATTTGAGTCGAGCAAGATCGATTCGGGACCTTTGAGATTGTCGCCGGAGACCGCTGAAAGTGGAGGAACAAATGCAAAGTCCGGTTTGAGCTGCTTGGCAATTTCTGTATCACTGCCTGGAAGTTCGTTTGTATGCATGTGAGCGTGGTGGCATCCGACATCGCGTTGGCTTGCCATCAGCAACATTCTTCAAGGTGGATATGATAGTAAAAGCACGTGAGGTATTTGAAAAGGATATCATTACTGTACTTCATCGATGTGTGGTCAGAGGCTGACCTCCAGACTTCATAGCCATTGTAGAGATATTTAAAGCACCTCAATTGACGTACGCTATCATACACTGGACGGATTCTGCATGTGCGGGAGTTCTGCCACATTCTGCCTGGGAATTTTTGTCATCTGCCTGGCAAAACAAGGACCCGTGTTTTATTTATACCACCTGTCTGCTGCGCCGCAAGCGGTTGACGGTATTGGAGCGGTCCAAATGGGATTTCAGCATCCGTAAAGTCTGCACAATCTCACCTGTCGCCACCATCAGTTTGGTAGGACAACAATAACGGATGCCTCAACTCACCCGCAAGCTTCGGCGTATCCGCTTCAAAGTCGTAGCGCTTGCTCCCACTGTCCCGTTGTACGATAATCTTAAACAGCGTCGACGATTTCGCTGACTGTTGACATTGGATGATACTCTTGATATGGAATGACGCCGTCTTTCCACTATCAAAGACCGCTTTGGCCTTGTTTGTGGATGGCATGATCTGGAGGAAGACTGTCATGTCATGTTCGATATTTGGTGATGATGAAAAGGCTTACATGTATATAGACACCATCAATAGCCAAAGTGCGTTCTTGACGAGCTAGCATAGGCATTTTGCGGTAGATGGTGTATTTCTTTTATCGAAAATCAACATCGTGAGGAATACACATCAGGAACAATAGCGAACCTTGTATGCTGTCGCGTAGTCGGCCGCAGCGCTTAGTTGGATCTCTGGGACATCCGATATCCGTTTGGAGATAGAAGCTGGAGAAAGAAAAACATTTAGCAACTATTCTGAGCGTAAGATAAGATGGTTACAGTACCATTCGGATCAGTGGTGCGTGCTGATCTGCTTTCGGGCTCGATGCCCAATTGAGGCAACATGGATCTCTTGATTAGCGTCAGCTCGCGTCTACCTCCAAGACTTGCAACCGTGCGGTCGAGGTACGCCAGCATGTTGAGCTCGTTAACAATCAGAGCATAGTCCTTAAGATTTGCTAGTTTGCGCTTTCGGCAAACCACTTCAAGTACCTCCTGCATATACATACCCGCTGATCTGTGCTCAGTGGTGAGTGGAGTAGATGGCAACATGGCCAAATATAACCTACACAGGAATAGTGGTGGATATGTGAACTGCGTCAGCGGTGTCCGCAACGCGAATACGCAAAAACAACTGAGGGCCATGACTCGACGAAGGACCCAAAGAAGATGATAAGATTGGAGTTGTACCGAACATCGCGCTTGTAGGGCCGGAGACGGACGGCAGCGTTAAGCCGCCTGAAGGACCTGTATCCTGCTTCTTTGGCGCTGTCATAACTCTCGAGGGCCGTCGCTGTATCTTGCTCTCCAGTTGTTCATTTTGTTGTACTGAGGGGAATAATTAGCATTAACAAGGGAGGGAAGGGGTGTCATACTTTGTAGTGGGGTAGCAGCTAGAATAGCGAATGCCTCGAAACCAAATTTCGAGATCTTGCCCGTGCGGTCGGGTGCTGTGATAGAAAGGGATGTGTATTCTGCAATGGCAAGCTACCAAATGGACATACGCGGAAAATCCTCGTCAACCTCGCCGTCATCCTCTGCAATGCGCATGACCCAACCTACTGCAGAGAGCTTGGGGTCGTCATCCTCAGCACCTGCATTTAGTTCAGGCTGCCATCGCTCGTCCCAGTAAGTCCATAAAGCAAAACCGATGACTTCCTCAATAGTTGCGTCTTTCCGCACGTTCAGAATCACATATTCGCCACGAGGTTCTGTCGCATGTGGAAAGTAAACCTTGACATCTATCGAGGCCGTCTCTCCCCGTCCAGATATGGCACCATACAGCTCACTGAATGGGTTGGTGGGACCGCCTGATGAAGCAAGGATAGTGGTGAGAGCAGATGCATGTGGGCGCGCCGGCGCGACAGGCTTGCGTGTGAAGGTCATGTCGGACGGAGCGTCGATAACAGGTAGTGATATTGAGACGCCTCTTCTGCGAGTTTCGTGTTTTGGAGGTGGCGCTTCAGATCGCTGATCCGGCTTTGGCGCCGGACTGATCATCTCGAAGTAATTCTCAATGGGCTTGGAATGAAGGGTTGCAGGACACCCTTCGCGAGTGTTGTCCGTAGCACGATGTTCAGATACGGGGCTGAGTCGTGAGCAGCCACGCTGGTAGGGAACAACGAACGGCGATGTTCCAAGAGTGGATAGATTGGACCCAGACAATGCTGAGGCAGTCCCAGAGAGAAGGGAGGCCCCATCAGATGCGCTGTCCGAGTGCATGGCTCGAGTGGCAGCGAAATCTCTATACATAAGATGGTGAGCTTTGCAACGGCGTAGATTAGATACAACACCGTACGGATCAAATTCATCGACTTCATCCATATTGTCGTCTCCTGGGACCACTAAATCGTAGTCGTTATCGTTATCGTCATCGTCTTCCATGCCGTCCTCATCATCGGATGAAGAGATGTCAGGATTGAGGCTACGCGTCGTCACGGAGGGAATCTTTGGCATAGAAGCTGTAACGCCGCGGCGCGCCACCATTCGCGCCCTACGCCTAGCCTCCATTTCGGCCGCACCTTTGAATTTCGGCACGAATTGAATATCCTTCAGGGGCAGTTCGGGAGGGTCGTCTTTCCGTGGAGCGGGTTGATGCTGCACAGGTAGGGGCTGCGAAACATCAGCCTGTTCTGAAGTGATTAGACACTGATCAATGTCACTAGCAGCGTTTATGAAGTTGACGCGGGGCAGGGCAGTGGGAGCATCTGCTCTTTCGTCATGTATTGCGGCTCTCTTTGCGATGAGAGACGCTCGCTTTGATGTAGAAGCACGTCGACCTGATACTCTCAATCCAAACGCTCCCGAACGGTTGCCCATGATCGTTTGATGGTGCTTAAGACCAGTGGCTCCAGGAAAACCTGATGAGGACTTATCAGGAGCCTCCGAATCATCGTCTGATATAGGCGGACTTGAGGGATATTCGAGTTCTGGCCAACGATGAACATCGGCGAGTGAGGCTGCTTGGATATATGGATTTGAGGTATAAGATGGGCTCAAGGAAATTATACGCGCGCCATAAGGGTCATCGATGTTGCGCAGGTAGGACAACCTTAAACTGTGAACTAAATATCTGTATCAAAGGCATGAGTACAACATTAGGATCATTCCGACCTTACCAGGCGTACCCTGGGTCACTGATGAGAGACATGGAGTCTGATTCGTATGGAGAATTGACGGTCCTTTGGGTGAGGTTTGCAGTCCGAAATTTGCAGTCCAAAGAGGTAGCGAAAAATGTATTCGTTGAGTATCTACTACAGTAGAAGTGTCAATTGTAGTAGTAAGGAGTGACTGCGTATACCAGATTAGGCATAAACGGCGAGCACAGCCAGAATCAAACTGAAGGCATCAGAATCTGGCAGAGAACCGGCAAGAATCCCGCTCATGGCACTTATAATGACCTTGAAGCTCTTTGCACCACAAATTCAAACGGGACAGTAGTGTCCGTCGATTCAACGGGAGAAAGAGGAATGAGTTCTGCGAATTCTGCCCTATCCAGAGAGCGTAATAATCATTTAGTTTATAGACGGGATAGCTCGTGTACTAGAACGATATTTGCAGGAAAACGGACAACATTGTATGAAAGCCAGCTAGGAAAATGTGAAGGACGATTGAACGATGATATGATATGCGAGGATGATACTGCCGTGAAGAAAACATTACTACTGTGTAAGCATGCATATGAAGCAAATGTTAGCGATGGAGAATACGAGGATACAGACTAACCACATAAAGAACATAACAAAGAGGTAAAATCAATAGGATCACCTGTCCGCGAACGCACTGAAATGCACACACGGGTAAGGGTATCAACTTCGTTCGAGAATGCTTTTTAAAGAATCACTTGAACGCAATTCCAGTGATCAAGTGCTTTCCGACGCTGCTGGTCGTCGTTCTGGCGCCCATGAGCCTTCTGCTTCTTCGCCAATGACAAAGACGATGTCTTCGTCGTCGTCATCTTCCCCATACGTATCACCTTCTTCTTCTATCTCACTATCCTGAACCTGAGCATAAGCGACCTGATCGTCCTGGGACTCTATTGCCTCGGATTCAATCGGATGGCACACAATGCTCCTTGGAGCATCAGGCAAGACGAACTGCTTCCACTGTTCCTTGGCCATCCGTACATATTCACCCTTGACCTCAGTCAAACTTGACAGGTTGAGTACATCGCGCACAAGATCAACCTCTGTGGTAAGCTTTTTCACCCTGTTGAATGAAGCTATCAGTGAAATGGGTATCCATCCCTGATCATCCATCTGCGCAACACGGCGGTAATTGTTAGAGACATAAGATTACCATGGTTTATTGAACTCACCCGCTGCCGGAGAAAGAAGTCCTGTGCCATGTTCTGAGAACTCAGATAATACTCCAACTGGACGAGAAGACATGACTGTGTCGGATCCAGGGGGAGCGGCAATGCCGGCTGTGGCAAAGGGATGGAAGGTGCGCCATTCACAGGAATGGTAAGTGGAACAGGGTGGTACAATTCGTAATCGGGAGGTGTATAAGATGGTATCTGGACGTAACCGTTCATATATTCGGCACCAGGTAGCGGCAAAGGATTAAACTGTGGAGGCGGCGTGAGAGAAGATATAGAAGATCGTTGGTGGTGGTGGTAACCCCCACGGCCAGCATGTCGCCCTTGGTAGCGGCCACCAAATCCACGAGCTCTTCGACCCCCATAAGTGCCCCGTTCATGCGGCCCATACGGACCAGCCCAAGAGCCTCGACGGGGTCGCCCACGTCCAAACTCTTTGACTTGGTCCCACAGTTCTCGCCCTTCGTATGCCTCCTGCCACGTGTGCGGAGTGTGGATCTCCTGTACTTCAAGCTGTAACTCCTGTTCCTTCTGCAACTGTATTTTTGCCTGCTCTGTCTGCCACTCGAGCTGTCGCTGCTTCTCCCGAGCCTCTTTGGCGCGGCGAATGACATCAGTGGCATTATCTGTGCCACTCATATCGCCGAATCCATATCCGTAGTCCTTGACCTCCCAGACGTCGCTCGTTGCAGAATTGTCCTCAGACTTCATCATTACAAGTCCGTTCTGTGTTTTACTAATTGGCGGCGTGACAGGTTTCTCCTTCCTGGAGGGCTGTGCTACGGATGTCACGGTAGGCGGATGCTGGTTAGGTAGAGGAGCAACTGCTTGCGTAGGTTCAGCGGGTGGAGGTGGGTGCTCAGATGACGTGCTCTTTGAATCCTCCAGTGGACTAGCCTCGTTCAGCCTGGCAAACGCCGTCGTTCCAAACACCCACTTCTTACCAGGTGTTAAAACATCTTCTCCAGTAACGGTATTCTCAGCCACCTTACACCCTTCCTGAGGTGCATCATCGATCGCCTTCGCATTATCTGTAGCTTCCGTTACGGGACTCGCAGGAGGCCTTGAAAGACTCTTGGTCGGATGTTTTTTGTTTCCTTGACGAGGTGGTGCCGGTTCGCCAGGTGGAATACCAATACAAAAGCCAGAGAAGTGTTCCGCCATTCGCCCAACGGATTTCTCGCCCTCTTTCCCCGCAGCCTCCTTTTCGTTCGGCGTCTGATGGACGCGATCACAAGTCGCGTCGATACTTCCAAAGACCATATTTCGTGAAATAATAGCAGGAGGCACATGTGAATCCTGCGAGCTCTCACGCGAACGCTCACTCTGCGCTAAACGGGTTTTTGGTGATGGTTCCGTTGTGCCTGCAAACGGCGGATTGAAGAACGACAGATGCATCGGTGGAGGCACAACGTATTCGTCCTGCAGTAACGGGGTAGAAAAGCCGGGAACAGGACGAGAGTGGATTGGGGGAACGAACCCATCCCACGAAATGCGCGAATGACAGTATCCGCATGTCGCTGTGTATGGAGGATATACTGAGTATGGCGGAGTACCAGCTCCAGAGGGAGGGCGCGAGCCCGCGTACGTAGGAGAGGTGTGTCCTGAAACGGGATTTACGTAGTACGGATGTCGAATGGCCGACAGTAGCGGCGACAGCCGTGCAGAATGCAGTGGTGTGTCAATAGTGGGTGGTATGGGCGGAGATCTGAAGTAATGCGATGCAATGTCGGGAGGATGAGACAAAGTGTGATGGTGGTATGCAGTCCTCTCTGTGACCCTTGAATTCATGCGTGGTGGGTTATAAGGAACCTTTGGAGCCTCATGACGAAGGTCATATACTACAGTGAAATCGTCATCCGGTAGTCGCCTTCCTCGGACTTGTAGCCGAGGACTCGAAGACGAGCTCCCAGCTCGACTTTCTACTTGGGAATAGGGCACCGAGTGCGAACCTGTAGAGTTCCCCTCGAATACGTTTCTGCTGTTCAGCCGAGACATTTGAGCTGATGGTGGTCTTGAATCACCTTGATGTCGGGTGGAATCGATACTATCTGCGGAACATAAATGTGACGAGCACCATCATCCAATCAGCACGGTCTCAATATATCGAAAAAAACATTGTAAAGAATCACAAAAGTGGTTGCTTAAAAAAGCCGAAGGGTAAGGAGTTGACAAAGGCAGATAACGTACTCTTTCTAGATTGATCAGCTGAATTTGAGGAATTATATGCGCCAGGGTGACTTTCCGATCTTCGGGACTTCTCACCGCCGTCATTTCCTCCAAGGTCGATAGATGGAGGTTTCGCGACCTCTTGCCAATTAGAAATATCAGTGTCATTGACTAGACGGATAGACTTGGAGGACGAGTGTCGAGAAAGGTGTGAAGGCATGCGCACGATAAAAGGATCATGGTCATTATCGTCTCCATCGATAGAAATCGTCTGTGATGGACTCGAATGAGACGTGGAAGTCGATGGGACAGTATTGGGGGCATCAACTAGATGTGGGGGAGTACCCATGATGATGGGTCTTGGCCTGGGAGGGACTGAAGGCGCTCCGACAGAAGATGTGACTATTGCGTGAGGTTGCCTCTGAGGTTGGTGTACGTGTAGATGTGCAAGGGCCATCTGCTCTTTCAAACGTTCGGTCCATACGTTTACAGCAGGCGCCGCCTTTGACACGTTGTTGGCATTCGGATGCACATGGTTCGTCGGCCCATTGTGGTCCTTGACGGTGTGCTGCGAAGATATTTCGGTAGGAAGTTCTGGAAAATCAGAAGCACCGGCCTGAGATCCGCCTATCGCTTCGACAGAACTAAGCGATTTGGGTAATTTGGATGTGGTGTTCGAAGGTGGCGAGGAAGAGGAAGATACCCCAGACGCGCCAGAGACGGTTGGGAAGTCTCCAAGAGAGTTCCGAATAGTGTTAGGAGAGCGAGGAGTCTTTTTTACACTTTCAGCATAAGAAACTGGAGGCTTTATTAATGGTCCAGGCGCTGACGAAACCATCTGCCTGCTTCAAACGTTCCTGAAGTGACTTGACGCGAAATCGATGATTAACAGTTAACTAATTGACTAGCTGGAGAAGTCAATGGTTCGAGGGATGCTTGACCTTGAGAGACAGTGACAGATGGGAACTGAAATAGGTGGCTTGTGTTTGATGTAAACTAGGGATATGGAAGGTAGTAGGGGGAGGCGATGAAGGGGTTCAAGCACGCGCTCGTCTACATAATAATTTGACAATGGCCCCTACACCCATATCGGCACTTCCCGTTTCAATGCTGTCGGCTATAACCGAGCCTCGACCGATTAAAACATGCTAATCACGATCACGATCTTCTTGTCCAGACGTCCAGATTTCAGACGTTGATGAACCGATAGCCTCATGACCCAGCTGATACTTTTCTATCCTGCGGTTATATTACGCCCACATTTCATAGGTTCTTGTCGAATTCGCAAACGGGTCGGATCTTTACGTCCCAAAACTTCTAATGAGCAAATCAACTGATATCTGACAGTGTCATGAATGTCTTGTTTCAGGTACATAGCTGTGGCAATCTGTGCGTATTGCTGATGCTAAAATGGTTTCTCTATTATTGTAATCGCGATAAATATACTGCACAAGTAATTCCTATGACCCATCTGGTCGGACAACCAGTCGTCGAGGCTACAGCCCACGAAGAATCCATTCACTCTTGGCGCACGCGTATAAACAAGCTTATGCATGCTTCGCTCACGGTGCCTTTGAAAATGCCCTCAAATGTGTGCTTATAATGAGGTCAGGATAACATCCGCGACGAACAATGGCTTACAGATGAATCTGACAGCTCCACGCCACCGAGCGCGTTTTAACGATAGACTAGATAGTCAGCAGGGATTGATCTCGCTTGACCTAGGAAATACCCAACTGGTACCTGCTGTTACTTGTGTCTCAGGTAATTTGGTATGTTCGGTAAAAAGGGTCATTTAGAAGAATCTTAGGACGTTCGGAAGCTAATGCACTACGAAAACAGATGGGCCTGAGCAACCTCAGGGGTTATGCTAGCCCAGAGGATTGTGCAACCATTGAAGTACGCATATTTGAGTATGAATTGACAGGAGAGAATATAAAGCTGACGGACAGTCGACGAGCAATATAATGAGCGAATACACCATTGCATTAGCAGCGGATAAAGTCAAGAGTGGGCTTAGCAACATGAGAAGCTTAGCTTAGCTCAGTGAATAGCCAGCTCGCGTACGTCAGACGTAATTAGTCCACAGTGTGATTAGTCATGCCGTGGTGTTTGACCGCACTCATGTGATCTGAGTACAAGGCGTTTGAGGGGCCACGTCCATGATCCGATCATCAACCTGCGCAGTCGTTCCGAAGCACGAGGCATCGAGTATGGTGTGAGAATTAGATAATCTTCGGTCAAGGATTTCAAATCATACTCCCCATGGAGTCTGAGCGCAGATCAACCGGCGTTACATACCTTGTTAAGTAGAACGGTATGGATGCTTGTCATCGATACTCTGGTGGGGGCTAGTATGTTGCCTAGACTGGCGACAACTTTGGTCGCTCTTCTTAAGATCTTCTAATGTGTTCCGTGAGAGAGATTGCTAACAGCGAGCACAGTCGGACTTTTAGTACTAGAACGATTCAATCTGAATTCAAACTCCGTAACTTCACCAGTATGTGTATTATAATTTAAATACAATTGGTCTGGAAAGCATTTCTAGATTGCGAGGAGGTGCGAGACAACATTAACATTCTGACTTATTATCTAGGATTTTACATAAATACTGCGGAAAGTTACCCAATATTTCAACAAGAAAGAACAAAGTGACTAAGAGACTAAAATGGATATATACTAGGCGATTAACGCTCACATGAGCTCGCACTTAGCTTGATTGCGCGAGACTCCAGTCACATCCCATCATCCATGCCCTTCCCTTTACTTCCTACCATAAGTACTTAAGCTGATCTGTACTCAGTGTCACTCACCGTGCTGCAAGATATAATGCAAATGCTTAGGGCCACATACATCTGTGGCCCAACAATGAGCCCCAGAAACTTCTCCGTCTTGCCTCCAGTACGCCTCTCACCCCTCCGCAGTATCTGCCACAAGCCCATCAAGACCTTGCTCAACGCCAACCAGGAGTGGGCACAGAGCGTAGTAAAGGACACACCCGACTTTTTTGCCCGGTCAGCCACCAGCCAGAACCCCAAGGTATGCCAATCGCTCTGTTTTCAGTCACGTTTTCAAAGTTTATTTCAGATCCTTTGGATTGGCTGCTCTGACTCACGAGTACCGGAATCAGTCATCACAGCATCTAAGCCTGGTGATATCTTTGTGCACAGAAACGTTGCCAAGTACGTAGACAAAAAATCATTAACATCCGCGTTATACTCACAACCCATCCCTGCAGCCAATTTCACCTCCATGACGACAGCGCCCTCTCAGTCCTTACATTTGCTATCAAAGAAGTCGGCGTTGAACACGGCGAGTTTCTTACTGCTCTCATGATGAGGCCGATCCTTCCTCTAACGGGTATACACCTCAAACAGTCATCCTTGTCGGTCACACCAACTGCGGAGGTGCCATGGCTTGCATAGAAGCAGCCAAAGTCGCTGCCGCTAACCACGGCGTGTCCACCCCACTCACGCGCTGGTTGAGCCCCCTCACCGCACTTGTTCAATCCCTCGACCTTTCCGCGTACTCTGCGAGCGAGGCGTTGAGAAAGGTCGTTGAAGCTAATATCATCAAGCAGGTCGACAATATCTGCAAGTCAGAGCCTATTACCACTGCCTGGGCGGACCCGAATGCGAAAAAGGTTGCTGTGCACGGATGGATGTACGATCTTGCTAAGGGACGCATCGAGGAGCTCGTCGTTCGGGACTCTTAGGCATGACAAGAACATATTACGACTTGTCCATTTTTTATGCCAATACAATCTCCAAGGCCGCGCGCCAAATTCATGGTTTTTCTTTGAAAATAGCTTTACAGTTGAAGATGTTTCTAGGATCGTGGATCTCAGGCTCTCTCCCACCCTACAGGTTAATAATACGTCAGATGATTTGGTGTAGATTCCGAGGCAGTGATGGGTTCAGCGCTCAATTTGAGTATTGATTGGAAGTTTATTGCCAGATCGGCATTTGACGAAGCAACCCTCGAAGGTCTCGCTGTGGAAGCAGGAAACACTATTTGGTCCTTTGGATCGACCATGTTCAACGTACTTGTCTGATGCTCAAAATTGGTGCGCAGAATCCAGTTCCGAGTCCAGCAGCGCCGAAGGCACAATATTTCGAATTGATAGAAATCCCGATGATCTGATATTATAATTATACTAGCAGTGGGACGTTCTCTGCTACAACACATCACTCAAGCAATTACGAGGATTTCTGAGCTAGTATTAGTAGTGTTGTTGGTACTCGTACACTAGCACTACAGTGTACGAAGCACTTTTCCAGCCTCTCGGATTGGCCCGAACTTGAAAATGTATCTAGTCCTCGAGATTTGACCGCTTTGTACCGTAGAGTAGCACAAATGCAATCTTTTTACTTGTAGATTAAGGCTATCTCATTAGAATTTTGAAAATCAAGGTGTTGAAAAATTTTCCAACGAAATTTGAAACATGTTGCAAGAAATGGTATTTCTGGGTAACTGAGCAGGTATACGATAGTAAGTATGAATCAGATGATCTACAGAAGCCATCTGCTCGCAATTTGAGCATCCAGCGTGGTCAAAATATCTGTCGCAAACCCAACACGACGGTGGGAGCAGTACTTCTTAACCGCGAAGGCTGCTTGTTGTGTGTCGAGTCCTTTACTGTTCAAACTTCAGCGTTGCACGATTACTCGACAGTAAACATACCAGTAAGCATCCATATAATGCCAAGCTTTGCGGAAAAAACGGTGAATGATCAAAACATCGCACATGTCAAGACATTGTGGAACCAGTGTTTTCGCGGTTGAGAATTTGCCATCAGCGACAATCTCATTGCTTCTTTGCTCGAGCAGCTTTCTTTGCCACAGGAGGCATATGAATGGTCCAAGGGAGATGAACAGGGTCTAGGGAGCATGGGGTAATTTTTTTTCCAACGGGAAAATTTGAAACAAAATGGGAAATTTCGAAAAATTGCTTATTTTTGCTTGTTTCCTTACAGAATTTTCATTGGACATCGAAATTTGTACTATAGAGGTCCCTACGGAGATGGTATCCTAGTGCTTCGTACACTGTACTGGTACTCACTCAGCAGTTCGAAGTCCGATGGTTATCTAACACTACCTTTTTTGGAAGTGGTGTCTGGCTAACTTTGAATCCGCCAATAGAATCTAAAATAATTGTCTTTCTTGGATGGCAGAACTGCATCCTCCACTGCATCGCACCGCTCATCCTCACGAGCCCAATGGAGACGACCTTGAAAAACTCAAGAAATGGCAGGAAGCTCGTCTTGAACGAAAACTTCGAGGAGAGTATGAGTCTGCTGTCTTCCACCTTGCAGAGCTTGTAAGTGATGCCTTCGTCCGCATTCGCATCATTTCAGAACGGATCTCAAATAGGTCAACCAAAATATCGAGACACCACTATCAGTCACTTCGGTCCGTGTAGATGGCGCCACGAATACCAGGAAGTCTTTCTTAGGCTGGTTGATCCAGCCATGGCTCGCGCGGCATATAGACGACCAGGCAAGCAAGTCGAATAACCTGCAGGGAGTGCTGCATACCGCCAGGGGTATAAGTCACCTTTTGCAAGAGACGGACCTTTTTCACTCTGTGGACGCAAAAATTCAGAGGAGTCGCGGTCACCTTGCCGGGGAGGGGGACGTCGACATTGTAGTCACTACACGCGAAAAAGGCCGGTTCTACTTGAAAACTGCCACTGAATTCGGTAATAATGAAGGTAGCGTTGTAAGCGTCATGTTTTTACGAGTAATCATTATCATTTCTCATCTCTATTACAGAGTGTCACGGGCAGAGTGCGCAACATATTTGGCGGAGCTGAGTTCCTGGAGGGGCACTACTCAGCAGGAACAAAAACGCGTCGTTCTTTCCACGGGCTTCTCTCCCTTCCTCTTTCGCCGTCTTTGCGCACAACGGGGCAACTTTCATTGTTCAGTCAGGAGCGAGATCTATCGTCTTTTGCAAGTTGTTCGGAGATTTTACACGGCTTAAAGGTTGCAATAAATGTAAATTTTATTACTTATCCTGTGAAATGTCAAACTTGCTGAGTGTACGTTTTTGAAGAGCAACTGTGGAGTTCATGGCGTCCACGAAATTGCATATCAGGCCGTTTTGAGGCACCTCAACAATCTAGCACCAGGTGCATCCGTCAGGTCAGGCTGAATACGTCTTATCATCGAACCTGTATCTAACGATTATCCAGCATTCGCGAACATGCTGGTCAAACCATCAAATCATCAATATCTCATTCATGGACAAAAGATACCAGAGACGACAAGCTCTCAGCTTCACGTGGCTACTACTGCAAAGTTTTCCAAGAACTAGCTGGACTATCAGGGGACGTGTCATTTTACAAGGCCGAGTTCGAAAGTCAGCTTTCCCAGCGCCTCGTTCCAGGAATGGTGAGTCGTACTACTATTTCGTCAGTGCGGCATAACTTCATGTTGAACATGCAGAGCCTCTCATTGGCTGCACGGTGTAGCTTGTTAAAGGCTCTTACCGGCCCCAGCCATTTTTCTGATAGGTTCCAGCTTGGCGGACCTCTCAGCTTAAGGTCGTTTAGGGCAAACAGCATGGGCCCTCGAGATGGAGGTGTGTTTTAATTTTCACGTGGAACAGGACTTCTTTTTAGACTGATCGCGCTAGTCGATTCACTGGGCGGTGAATTTTACTGGTCGACAGGTGTTTCTTTAGTGTCCGACATCCCCCGGAAACCGCATTGGCCCATCAAGTCACACATCTTTATAAATGCCGGGAGGTTGGACGCAATGGACGGAGGTACGTAAATACCAAATCCTTCCTCTAGAATATACTGATGGTACTTTTGTTCTCGCCCATCACAGTGAAGGAGCTGAGCGAGAGTTTAAGAAATCCCTCAATATCTGCGGGAGTCGGCCTTCTATATAGGTTTGATCCTGTGAGAGTAGAAGTGAACTTTGGGGTGCCGCTTGTTGCAAGTAAGAGTGATGGTGTGCGAAAAGGCTTCCAAGTTGGTATTGGCATGGAGTTTCTATAAATTCTTCGTTACTCGGGAGTGCATGCCAGATTTATAAACATCTGGTAGCTAGATAAGACTCTAATTTCTTTTGATTTCTTTACCAGAAGTGAAAGCGAGGTCGTTCTGATTGATTTGCGGTTTGAAAAGTTGTAGCAGACGAGGAAGGCTCCACGCAAATAGTTCATCATGTGTGATGTGTGTCTTTGCTTATACGGCCCAGGAGTCGCTGCAGCTCCGGAGGCCTTGAGCCTTAAGCTTGAGGAATGAAATGCACTGTGTATTGGCATCGACACTTCTTCCTATACAGCTTCGAAGAGATCTGTTTTGGATCTGCCTACGTCAGGAGACTGCTCCTCCCAAAACGTATGCGAAATTGTTTCAGAACACGTTAGGAGCTCAAGTGGATTACACGCCTAACGCAAAGTGGAGGCCTTAGGTTCGGTACATGCAGTGGCGGCCGCGTCAACGTGAATTGAGATCAAACGTTCTGTTCTGACAATATGCATATCACTTATCCGATTTCTGCGTAAATCAACATCCTCATCTCATCTCGATTGCATAGATGCTACACTATATAAGATAGGGCGCGTTGAGGCCCGCATGGCTTGCACTGTCCCGACTCCACAGTGCACTACAAGAAGCCAAGTCTTTTAAGCATAGGAAATCTCCAACAATGGCCCCGCAAGAAGCTAGCCTTTTTGTCAACCTCGACAAAGAGCGTTGAGACTCTTCCATAATTAACATCCAACCCACAAGGACGTTGAAGGTCCCGTCTCCTCTTATTTAGCGAGGGCACGTTGAGGCCGTCATGCAACGATCGATACGCTCAGTACCTATTGAAGGGGTTGGTCAATGTACGACGACAGAGCACAAGTGTCTAACCTGTAGTGCGAAGCTTTGTATGGGCCTTGGACAGGGATGTCAAGGTACTCGGATTGCTCGGGACTGAGCTCAGTCAACTTGACGTTGAGCTGAGCAAGGTGAGCACGAGCGACCTCCTCATCCAGCTCCTTGGGCAGCATGTGAACTCCGAGGGGGAATTTCTCTGGGGTGGTCCAAAGAGCAATCTGGGCCAACACCTGGTTCGCGAAGGAGCAGGACATGACGAAGGACGGGTGGCCGGTGGCACAACTGGTAATCCATCATAGGTTAATTACGAACTAGAAATTGAACTTGAAATCAACCAACCCCAAGTTCACAAGACGTCCCTCAGCGAGGAGGATGATGTGACGGCCGGAAGGCATTGTGAAGCGGTCAACTTGAGGCTTAACATTGACAGCTTGCTTGGCATTGGCCTTCAACCATGCGACATCGATCTCGACATCGAAGTGACCGATGCTATCGAAGAGTGAGTCCTCATCAACAAAGTAATGGATGTTGTACGCACTTGCAAACGATAGCATCCTCAGGCATAGCCAAAAAATGCTTAGCAGTGATGATATCACGGTTACCAGTGGTAGTGACGAAGACGTTTGAACGAGAAGCAGCATCCTCCATGGTCGTCACCTCATAGCCAGCCATCGCAGCTTGCAACGCGTTGATGGGGTCAATTTCCGTGACGAGGACGCGTGCGCCGTACGAACGCAGTGATTCAGCACACTAAACCATCAACCATCAACAACAGCTGGGCGAAAGCGAAGAAAATAATACTCACTCCCTTGCCGACATCACCGTAACCGGCGACAACGGCAACCTTACCGGCAAGCATGACATCAGTAGCACGCTTGATACCATCAACAAGAGATTCCCGGCATCCATAGTAGTTGTCGAACTTGGACTTCGTGACGGAGTCGTTGACGTTGATGGCTGGGACCTTCAACCTGCCTTCACGGAAAGCCTTGTACAGGTGGTGGACACCTGTAGTAGTCTCCTCAGAGACACCCTTGATGTCTTTATTGTGCCAAAGTCAATAATGTGTTGCAACATGGATAAAAATTCTTACTCTTCAAGTATTGGGGAAATTTTTCGTGGACAAGGGTGGTAAGATCTCCACCATCGTCAAGAATCATGTTCAATGACTTGCCACCAGGGAAGGCAGCAAGACTCTGTTCGATACACCATTGGTACTCCTCCTCTGTCTCTCCTTTCCAAGCGAAGACAGGAACTCCAGTTGCAGCGATACTATAAAGCCATTATCAAGATACTGATATCATGAAGTAAGATATACTCACGCAGCGGCAGCATGGTCCTGGGTCGAGAAGATATTCTACCAATGGAAGTGAGTGTCTCGCAATGATCACGTAACCATAGGCACCTACGCAAGACGACCAGGTGACTTCAGCGCCGAGGACAGTCAACGTCTCGATCAAGACGGCAGTTTGAATGGTCCTGCAGACTATAAGGACTTCTGCAACAAATAACCGTCATTCGAACTCACATGTGCAAGCATCCTGCGATACGAGCGCCAGAAAGAGGCTTAGAAGGTCCGTACTAAAGGAAGGACTTCAAAAAAGAAATCGTTTGCGAGTTCGCAAAAAGTACCTTTGCCCTTACAAACATCAATCCTGGCATTTCGTTCTAAAAAGACATGGGATCGGTCGATAAACGATCGCGAAAAGCAAGGCGGAGCTCATACCTCAGCGATCTCGATCTCCTTGCGACCGAACGCTGCGAGAGAGATATCTACAGGGGATACTCATTCGGATCAATAAGGTTGAGCAAAAAATGACCATCATACCTGCTACTTTGAAGACCATGTTGAGGTATTTCTGAGGAGATGAACGATGATGGGAGAAGGAAAATGAGTGAAACCAGATGGGGATCTGATTGCTGCGACTTTTATCTGGAAAACCCACGTGCGCTTATCAAGGAATGTCCATACAAGGTGCGTGGGAGAGTTCATCATTCCAGTCTTGGACACTCACACTTTGACTCGTGACCAGTCGCGAGGACATGTCCAGTCCCACCTATCCGACGAACCTTCTCTCACAGTACTTTTCTGTAGTTCACGCACATGACCTTCCATGAACAATCTGGAGATCTGAAGGAGACTCAGAGAAAGAAGTGTCGACTATTGGAAATAGGTATGATAAAATGCCCTACAGATACATTCTTGAATAACTAACGACGTGTGTCTTGAAGTGCAATACGCATGTGAACCAGAAGAGCTTCCTAGTGGAGAAGTTCGTCCTCGATGCTCTCCTTTTCCTCGCATATTTAGGATGTTCGTGTGAACGCTACATCTCAGGAGATTGACATGATTTTGACGTGGCTATATTCTCAGATGCCCTAACCGTCCAGCCGTGGAAATAACAAAACTTATCAATATCGACCTCGAGACAGGAGAGATTGAAATGCCGGAGGAGTCTAGGTTTGTTATCGGACAATCCACCGTGATCATATATTCAGTCCATCCAATACAGTGCCCTTCTTCCAAGGGGCAAACACTGGCGAGATATACGTCGATACGACCTCGAAGCCGTAGCTGGATCGAGTGGTTGATCGATTTTAAGCTCACGAGAGTACGCAAGATATAACCCACGGGGTTTCTTACAAGGTTTCACCTCCAAGAACACCTTGCAATTCATTTCTAGCACATTTCGCTGCGTGCTTAGTCCTTCGGAATTCAGTGCAGTTCTCCGAATGAGTTGACTTTTTATATTCAGTATCATACGAATTTTAGTTGTGGCTATAATTGATTGACTGCTAGTAGCCAGGCTTTTTGTTGCTTCTATGGATACTTCAGGTCATCAATGTTTCAGCTTCTGGTGTATATGTCCATCATTGTTTCTGTTCACTCTTGGTCACTCCAACCAACTATTGATGATCGTTACAGCATGTAAGCGCATGGGTCACAGTTGCTGCATGCAACATCGGCACTGCTTGTAGTGCTTCTCATGGCAGTAATAATACCGTAGCACTTATTTTCCCTTCCCAAGCTCCAATCAATTTATGTTGTTTACCAAGTCATATATTGTTGCCTAAACGTTTGTATTGGACGGCATGCCATTCAATTGTTTTAAACATCAAAACCAATATCCGGAGATCGGTGTCAATTCAGGGTTGCCGTGTCTGATGAGCCATTCCCATGATCTGCAGCATCGCACAGCTGAAGATTCGGTCGTAAATATTGTCCTGATCATCCAGGAAAGCTTGGCCCCGATGTCCGCACTGTCGAATGTTAAGTACATAAATCACATAGCGTCCGCAGGTACGGAATACGTGTGTCTCAGCCGTGCGGTTGATTGTGCTTTCAGTTAAAACAGCTTTGTACCACTTTCTCAGTGCTAGTGAGCAATTATCATTGCTACCGACTAGTACTTCCACGCATATAAATAAATCACATCTCAAACTTGGCTACCATCCGCTAGTAGTACGATGCAGAACCAGTGTCACTGCAATTCGTTTGTCGATGATCACATGCCGTGACCTTCAGCCGCCGGCTTTTATGACTTGGCCATCAAAAAATGTTTTGATAATAGAGCGCTTAGCCTACTAAGCCTAGCAATGGTAGTCTTCGGAGGTATGATCAGTGCTCCCGTACAGCCCGTTGCAGCTCTTGTGCTTGAATCGTCAAGACATGTTATGCTGTGAGTTTGTGGTAGTATCACACATTGCTTCGCAACTACTAACAATTCCGTCGCGACACTCATCCTAAGGTCTTTAACCATTCCCTTGTCCTGGAGGCTCTGTCCGTTGCTCGACTTGCTGAGGCTCTAGCTTTTCCAATCTTTGCCCTGCCAGTGAGAGGTTGCGTGGTCAACACTGCCTAGGCCTTGTAGTAGGCATGTTCCATACATTTAATCGGTTTGAAGGTGTCCAGGGTGGTCATTCTGTGGATATCAAGTGCGAGACTATAGAAGAGACGTCCCTGAACCGACGTTCCCCCTCAAACTCTACCTGCACTTTCTTAGATACTCAACATCGCACCGTTTCGTCCTCGCCTGTTACCCTTCGGCGTTATTCCTCTCCTGGTGCTCGTTCAAGACGGACGCACCTCCAATCATCAAGCCTTCGACAGGCTCACTCAAAAAGGGATTCCCGTAAAATTTCTGACCGCCGCGCGAAAATGTCCCATCCTTTTTCGTCGAGGGGGACGCCTAGTAGGATGCTTTACTCTCAATCGGACACCCCTGGACGGAGGTCTGTGGACAATGGACAACGCGTCATGCAGTCACCGTCTCACGCACTGCCAAGCACTTTTATCCAAGTGAGTCACCTCTCCCCGGCCTTACTGTCATATTCACAGAACGTACTTCTCGCTCTCCCAGTCTCATGGAAGCATGGATATAGGCCCACAAGCGTCTGGTTCCAGCTTGGCTCCGACATCAAGCCTGTCTGGTGCCGTTGGGGATATGAACATTTCCCCGCACTCATGGAATGCTGTAACCAGAACTTACTCAAATGCACCGACATCTTGGGTGCCTAATATTCCACCAAACGTGCAATCTCATATTCATTCCACCATCCCCTACAATACCAATCCTACCACGGATCTTAATACTGCACCACACCCTAACCATCTATCCGCCACACCGAGGTCTCCGCCATTTGCCCACACCTACCCGAACCAAATGACCTTCCAACAAGACCGTTCTTCTCAAAACTCTCCTGCCGTTATACAGGGCCGCCCAGGATCTCGGATGTCATTAGATCAGTCTCGCCGCCCTTCACAGGATGCCATCGAAGAGGAGAACAAATACCTTCGAAAGAGGGTGAAAGACCTTGAGCTAGACAACGAGAAAGGTCGTCAACGTATCGGAGAGCTTGAAGCAGAATTAGCAGACCGCAGCATCGCAGGCCCTTCAATTAGACACCCAGAGCCGTCCATGAGTACAGCTACCCCTGGAGTGACTAGTACACTGCGTACTCCTACTCCTGCGGCCGTGCAGGCATCCTGGAAAGCTCGGACGGAGGCTCGCATACGGCTTTTCTGTTCTTTGAATCGTGCTGGAAACGCGTTATGCTCCTGGCACGACTCGCGTCGGGAACGTCGAATATACCCACCTCGTATGGCCCCTCTTGGCTATTTAAACTGCGGTTGCACATATGAAGAGGCACTTTTTGAAGAAAGTTTGTCTCGTCATGGTGTTGGCAGCTACCACCCTGGAGAGGCCGTCCGTATGGACCCTGCCCTTCGTAACCCTCTCCTCAAATTATTGCAGGAGCGATATGAATACAGGGATGGTGACTTCGAAAGAAATCCGACAACAGGGGATTGGGAAAGTGATGAGGGAAGCGTCTTGTGGGAGCAGAAACTGCTCTCAGGTGCCTCTAACTCTAGGAAAAGAAGCGACGATCGTCGGTAGGCCTTGGGCATTGTGAATATTTATGCTATGTATTATGCATATCTTCTCGCATTATTATATAACGACTTTTCTTTCAGATCGCATACTGTATTCCATATTCGTGCTTTAACCTTGTCCACAAGTGCCAGTTTGGCATGCTCATTCATTGACACTCATACGCTTCTTATATATCAAACGTCGTACCGATTACAATAGACAACTTATAATCACGTAGTTACATGGAATCAAGACTATTAAAATTGTCAAATACTGTATAATTTTGACCTTAGGTTTGTCACGACATAACTTTGTTTTGAGATATGTTTTTTTTTTATGAAAACATTTACCTAACTACATTTTTCCCTCCTTGTCATTTTTGGGCCAGACTCTGTCTACGAGTATGTAAGCTAGCTGTCCTCGAGAGACGAACCAGTCACAAAACCTAAAGAGTGAATAAAGAACATCATGAAGATTCAGAATATAGGCTTTCACAGAATACTATAGACTCATCTCCAACTGTACAGCCTACTAATTTGATCAAGTTTCACTGAGGATCAATCAGTGCACGAGCCCACAGCCAGCCATTTAGTAGTTTTCCAGTGCAGATCATGCGTGCATGCAGTGCACGCGCTATGTATACGTTGCCTCGTGCACACCTCAGGCCTCAGCCTGCACATGTTTGTTTCAAATTTCAATAGGACTCCGCGAGGCATAAGCATGTAAGTAGTATTACATAATTTAAAAATCATTTATCATTTGCAGCTTAGCTCTACCATTTTGCAACTATATAGCCCAACGTACGTAATTCAAATCATCGCACTAACCTGTGTTTTTGTCGAGAGCAGAACGGGGGATTATCGATTAGATTTGGATTACATAGATGCAGGAGATCATCGATCAATTATCGACGGACAGGTGGTCCGTGCTCTCTCCGACGCTGACTAAGCTCTCTAAATCCGGCCTCATGAGCTCTACGCTTCTTCGATTTATATTCCTAGCGCAACGTTCTTGTTATTTGCATACAATTATATACCAGCATCCCGATGGCAAAGGTTTCCAGGCTCATGACATTCACATTCCTCTTCAGGTGCTGCATCGCCTGGTCATGGTCGCGCCAATCTCCGGATCAGTCTGCTAAGCATGATACTCAAGCTTTTTCATCTCAGATACACGGTAGTTTTTGTGTCCCTCGTATTGTCGTATATATAACGCTTCATTCCCCAGCTGAGCTATCCCGTGAAGAGATCGACCTGATTTCTAAACACACTGGCAACGGTGGTCGTGATCTTTTGTATTCAACGGGGGGACAGGAATCTAATAGTTTGCAGGTGCATTCGATGGATATATGCGTAAAAATGACTGCTTTCAAGACGCCGCAAGGCACGCACAAAGTCGTTGTGAGGTATCTCACATGAGCGAGGATGAACGTATACAAGGTTTCTCAGTTCCACGTGCATGATTTGAGACCTTCCTTACATTTTTAGTCGCTATCAGGCTCACCCTCTGTGAACTTGCTACAGCCCGCCATCACACACCACCTCTCGAGTGTTCTCCGTTCATTAACAATGTCGGATCACACGTTCCACATCATGCAGGTGATTGTGTCGAGTACGTCGCTGTTGACAAGGTTCATTAGGCGAACGCTTATTGATACATAGTGCACTCTCTCGGAGCGCTCAATTTTGGTCTAGCTACTCAGGGTACCTGCGAGAAATCCGTAAGGCTGGGTCGTGTCTTGACTGTTTATCTAATAGTTGCGATCAGCCCAGCTGTGCTTTGCGTTTCGTCGATGGATGGAAATCGGTGCGTTCTAGTAGAGATGGTAGCCGTTCCTCTCACGTTTCACCCATTAGACACCGCAAAGGATATCTATAGAAACATAACCTTGGAGAAACTTGCTCTAATTCGATTTTTTCTCGAACAGCAGAGAGGATTCACAGCTGCACATCAGAACTGGGAGCGATCGTCTACGGTTAATAGAATTCCCTAATAAGTGCGAGTGGGCAGCTGATCATTTCTCACAGGACCTACGCGATCTTGTCAGCGTGTTGAAGTCGACTAGCGATAACATACGCGACGTTGCAGATGTAACATCCACTTCCATTATTCAAAATGCGCAATCAGTAGGTGACATTCTGACCGCTTTATACAGTCATTTAGTAAACCCTTGCAGCTATTAACAAACATGGAAGCTACTTTGTCAGTCATCAACCAGCGCAGCTTCGATGATCATATTCATTCGTTGGACAAGGTAACCTATCTACAGCTTATCAACGAAAGCTCACATTCCCAGGTTGATCGGAGGATAGATGACTTGATATCAAGCGTATTGTTCTCATTCCCTGGGCTTTCAAAGCGTTCCTAAAGCAATACACAGCATTCAAAATCTGTGTCGTCGCTACTATCACTCGTCGAATCGCGTTTAACCGCTGAAATTGAATCATCCACATCATTGATGTTAGAGCAGAGCCTTCGATCTCGGGCAGTTGCGGTGCGGTTGTCTGAATACTATCCCCGACATTCTTCTGATTGAGCTCTCAGGATCAAGTTCAGCAAAAATGGTCCGCGCTTGACGCGACTTTCTATGCTATGCAAAATGTGACCGGTTCTCTTCCATTTTTGTCGCAGGTTGACATTATCTGTAATCTAGTCTTTCCACGACCTGCAAAGTTTGACCGCAGGGCTCGCAATCTCTCTAGAGACCTCTCTTTCTCAAGTATTGCATGTGCGAGAGATCCAGCGAGAGGCCGCAGAATCCGTTTCACTTCTAGATGACAGGATTTCCCAGCTCACGGAAGTGACACACCGTGAACTTGAAACAATCAATCAGACGGCCCTTACCCTCATTGACACCTTTCAGCGCCAGTCAAAACACGAAGCTTGGCTAATTAACCTGCAGTGGCTTTTGCGTTTTGTAGAACCCAGTTTGTGTTGCTATTAGTTGTGCTCTTCTTTCTGATATCCCCATGTCAGCGTCATTGCTCGGGTTGAAGATTTTTGAAGTCGCAACCAGTCTTTTGGTGTTCCTCTGGCGTCTTCTGGAAGTGGTACTGTCACTTCTCATGGTAACTCAAGGATTGAAGCTATTATTTTTTATTTTTCTGATGCGACTACGGCAGACTAGCGTCGCAGTTTCCAGCATCAAAAGTCGACTATTACCCAAGTTCCGTGGTTCGAAACAGCTACAACCGCAAGAAAGTTCATGGCGTCTCAACTCTCACCTGGAGGCGAATGTGACACCTGTTTCGAATGTCAGGCATCTTCAGCGGAATGACTGTCTAGACCCGCGGATCATTCGGCGACTTACTGGACCTCGCGTATCTCGCATACCCGATAGGATCTGTCGTCGAGCCACCCCTTATTGAACATCGTTGCAATTCTCTTTTACCATTTTCTGTTTCTGTATTAATTCAAAAGCACTGCAGTGGTTATCATATATATCTAAGGCTGAGCATATTGCAAACCTCCTCCTTCAAGGATGTGAACTTCGTAGATGCTAGTTAATGTTGCCCAGTTAATTTCATGTCTGTTATGTTAAGCTAGTCTTATTTTGCTTGGCAGCAGGCCTAACAAGCCATGCTGGTCGTGCGCGTGAGGCTAAGTAACTTAGGCGCAGTCTGGACAACGAATAATTGCGAATTCAAAATTCTGAATCAAGTCACATGATGGTCTGGGAGATGCCGGATCACAGCGCACCTTGCTCGCGTACTAGCTAGTATACTGTATACATATTACATGGATGATCTTGATGATACTGTTGACCTTGAGGTCCATCGCCAAATCAACCACTATCGACATTGTTGGACCGGGATTCTTCTAGCCATGTTAATCCAAATTATGCATACCTACCAGCTTCTATTCTTAAATTCAACAGAACACATCCCATGTCATACGTCCATCCTCACTGGTGAGGCATGGGTGTATGAGCTCATTTATGGACATCCTGACGGGATCCGGCACAATCTCAGTGTCGACTGTGACATTTTCACTGCACTGTTGCATGTTCTCCATCGTAATGGTTTTAACCCATCTCGCAATGGCGTATCAGTGGAAGAGCAACTTGGTTTTTTTTCATATACATGTGTCACTGGGCTGTCATCCCGCCTCATTGGAGAGCGCTTTCAGTGTTCCCCTGACACCATCACAAGGTACAGTGCCAGTAGTCTCAATATTATTTGTGTGACTCATTAGATCTACTATTTCAAAGATATTTCAAACACATGCTTTTCTTCTTCTCATCAAATCCGTTCTATGCCTCCCAAATCATGTTTCCAACACACACAACTCCCATCTCTGATAAAATCCTCAACAATCCTTGATTTCGATTCTTCAATCAGTGTATTGGCGCAGTAGATGGTACACATATCCAGGCCTTCGTACCCCCAGAGGAACACTTCCACATGTGTAATCGCAAGGGCTTTTTGTCCCAAAATTGCTTGTTCATTTGTAACTTCGACTTTCATTTCCTTTATTCGCTCTGCGGGTGGGATGGATCTATGTCTGATGCAGCTCTGTGGACAGATGCCCACATGAACGACTTGCAAATCCCTGAAGGACGATATTTTCTTGCAGATGCTGGTTTTGGCACCTCTGATGCCCTCCTTATTCCATACCAGGGCGTACACTATCATCTGAAAGAGTGGCGACAGGCCAATGTCAAGTAGGTCACCATTATTATTTTGAGTTCATGTTGGGCTAACTTTTACACAGGCTGAGGAACACACAAGAACTATTCAACCACCATCATTCTGCGCTGCGCAATGTCATTGAACACATCTTCGGTGTTCTGAAATGTCAATGGGGTATCTTACGACACATCCCTGAATACAACATGGACATCCAAGCCCGGGTCCCTGCAGCGTTATGCGCACTGCATAATTTCATTCAGAAGCATCACCCTGATGCTTTTAACCTTGACCTTGAATCACATGGAAACCTTCTCAAGCTCGATATCGACATTGCATTGGGTGAGCTTGGTGATGGACTGGCTGATGTGACAGAATGCAGAAGAGCAGATCAGAGACAAGACAGGCTTGCAAGGGAAATGTGGGAAGACTATCTTGATGAGCATAGGCGACGAGGGCTTCCATTGCCAGGTACAATGTAGCCTACATACTATGTCAGAAATTCCTAATCTAGCCTTCAATGCATTACAAAGCATTGAAATTTTTAAATACAAACTGCTGCTTGAAATAGATTTTAATAATAGAGTGCGCCTTGTAATGGGCATTGCAACCGTCATTGCAATGCCAATTGTAATGGTAATTGAAATAGGTTTAAATCAATATTAATCATTGTAATGGACTGTTTGTACAGCAATCGGTTGTAATGATGCCCCTGTGTCGCCACTTCTTGGAATGCTGGACCTTATCTTACAAGCCCCTTTTTCTATTTGCTACGTTGCCATCTTATCTTTTGGTTTCTATTGCCCTATGCTTATTAGTTAGTTATATTGTATTGTATTTGTACTTCGATTGCTTACTGTTATCACTTTTGCTACGTTGCTATCTTATCTTTTAGCTTATGCTTATTAGGTCCTGTTATGTTATGTTAGTTAGTTTACTATCTTATCTGGTTTGTGTTAATGCTTACCTTGTCTATTATATAGTCTGTATACTTGGCAGGTTTCGAACGCTCGACTGTGTAGTAGTTATTAGCTTAAGCTTAAGGTCACATGATACTTAGGACTTACCGCAACAAAACCGTTAGGCTAAAGGGTCTTTTTATATAGGGTAACTTGATTGTATTTGAACCATCGTTTTTGGCTACCTATAAGGCAATAGCAAGTAGCATAGACTAATAAGATTTGGTGCGCGCAAAAGGCGAATTAAAGATGTAACATTACAAATGAATGAAATAAAAAAAGACCAGTATATCTACTAATAGTATCCTAAGCAGCACGAGCACTGCGTCGAACACCTGTAGCTGCAGGCTTCTTTGCCCTAGCCCTTCCTTTCCCTCTCCCTCGAGCTGGTGGCTGTTCCACATCTGCATCCTGTACTACAACTGTATTAGTAGCTGCTGGAACTGCCACGTCACCCTGAACAGTAGCTCGGAAAGTAGCACTGAGAGTAGAGGTGGTATTGAGTGATGAAACAGTTCTGAGAGCAGCGGGAGGCTGTGCCACCTCAACAGTGTCGGAATGAAAGGCAGTGGCACTCTGGACTGCGGAAGACGTTGGAGTAGGTTGAGAAGTGTCTGACTCGTTGTCGCTATCAATATCGAGTGCGTTCATTGCGCGAATGACTTCGCTGGAGTGATCTTCTTGAGTGGCCGCAGAAGCAGATGATTTTGTGGAGCCGAAAACTTCTCGGTCGATGTTTTGCACAATGGTCTGGATGCGGCGGCTGTCCCACTTGGTGAGCAAGAGTTTCTTGTAGTGAAAGAAAAGGTCCTTGTAGTTGATGCCGGAGGACTTTCCTGTGCCCAACTTCTGAAATTCGGTATCGGGCGATAGCAAAAAGATTGCCTGCAATAGTATCGACTGAGTGAGAACATTCGACATAGCATAGATAAAAACTTACAATGACGGCAGCCCATGCAATAGACCCTGGCGTAACGTGCTCGAGGTTCCACTTCCGGGCGTTGGTCTTTGGTCCACCAGTGGTCTCTTGGTGAAGCGAAGTAACACCGCGAAGTGCGGCCTTCAGAATCTATTCAGAGATATATCAATGTCACAATAACACGCTCATTGACCGAAAGAAACACATACCTTAGCCAAAAGTTCCCAGTTTCCGAACACAGTCTTCAAGGTAGGGTCCTCTTGCATTCCAAGGAACAGGACCGGCAGAAATGTCTTGTACTTCGGATTTGCCGCCGACACTCCAAGCATTTTCTGTATTTCGGCGACGTCGGCTCTGCGGTACTGGGTATTGCTGAAGTATACTCCTGGAAGGTCGAATATATTGCCCGCAACGCTACGCAGCTTGTTGATTTCCGATGAGTGAGCCTCGGAAATGGACTTCATTACCTGGAGGATGATTGTTAGTTTAACAAATAGTATTGAAACATGTAATACGTACGAGATCGCTGAAGTATGAGCTTTCCATAATGCCATGTAAACGATCAGGAAAGTGCTGAAATAGTTCGTCTAAAAACGCTGATTCCTGGGTCATTGCCGTCAAGTACCGGTCTCGGCTGTTGAATGGAGTTGGATTCTCGGGACGTTGTTTACTGAAAAGGTCGGCGTTAGGGAACATTTCAACAGTCATGCTGTATTTACGGGCATAGAGTGTTATGGTTTGCTCGTGGGCCAGGAGTTCATCGGGAGCCTCTGCGCGACGTTTGCGTTTAGGCTTCTCGGCAACGAGAACCTTGTTCTCCTCACGAAGAGTGTGATTTTCCTCAGTGAGCTTCTGAACCTGGATTTGCAGCGCCTTGAGTGGCTAGAGTAAGAGTAGAGTTAGATAGGTAAATTGAGTAGTCTTAACATCTAAAACTTACGTCCATGAAGTCTCCCTTTGAGGTGTTTGGCCCCAGAATTGCAACAGATTCAACAATAGGCCCCGCGTCCCATTCATCGTCTGAGTCAGATGCGTTTTGAGAGAAATGAGACATGGTCCAGGTGCTAAAAAGATACAAGGAGATGAGAAATGGTCAGCATGACAGCGCTGTATATAAGCTAAATTATCGTGCCTCGTGCTTGATGCAACCAAAGTTGCAGCAATGTATCAGCAGCACCAAGAAAAACGTGCCTACGCTCTGACTATCGGTTATGAAGGAAGGCGTGATAGCCTGGAGGCGACCTTTGATAATACAACAAATGAAATCAACACTGCGAAGTAATAATCAGCATGTAATGTCTAAATCATAGGCTGGAATATTACGTTTGGAGCTCCTAGTTGACGGGATATCATCAGGGTCTAGTACAAGAGCAGGATAGCCTGCCACGAGGAACTCCGGCCTAACCACCGCTGATAGACATTCTGCTGCGCATAAGAGGCGCACTCAATGTTAGGAAACATACAACATCCCGCAAGCATGCATTACGTTCCAGATGCGAGTATAGCAGCAAGATCTTTCTCGCCAGCTGCTGCAAGTTGGTGTGAATGCACTTTCAAACGGACTGCGTAAAAATGAGCCATTGTGGGCGACATCAAAAAGTTAAAGACTTACAGAGACAATCTAGAGACAGTAACACCACCTTCAATCGTCTCTCCTCTCCGCTCTTCCAGTATCCACGCTTGAAGACTTTCGACCGATCCACTCCATCCCACTAAGGCACCAGTCTTCGGAGAGAGGTAGGGCACAACCACTCGTCAGCATCGACCACCACTCACGGCCAGCAGTTTGGATGACCAATCCCTGTGTGGTAAAGATATCGTGGGGGGGAGGGTTGGCAAAAAACTGCGCAAGATCATGCCAAGGTATCGAACGCTCCATTGCGGAAAGCGTCTCTGCATGTTTTGTGATGGTAGCCAAGAAGGTGAGTATGGCTGAGATCTAAGGTCGAACGAGGAAAAGGTGAGGCCTTCCATGTTGGATTGCGGAGAACGAATGAGAGCATCGAAAATGCAAGTTCCAATGCCAGTTCGAATGACACCGGAAACTCTGCAGGCGTGTTTGCGTCTGATAGAGCTGGAGATGCTTGTGAGGTGCCTTCGTCATCCACGTCCATCTGTTTCTCTTCGCTGTCTTCGTCGCGGAATGCGGGCGCAACTTGACGCTTCTTGGCAGCTTTTACAGCTGGACCGCCTGTGCCTGCCATCATAATCCACTCGCGTTCCTCGGCTCCCTCAATTTCGATGCGCTCGATGAAGCGAGCGAGGGTTGGCGAAAAGTTGTCAAGTTGGATGTTAGTGAATAGCATGCTGTGTAGAAGGACAAATAGTTCAGGTGCGCAGTTGATGACCAGATGGGGAGAGTTGACTCACAAGAGGTTGAGGAGTTTGCGGAATGCATGTGTCCAAAGACGAATGATGATATTGTACTTGGTTGGGATTACCTGGAGGGAAGCTGGAATGCTCAGTGCGAGAGAGATCTCCATCAGCTTATTATGTATTATATCAGCGAGTCTGCACACATTAAGTCAATGATATCATGATGAAAACTGGAGAGTGACTTGCCGTTAATGGTCTGAGATCAGCTTCGTCCATTCTGCGCAAGATTTCCAAGAGCCTTGAGCCAGCCTGATTGGAACAAACACAAAGACGGCTCCTCTAGAAGGCCGGTGTAGAAGGTGTAGGCATAATATATAAAGTCTTGGAGGTGTTCAAGAGTGAGGGCGAGAAAAACGAGGCTCACCTAAGGCCTTCAGGAGTTTGTGGAATGCGTGGGTCCAGATATGAATGATGATATTGTACTTGGTTGGGATTACCCGGAGGGAAGCTGGAACGCTCGGTGCGAGGGAGATCTCCATCAGATTATGCATCATCTCAGCGAGTCTGTAATACCCATTCAATCAATGATATGATGAAAACCAGAGAATGACTTGCCGTTTATGGTCTGAGATCAGCTTTGTCCGTTTTTGCTGCTGGAGGTCTTCGTCGCTGACTTCGTGTCCTCATCTGAATCGTTGGAGAATGGTGCGCTCTTCATCTACGAGATCATCAGGGTCCTCGTTTAATATCTTTTCTTCTAGGGTGGATATGCTGTGGTACAGCCTTTTAAGCTGAACCCGATCGTGGAGGCAGGTGTGTGCGGGGTGTCGTAGTAATCAAGGCAGGGGTCCAGGGAGCTGCGCTACTAGTATATTCAGTGTTCTGTGACATATGAATGAAATTCAATAGCACGTACCTTACAATCTGGTAATGAAATATCTGGTAGGAGTGAAAGGATTAGTTGGATTAAGTTAAAGTTGATAACTAAAGGTGTCCATGATGGCGGCCAATGAAGCAAAAAGGTTCTTATTAAGACAAATAATCAAACGCGCACGATGTGCCCTGCCTCCAGATGCATCATCTTTATGCGAAGAAACATGTCAGTATCTGCGGTATCAACTACGAGATAATCAGAAGGTCCATCCGCTATCAGAAGGGCCCCGCGTATGAATGATCTAACAGGAAAAAACTGTGCCTGTGCTCGTGGTCTTGCACGAACCCTGAAAAGGTTGAGATCCTTGTCCTTTCGAGTGCGCAAACCAGTAGGAACGTCAAAAGGGTGAACAAGGGCCAGGGGAAATGTGTTATTCCCAACCAGACATTCAAAACAGAAGACCAGCCGGCCAAGAATGACTGTATTCTTAGTCAACCGAATGAAGACGCAGTCGAAGCGTGGTGAACCAAAGAAACGAGGGTTGGAACGAAGATAGTCTGTACATTGACGCCAATCGACCATTGATTCATAGTTGATGCGAATAAAGCGGTGCTCTGTAATCTGCGCGTAGTATGTCAGCACAGCAAAAAAATGAACTGAGACAAACATACCTTGTCAGTTCCTCGGAGATGAATATGTTTGCCTCCAGGCAACGGAATGCTCAACGAGGGTAAAAGAACATTGAGAAAATCATTGAGCTTGACACGGAAATTAATGAAGGCTTGGTCTGCTTGATGAGCCGTCTGAATCGCATCAAAGGTCAGCGGAGGTTGCTTCGATCCGAGTTTAACATGAAAGGAGTTACTCGTTGAGACAGGGCGCTCAACGACAGTGGCGAGGAAGTCTTCTTCATCCAATTGGCGTTGATGATCGTCGAATTCGAATAAGCGGCGGCGTATATGATCTGCAGCCACCTGCCATGTATTGATACGGAGGATCTGTCAAAGTTGAATCAAGTTGCAGTATTATGATAATCATTTTCTTAAAATTGAAACGCACCTGTTCTGCTACGTCACGAAAGTTCGTGCGCAGCAAATACGAGTCCTTTAACGAGCCATGCATCTTCTCGTTCGGCTTGGTATTGTAGTTGCGTGTTGCTCCTTTTGCCTCGACATCGTCGAAAATGTGCGAGCCCATATGTAACTTCGGGAAGTTCCAGTTCTTGTCACTCTCGACCGTTTTGTTGATGTATTGCTAATAGGAATTAGTTACCTATTGGAAGCAGTAAATAGTATATGAGACATACCCGCAAAAGAGCCGCAAATGCAAGGTGTGTGTGTCGGCCACTGCTAATGGTCTCCATCATGTGAACTTCGAGCGAGGCGTACATATCGAGTTCGAGGTAAAGTCGGAGACAACGAAGGAGCAGGTAACCGAGAGGACAGTCTGCCTCTGTCAATATATTGTGGGTCGCATATACTATCATCTGGTAGTGATATTTTAGTAGATGCGAGGTAGAGCGAAAGAAATTAAGAACCTTTGAAATGTCTTCATGCGTGGAGTTGTCGGTAAACGAGATATTCATGACCTGGTTTGGATGTTTTTGGTCCCGCCAGTGGGGAAATGCTTGATAACTGTGTAAATTCACGTCAGTTCGAGTCAAAATGAATTATAAACGACTTACCTCTTGTCTACTTGCGACGTTTTCTCTCGTCCGAGACTATTTATATACTTCTGAAGCTCGACCCATAAATGATCAGACCATAGACCGCCAGAGTGAAAGTGCAATTTGTCCCAAGACAATGCGCGATGCACATCTGTAGAGGACACTGTTGAAAATGAATTCTAAGACAACATTAAAACAATGTAGCGCGAGAGTAAAGATAAGCTCACAACGACATCACGAAGTCCATATTCTTTTAATACCTCCTCCCTCTCTTCTGCAGTCTCCCTTTCTCGTGCGGTTGCTAGAATAGCCTCCGAGTCACGAGATGTGCGACGGTGGATAGCAGTGCGATATATCGGAAAGTTTATCATGGGGAACAAGACAGACTGGGCATGGCCATAAGGCTCTAACACCACAAGTAAGCGCCATTGTTGACCTTGAAACATAGTAAGTTAGCGAAACGTCAGTCCAAAAGTTCGAAGCTCACTGTTCCTCGAAATCGGAAGATAAAATGAGTATTAGCGGGAAAAACCACCGCTGAACAAAGTCTAGACACTCCAACCATTGACCAATTTTTGATTTTGCAGCGAGCGAAGACAGTATCCTTTCAAAGGATTTATGCCATACTGTAGCCTTGAAGTTAGCCCATGCCGGCTTGCCGGCATGGGCTTTATCTTCCTTCACCTATGAATAGAATCAGTACGAAGTAATGCGCATAACATTGTACATATTGTAATACCACAGGAAGCCACCCAACAATGTAACTGCCACCCATTCCTTGACTGTTGCGAATGTGGGTGGGTAAGTTCGCTAATCGAGCAACGACGGGATAGCCTTTCGCAGTTCCAAAACTAGATAGTTTCATTTTGTCAGCGTACAATATGAAGGCAAGGGGCTTAGCGCTATGCGGCAGCTGCGACTACAAATTACATTGAGATTCCATCAAGATTACATTACAACATATATGAATGGTACATACTTGAGCATCCCAAAAGTCTTGAGCAGTAAAAGGCTCGTCTACGAATCGTTTGAAAGACTGGCCATTGAACTTTGCCAAGCGCTGGGCATCAAAATGAAAATAAGGAAACAGATGAGGATCATGGAGGAGGTCAGTAGCCCACTCCCAAAGATCGCGATAGTAGACGTCAAAGTCCCATGTTTTATCTGCGAAGGGTATTGAAATCACATCCTTTGTAAACTAAGTTCAAATATTAGTCCAATGAGAATCATACAACAATGGGCAAAACAACCCCCGTAAGGCGCTGCGAAACTGCGTCCCACTAGGCGCGAACGTCCTTGTGGTTCTTGAACGTGAATTTCTCTGACTGCGCTGCGCAGCGGCAGCATATATTAACAAGACGGTCCGTTTGCTCATTATTGAGGGCCGCTTCGAGGGCGATTTCGGCAACATCGAACTCCAAACAAGACCTGAAAGGACGCCAGGGCTTTGTGTTAGGTTCTGGAGCAGACCACGAGGAATGATGTGCAGGGTGACACGTGAAATCACTGAAAGCAAAGACTTTGGTTGGGATCCCGCTCTTGGGATGGTGCTCGACCTTGATGTCGTCAAGCTGATATTCGCGATACTGAAGGTCCCCGTCGTCGTCAGGGATAGCTGGTTGCTCGTCTAAAATCCATATTAATGATATACAACAAAACACCCAAAGAAATAATCAAACTCACCAAAATAAGGGCCCGGATTATCGACATCATGGAAACTCGATGCTGAAGGGTCTCGCTGGACTATTGATGGACAAATAAGTAAAATTAACGACACGATGCATTTAAAGAATAATAAACAGCAAAACTTACCCTGTGTCTCGAGCTGCGGATTGAGACTGTGACCCACCACCGCATTGACAACAGTACCATTGGAACCAGGACCAACAAGACCTGCTGCAGTTAGTCAGGATATGAAACTAAATTGGAGTATTCAAATAACGCACCTTTTCGCTGCCTAATTGAGTCTGCAATGCGCTGATCCTGGGCTCGTTTCTGGGAGTTCTTCTCGCAGGCTTTCCGGTGAGTGACCCAGCCACGTGGTTTCATGCTCTGTTCACACAGATCGCAGAATTTGGCCCTGTCAGAGCCCATGATGTTGAAAGATATATATGAGGTATCTACAGAATTGACGTGAGCAAAGAAATGGAGGAATACAGATGATGAGAGCGTAAGGACGCATTGCAAGCGCTTCGCAATCACGTTGCGATACATTGAAACTCAGCAATCAATCTTACATCATCATAACAATACAAATTTCAACGCCATCTCAACGACGAAGCATTGAAATAGGTTTCGCAAATTTCCGACATACATAGTATAGTACACTTCCAAACCTAAACCATTGACATTGTTAGATTATTGTTGGTACTACTGTCAGACTTGAGCTTGCACAGAGTTTTCTCCAACCAGGCAGCTCAAGCTGTCTTTGGAAAGTTAGAAAAAATCACAGCCTGCACCTTCTCCCTAGCAAAGTAGTCTGCAATCTCAAGCCGATCATCCTCTGCAAGAGTCTTGTGCTCTGACAGCAAGACAATAGCATGAGCAAGGGGGTCATTGGGTGTGACAACAGGCTGAGGCCTGCTGGGGGAAGTTACAAGAAACTCTTTGATATAATCAGTGAGAACCTTCATTGCGTAAGTTACATAGAAGTTATCAAAATAACCAGCAGGCACCTTCATTGTTTTATTCCCATCCTTCTGTGCCTGGGCAGTCACAGATAGTGGCCGAGTACATTTTCGGGCACTAGAGCTCGATTCAGATCCAACCATTGAAGGGTTGCTGGCTGCGCTTTGCACTGCGGCTAATGCTTGTCAACACAGATGAGGGAGCCGAGACACTAGTGGCATTAGGAGAAGCAAGATGACTAGATGGAGTAGATGGCGTTATTGATGAGGGATCATTGAAAGTGCGCGATGGCCCAGGAGTGTTGGGAACCAGACCCTGTGTGGGGGAAGCCATATTGCTGTCACTAGTAGACACCGATGATCCTATGGGAGCAACAGATGGGGCCAGGGGTTCTCAAAAAACATGTGAGCCTTTTGTGATCTTTGGCATCATCTGCTTAATAACATTGAAGTGTTTGAAACCTTTGTTTTTAAAAGGTTTTGCTGCAGGGCGCCACTGAAAATAATAGTGTTTAGTAGCACTCATGGCCAGTCATTAGTATAATGTACCTTGATGTACCAATTCCAGACATCATCATCCTTTGTAACAATTCCCACTCCATACTCATCACTCCACATAAATCCTGATGTGTTTTTGATATCTAAAACAGCATTATACCCTGATTTGAGCTACAAGGTATTGAATCTATGCGACATAATCATGTGACTGATAACATACCGATTGCCACTTAGTCTTACAAACACTAGCTGTCTTCTCAGCACCACTTGCATTTGAGAATCTCTCCTTCAGTAAGTTTGCAGCTGCAGTAAGTGTCGGAGTCTTGAAATTTCCATCACCACTCGCAGAAAAGTGAGACAATAGAAAGTCGACACAAACAGCTTCTTCATCTGATGTCCAGGAGGCAGCAGGCTTTCTTTTGCCCTTCTTCAATTCCACTTGGTCAATGGTGCCACAAGAACAAAGAGAATGAGTAGATTTGTCACTGTTGATCGATTCACTGGATGACATGGCGGTAGATGTCACAACCCAATAACAAATTAACGCTGGGCAGAGACTAGGACTTGGACTAAGGTTATCACAACAGAGAAGAGAGGAGCAAGCACATCTTGGATTGCTACAGTGTAGATACAAGAGGTTTGAACTAAGGAACTATCGACCAAGACGTGCTACCTATATACAACTACTAGCCAATCATAAAAAGGAAAAGGGAATCGTACCATAGAACATCGTAGAATATTAAAGAAGTATCACGTGACCATATCTTATCTTATCGTATCTAATCTAATCTATTCACAATCAAAGAACTCGTCTTCTTCACCAGTCACATCGAAGACACGTGTCGTGGGTGCTAAAGGAATCTCTGAGTTGGTAGACATTTTCAGGGTAGGGTTAGGGTTTGACTTAGGCACTGTGTATTGGCGCTTAGGAAGATTTAAGAAAGAATAATGGTTTGTTAAAGGTACTCGTGACAGTAGGTAAGCAGGGTGCACTGACAGCACTGCATAATCTGTGATGATGTGATCCGGCATCTCCCAGACCATCATGTGACTTGATTCAGAATTTTGAATTCGCAATTATTCGTTGTCCAGACTGCACCTTAGTTAGTGTTGCCGCAAGGCGAATCAAATCGAATCAAGGTGGAAATTTGTGGTACCTTGACACAGTTCAATACTTATGAGTTGCAATGAGTTGCGCCTCGTTTGACTCGCAAGTTACTAATGAGTTTGGAATTATGCGAACCAGTGGTTCAGCCAATGAGAAGCCAGGGATGCTAGATACTGCCAATGACAATTTTTGCAAGTAAATACATGATGAGCAGACAGAAACTACAATAAACTAGTTACAATCAATTTCCCTTGCATTTGCAAGCAACTGATCGAGCTTGTGAAGATTCCCAGCAGCCATTAGCTCATCAACTGCTCTTGAAGTCACAGGTCCAGATATCATGTAGTCCTGCTCATTAGCTACCAGGTCCTCCGTAAAATTGAGGCGGTCTTGCTTGTAAGTGAACTTCAGAACTTGTAGCGCCTCAAGTATGGTTGGAGATAGGTTGCTGCGCTGTAGAGTGCAGGTCTCTTTGCTTGATGAGAATATGCGCTCGGAAGGCACAGATGAAGCTTGAGCAGGCAGAACGTCCATGGCAACACTGCCCTGTATCATAGTATTGTATGGCCCATTGTATGATGAGTGAGGACCTTGTTCAGTTGGAATTTGTGGCATGGAGTAGTGATGCGAGCCTTGTTCACCATTTGCAACTGGGGCAGGAGTTGTTGGACCAGGTGAAATGTTCTGAAGTGATTGGAAGGATCCACTTGGAATCTGGAGTGGAGACAATGTACCTTGTTGAGAGTGGTCAGGGCTGAGATGACTCGGATGGAAATGACCATGGGCCAGGATTCTGCTGCAATGACATGGGGTAAAATGTTGCTCGCAGCAATAGCTCTGAGCCATGATGATATTTAAGTGTTTTACTTCAATGAAATTTCAGTGTCCAGTCAGGGTCTCAATAGCCAAGAGTGACAATCTAGATTCCAAGTTCTTTTGGATGTTGAGGGGAACTTAGCTGCCAATCTGTGTTCCAATTGCAATGAAGGGATACAACAATAATGACCATTATGATGTAGTACAGGGGATTATGATGTATGGATGTAAACTACATGAAGTTGTTTCTAACTCGTGAGTCCAACAAGTTGTAACTCGATTTAGTTTGGAAGGTTCGAGTTGAAACGAATTGGGTCATTTTCGAGCCGAGCCGAGTTTAGCTCGAGTTGACCTCACCTCGACAACAACACTAGCCTTACACCGCCAACTGCCGTTTTCAGTCGAACTAAGCTTGTGAGAAAATGATTTAAAACACCTGGCAACCAGCATGACACGAGAACGAATACAGACTTGGCCTATAAATGATAAATTTATAGTGTAAAGCCCACACATCTGGTCCTTATTGAAGATTTTGTCCCGATCCTTGGCAACACCTTCATTATTGCTATATTTTTGCCCAGACTGGGCCTTAGCCCAGGCCTGGGAATGAACATGTCAGGCATATCGGAAGAAGTCCTGTAGCCCAGGTCGAGCAGCAGACCTGTGGCAGACCTGAGATAGAGCTTATATCAACATCTGAGTGGCCTAGAATAACATTACATTTGTGCGCCGCTACTACAACACCAAATTTTAACATTAAATTATTACACTCTTTGAAGCATACTGGAAATGAGATCAAGCTATTAATCAAAATGGTACAACATTTATATGAATCACAGATAGTACAGTTATACTGGTATACACCGGTAGGCAAATTTAAACGGACAAAATATTTGCTAATGCAGAAGGTACATCATAGACTCAGTCTGAAACAACAAGAGAATGAGGAAAGAACAGGGCAGCATGTTTGCAAAACTCGGCCCAGATGTCCACCCTGATAGAGTCTTGTTCCTGTGCGATCACGGTAGGATCACCCAACTGTTCTAGCCACCGCTTGATGAATGGACCTTCCAAAGGGATACAGGAATCCCACTTTGGCCATGAGCCCCTTGGGAACAATGGATAAGCCGCAATGAAGGCAAGCCAGAATGTGTCGCGCCCCCATGTCCACAGTTGTGTCTCAGAACCAACATCAACCAACCAACTTTCGATATTCTTCGATAGTGTTGCCCATGTGTTCCAGTCAGAATTGTCAAAGTGTTGAAGTGGCAGGAACGGGATTTGGATGTCATCTGATACATCTTGGTGCACAGGGGAATTAGTGTCACCCTGACTGCAAAGAGACTGTACTGCGTAAGTTTGGAAAAAAATCGTGAAATATAAGGACTCACAGCGCCATCTGGATGCATTGATTCTCCAGAACTGGAGCATAGATCCATTGATACCGCTTCTACAACTGGTGAGGTAAAGGACGCATATTCTTCTCCAAAAGAAATTGAAATCTGAACAGGCTGTCATGCAAACCGATAGTGAGGAACCGGTTCTGATGTTCGATTGGTTGCAACTACTCACGGCATTCCTTTCGATAACTTGTGTTGGAAGTTTGCCTGAAAAACAGATTGTGAGGAGCACCGACTGTACTGGGCCTTGGTTGATGCCCTGAAATTCAATATCGGGATAAACAATTATATTGGAAAGTAGTCCGGTTGCCATTGATTGGGAGTTGGGAGCTTGAAGCGTTGAACGAGGCAGACAATGTGAGAGAGTATTGGACTTGTTGATTTCGACCATCAAGAATCACGTGACAATGCTTCGCTCCAGCATGACTTGCAATGCTGATATCATTGATGGTGTCGGTGTGTATTTTCCTCATGTATTTGAAATTTCTATATGTACTGACCTGGTAGTTGCAGTTCTGCAGTTCTGTGATAACAATCAAGGTCAGGTCCTATGCAAGGCATGCCCGAAGAAAAATGGCCATTATCGTGTAATGGAGCTGTGTCATGCCAAGAAGCACATTATGCAGGCAATCCACATCCGTCATGCTAATTATCTCAAGCAGCGACTAACGAGGCTTCAGCGTCCAGTCCAAGTTGAGCCTGAGGCCTTGCTGGATGATAAGGATACTGACACGACAACCATGGAGCCCACTACTGCCACTGATATCAGATTCTCCTTCAAGGCTGACGACTCCTTCATGGAGGTTACTGTATGTGACTCGGACCCACCGCTTGTTGACATGCAGCCTGGTGTACCACTTCCTGCAGCACCCGTGCCAGAGGGCGGCGACCTCGACCTCAGGTTATCGGAGCTCGTGAAAGGCATAATAGGCCATTGGACTCTTGAGCTCGACAAAAAGTGTCCAGACTTATTTGCCGAGCTTCAAACAAGCCTCGCTATGGGCGAAATACCATTCTCGACACGACTTTTCCGATCTTCCGCCAATGAGGAGCATCAGCTCGTCGACGAAGCTGAACCTGATTTTGGGGTTGAGCTCCCTGGTAAGTGCCTTGTCATTCCTTCTATGGGGCTATGTATCTCACAATGCTACCAGATGGAATCCTTGACAAGGTGTCCGCAAACTTCGAGAGTGTCTCAGTAGATAACCCAACTTATCCATGGCCGTCAAAAGCAGTAAGTCTCTCATCTTGTCAGAAAATTAATTCTTACCTTTCATCAAGCATTTTATAACATCGCTTCTTTTCAGCTCTCCACGCATCCCGTTTTCTGACTCCCAGAAGAGAGCTGTGCTCAACTGGGCCAAAGGGCTCGGTGCCACCAATGTCCCGTCACTCGGTGTGATGAAGAAGTGCCATAATTACCTGGATGAGCTTGTCGGCAATCCAACTCAGAAGATGACATCGTGTGCTGGTGATGTATTCTATATCAATAATGTCGCGGAAGCAATTGCAAAGGTACGTCTAGCATGTCTTTCGTGTCCATTCAACAGTGACATTACATTCAGGATTATGCGAATCCACTTACACGTTTTGCGATGCGCGATTATCCTGAGGACGGTGGTGAGGGGATGTTGCAGGTCTTTAATGGCCAGAAGATGTTATTTGATCTTCCGTCACCACCGGCAGCTCGAGTGGACGGAACCGTGTACTTCACACATGAACTGTTACAAGATACTTCTGGAGATTACTTCATCCCAGAACATTTTTTCTATGCCTCTCCACCTGTAGACTCAGATGATGACAATGGCGAATCCCACGAGAATTCAGTCACAAAGCCCTTATATGCGCTTGGTCGGGCGGTCAAACGAACAGAGGTACGTCATCATTGTGCACCTACTATGATGTATATGTTCTAACTGCACTACTAGGCTGGATTTATTGTTAACAAGGAACAGGAGATCATACCCACATCTGCCTTCATGCGGTCCCTTGAAGACATTGCTGCGACTCAGGGTGAACTTGATTGTGGCCTTACTGGTACGTTTTACATTTACTTGTCTCGGTAACTGCAAGATTAAAATGAGATAAACAGCCTCGTCAACTAAATATGCAACACTTTCACCAAATCCACTGTGTGCAAAGGCAAACGGTCGCATGGTATATACGGTCCCCCTCATCATCTTCATGGACGACGTTTCCGGCAACATATCAAAACAATGGAACAAGCACCATGCAATCTACATGTCAAACACGAACCTCCCACGTGAAATGCTGGAGAAAGAATTCTTTGTGTGCTTCGTTACGTCCTCACCGCATGCCGCTCCCATGGAACTTATGCGGGCAATGAAACAGTCCATTTGGTTCATTGTTTTATTCACTCGCTCAGATTGACGCTCTAACTAGATTTACAGTGATGCAGCTACATCTGGGGTCACTGCATGGGATTGCAAAGACAACGAAGAAGTGTTATTGATCCCATGCGGGCTTTTCGTTGCTGGCGACAACCCGATGCAAGCAGAAGAATGTAGTCATGCAGGATTGAACTGCAACTACTTCTGCCAGACGTGTGACATTGGTGGAACAAAGGAGTACAAAGCTTCTAAGGATGGCTATAACAGCCTGTTTGCGGTAAGAACATAGTTTGATTGTATTTCAACTACTGATGATGTGATTCAGTCAGGCAATCTTTGAACACCAGAAGGCACTGCTGCGAACATCCGGGAACAGTTTGAGATGGCGCTGAAGCCTGGCGCTACTGAGAAAATCAAGAATTTGGTATTGACGACAGGTGTTCGTGATACAGCCTTGAATTCCATCATTAACACTCTTGTAGAACTTGGAAAGAAGCTTCGAAAACGTACAGTTGGCACTCAAGCAAAGTCCGAGGCTGAAGTCACAGCTGCGCTGGAGAGAGAATTTGAAGAGCTTCTACAAGGTGACAAGCTCGAAGACACCCTCAACCCGTTATTGGGAATGAATGGTCAGTTTTTTTTCCGAGTCATTGGCATCTTGTTCATGTGTTTGCTAGGGCTCGACATGCACATGGATACGCCAACAGAAATACTGCACACTGTGCTACTCGGCGTTGTGAGGTATTTTTGGGGACAAACCGTATTTTTACTCGACAAAGCGAAGCTTATGGACATTTTTCAAACCCGTCTCCAGTCCATCGACACAGATGGACTGAACGCTCCATGCTTGAATGCAGGATATATCTGCCATTACAAGGGTAGTCTGATTGGAAAGCACTTCAAGAGCCTGTCGCAGGTGATGCCATTCATAATCTACGACCTCGTCCCTTCAACAGTCCTCAATGCCTGGACAATAATGGGCGAACTCGTTGTACTCATCTGGCACACGAAGATTCTAAATACCGAAGCCTATCTTGTAGGTTAATTCACATGTATTCAAAGTTGTAGTTCTTATCCTCTGCGTCTTCTAGGCAAACCTATCTCGGACAATCGAAGACTTTCTTAACGTCACAGCACAGTGTTCCCCCAGCATCATCATCAGCAAACCAAAATTCCACTTCTTGATCCACCTCCCAGCATACATCCATCGTTTTGGACCTGCGATTATATTTTCAACCGAACACTATGAATCATTCAATCACGTTTTCCGTTTGACGTGTATATACAGCAACCGTCAAGCTCCGAGCCGTGACAGCTGCAGGATATTTGCTCATCAAGATATTGTCAAACATATCGCTACAGGTGGATTTTGGTATGACTCCAAGACCTCAAAATGGGTTCGAGGAAGTCAAGAGGTTCTTGGATATATATACAATCACCCAGAACAGGCACAATTGCTTGGATTGTCGCACCTCGTTTGTAGCCCTCCTGTACCTGGTAAATCAAGTGTATCACACCTTGCTTTATTTTCGCTAATGATTTACATAGGTTCCGGAAAGGCTGAATCTACTATTGGCACCAATGGAAAAACAACCAGAAAGGGTGCAGTGGCCTGGAAGAACACTCGTTGTGCGAAGATCTTGAAGACTGCGAAGCCCAGCACTAGTTATTTTCACGGAAAATCGCTTGTAGCAAGCGAGGGAGATGTTGCACATTTAAACAGTCATGTTGGCTTCCGTCAAATGACAAATGGGCAGGTGAGTGGTTTCTGATCATGTTCACGACTGTTAGTTCACAAGATATCACTAGATGGCAATTGGACGAATTCTGGAGATTCTGATGTCATCCGATGATCCCAACAACGTGTCACACATTGCGCTGCAGCTTTTTGCATTTGCCGATACACTACATCCCTCCGTCCATCTCCCATGTCTCAACCTTTTGGATGACGAGGTGGTCGTTACAGCAGCAGTGAGTCATTCTACAAACACATGAGCTATACTGACTACTGTCGCACAGGATATCAAATGTGTGATCAATCTCCAGCACAATTGTATCGATTCGCAGTGCACAGACACCCTCCAGATGGCCATGCGTCAAGAACAGATCGAAACTTTGTGAACGATACCTACCATCCGCCATAAGTCCACTCCAAACTATTTTCTCAATGCCTACTCCATTCATAACTACAGTTATATCCATCTTATCATTCCAGAGACGCTTCGTGAAACACCGCCAAGAGTTACTAACATTGCAGAAGTTCGGGCAACCACTGTACAGCACATGAAGGAGAAGAAGGCTTTGAAGAAAGCTGGCGACACGTTGCAAGAAGCTGAAAGAACAGAAAACGATATCCAGGGCCCCTTGATGCCAGCACCTGCATTTGATAAACCTCCTGCCAGACCAAAGACTGCTGCAAAGTCAAAAGCAAAGGCAGGTGCTGGCTCCAGCACACGAGGAAGGAGGGCTACGGCATCATCTCGTGCTGGCCAAGTCATTGCTGGATCCTCTGGACTTGAGGCACCATCCGCTCAGCAAAATCCCCTGGTTCAATCCACTTCTTTGGTCCAACACACTCAGGGCCAATTTACGCTGCCAACAAATGCATTCCCTCCACTGCAATCCTTCCGCCCCCCTATACCCCATTTGCACCATCCGCTACAATCACACTTTCCTCCGGCACAGCCATACCTTTCTGCACCTCAACCATACCCTCAAATGCACTACCCTCATCCACCGCCACCAGCTCCATATATTCACTCAAGTTATCGCCAAAGTACAGACACTCACCCTGCCAATGCACGGTCGGTTCCTACAGCCTCAGGATCGAACTTTCATATGACACCGCCTCATGAACTGCAGTTCCAAGGTCTTCCAAACCCCTACTTTCAGCCGCCTGGCTATTGTTAGAGATGACGAGGACCGAAGAATAAGGATAAGTCATTGTCTTGAAAGTCAAGCTCCCCATTTCATTGCCTATGCACAAAACTTCATTCTTCCATGACCCATACCGCCCTTCTAGCAAAGCTTCCCCATTTCATTGCCTATGCCCTTCACCGCACAAAACTTCATTCTATATACCGCAAAGCTCCCCCATTCCATTACCCATGCCCTTCACCGCACAAAACTTCATTATCTATACCGCAAAGCTCCCCCATTTCATTGCCTATGCTCTTCACCGCACGAAACTTCAATCTTCCATACTCATATTCTAACTCATGGACAAAGTGTGCTGTCGAGAAAAGTACTACTTGTATACTCAATTCATGCTCTCCTTTGTTTCCAAGTGCTCTGCTTTTGTTGTGCTCGGCTCCCTGGATTTCAACCCTCCCTTGTGCGCCCTCAAAGTTACGAAGTTACGTTATGATTAATTTGAACCAAATTTTCAGGGTGCTTTGATGTTCATTCACCATCACTCGTGCAGCACCAGGCAGAATCCACTGCATTTTCCTCGTCAATGATCTCTCGCTATCCTGTGCGTCCTCGCGGTTCCAAACCTTTGGCTGGTACACAGAACAGAGGTTTGGGGGGTGGTAGTAGTTCTCTGCTAACACCAGACATTAATTTGTTGAGATCTCGAGGAAGGAGCACCTCAACGTCAGTCAGGCTTCGAGTTGATCGAACTAGACCTTCTTCTGCATGCGGCTCTGCAGCAGCGGGAGATATTGGTCGAGCACGATCGCCACTCGGCACATTCGAAACATCTGCTTCACAAGGCCAGACTGGCATTGGACATTGTGGCAGCATTCGATGCTCTCCTGAATTGTCTGACGACTCACTCGAGGAGCCTATTAGTGCTGGTGTACGTCGCCAAAGGACGTACTCTGATGCTGGCCTGGGCGATCCAACTGTGCTGACACCCTCACGTGCAAAACGACTCAAGACATATGCAAAGAAAGTGGCTGAGGAGAATGATGTTCCAGAACGGGGTCTTTTTGACTTCATTGATGTGAGTCGCTTTGCTTGACATGCATACTCTTCTCTGATTTTAATTTTTTAGACCGGTGGAATATATTATATGCTTATTGATCTTAAAGTATGCATGATGAAAATGGACTCGACTCGAAAGGCTGCTATGCTTGCTGATGTCAAAGAGTTGTTAAACTCGAAGGACTTCAAGGTATTTTAAATTTCTACACTACAAGTCGCCAGGCTAATTTAATGTTATGCAGTCTGGCCTCCAAAATCGTCTGACTGCATGTCTCCTGTCACCCAACCTGACTGCGTATAAGACAGACGCACTCCCAAACATCTCGGTAACCTCCTTTGGTATTGACTATCTCATGAGACTGACGCTGTAACAGACCTTTATTAAGGAAAACAGCAGCATCTTCAAGGTTCCTTCGTCACTATTCGAGGATGTAGAGCTCAGCGCAATATTCGCAACAACCGTTAGCAATCTTCTTTCATCAATCCGAGGTGGAATGAAGTCCAAGGTATGTGCCTTAGTACTTTGTGCTAGAAAATTCTCAAATTATCACTCAGTTGCTCTCATCTATCCGAAAACGCCTGAGCATAATGGACACATCAAAATTGCTTGCTCACGGCTGTATAGAGGTTGACGCCGCTCATTGGAATAGGGTCGCTTTTTTGGTATGTTTTCATTGTATCAGATATTATAGGATGATCACATTCAACATTAGCGGCGCTGCTTGCGTGTCTTCATGATTGGTATCAGTGACCACAAGACTCTTTCGCTCAAGGCTCTCTACTCGGACTCACTCATACCATCTCTCCACTCAGCTGTCCGTGCTAGAATCAAACCACAGCTCGGCATTGACATCAACAGCATCGAGTGTGAGTTGTATGGTGATGAGGCGGATCATGATGGTATACCACTGGATAGCACATCGGTGACCAATGAACATGGGGAAACCCAAGGTACATGTGCTACAGATGACAATGGTGATTTCGCTGAGACTGACAGCTTGGATGAGCACTTGGGTGGGAATGGAGATGCGGACCAGGACTATGAGCTTGAAGATAACGAAGGCATTGATATCACCATGTTAAACGGCCGGCCGCTTCACCCAGACGACTCTGGCTTTGGGGACAACGGTAGGCCTATCATTTTCAGCACAGGAAAATTTTGGGACTTTGTCAACATTTCACTCGAAAATGTTCGCAAAATTGCCAAGGAGGAGGCAGTGGCTGATCAGAGTGGAAATACAGGATACGAAACCGCATTTCGGCAGTAGGTGTTTTATTATCATACCTTGCAAACGGTCACTCATTATTACCAAGAATCCAGGTGGAATATTTCCAGCAGGACCTTGCTGAATTTCCCGGCAACATGGTTATTCCTAAACTTCTCGCAAGCAACACCCCTCAGTGGCAGACTACCATCCAGAATAAGCTTCTGTGGAACGAGGATCAGTGATTCTGTCGCCACTGCTTATTCACCTATCCGTGCACACATACATACATACCACACTCGTTTCCACCTACTAACCACATCTGTATCCAATTCATCATAATGGAATGTTTTTCGTGGCCTGCTTCATTTGCTTGGATGTTCAACGTGACGGCGGTAGCACAAATAAAAATATGCATAATTAATTGCAGTAATAATTGCTTGCAAGGTCAGGATGATGCACAAAATGTCGAGCAGACATCACAGACACCTGTGACTCTATGTATGTCTGATACCAGGGAGAGCTATGTACAACCTATGGAAACCGACCTATGTGATAGGTCTGGTCACCAGGGTATTCCCAGCACCTCTGATACCTCTTTTGGTGGCCGTAAGCAGGTCTCTCGGTCCCTTCACTCCCGTACTTCCTTACATATATATCATATTGCTCAGTAAGAGGTGCCGAGAACACCATTGGACCGGGCTGTTATTAGGTCATCTACGGGGTACCACTTTTCAACCTGTGTGAGAGGTTTTCGGCAGTTGGCGGTGTAGTACTCGAAGCTGACAGTGCTAAGTCTGGTTATGGAAAATAAATATAATTAGTTACATACTCCTGCGCTAATATTTGTCATTGATATCCAATGTTAAGTAACCGGGCGCCCACCATCCTGCTTCTAACGTCTAACTATCTACCAACTTCTGGCCTTTGTCGTTTGTTGTGAGCTGTCATGCTTGAGTACGAGGTCCCTAGGGAGTCCAATATCCTTCCACCCAGGCGCCATGCTGGCTATATTGGTCCACATGACAAGACAATGAACACTTATACACCCAAGCGTCAAAGACATTTACAGTATTGCGAACGAGAGCAGCCCTCAGTTACACCCATCATGGTCTCTGGTCATGATAAAGGATCAAAATCGTATGTAGCGCTTAAAGGTCGTAACGAGGTACATCTGCTAGCATATTCACTTCATTTTACTTCACTAACTAGATTCAGGACTCGTGTAGACAACCTCGGGCCAACTTGTCTAGTTATCGTACAGCTATGGCCCACTCCAAAGATTATCAACCATGCCATTATGTGGCTCCGCCTCGATTACAACCGAAACAAGATATGGCATCGTGAGTCAGGCTGTTACCCCTCTTCGAAACCACCTTTATTTGCGTGCCATAGGCTGGGTAAGCCAAATCCAAGCCTTGACCATCCAACCACTCCAAAGCAGCCGTGTATTTCCACATGTGGACAAAGACCCCAGACGAATTTTTCCATTGTTGACTCGCCATTGTCGACTCAGCAGAAGCTACAATTACCTAGCCCTGTGAGTCCACATCACACGTGCCTAAGAGCCACAGTTTTTCATGGGCGCTAGATTTTAGACATAAAGGCTGCGTTGTCCGCCGAGGGCATTCACATCGGCATCCAATCGAGTACTTCACACCCGCAATCTCTCGCTGAACCTCATCCTCACATTGATCAAGTACGATTCAACTATTCCTCTGTATGAACGAACTAATCGGTGCTTATTAAGCATGCATTGCAAACACTACCAACTCTGGCAGCACCAATGTCTCATCATGATACCCTCCAACCGCTGGGAGTCAAACTGGGTAGCCATATGCAAACACTGAATACACCATCTGAACCACCCAAGCGACCTCCGGGTTTGCAGTCGCCTGCTGGCCGAGGTGTCGCATTAATTGTGCCGTCAATTCACGTCAGCCTTCCTCCACCTTCCAATGCGAAGGTAGTAGTCATCTCCTTGAGCTGACCGAACAGTTAATTTAGTCATTGATATTGCAGAAATGGGCTCGAAAAGAACTGACATCCGGACTTGAGTTCTCAGTCGCAGATATTGAACCCGTAACAATCAAACCAGGCACCCCCGAACCTTCGATATCTTCAAGTAGCGTCAAACTACCATCTGTTCGTGGGGGTTTACGATTGTCGAGTCCGAAACCTCTTCAATCGAAGAATCGACTGCTTCAACGCCATCAAATTCGGCTACGGTGAGCAGCACTTTATCTCTAGTTCTGCCAGTTATATTGATCCGCTCGGCCAGCAGGATACGAGAGGTTCGTCAACTTCGGGCAAGGATGAGATGTGCAGGGATTGGTTTGGTGGTTTCTGTACCAGCAGCCAGTGCCCCCCGTGCCCATAAATTAATACCGACTAATCTCACTTGCCGGCTTTGGCGGTTTCGAGGGGAGTGTACTCGGTCGCAATGCCCTTTCGCGCACGAGCGTCAGGTAAGTCTGACACCACTTTAATTCGAGCGTGATGATGACCCATCGCTCAGAGTCCCGATAGTTCCTTAAGGAATCAACCACCTGTTAAAAACGGAAATCCTCGAGATGTCGTGCAATTTGCCGATAGTCCCATTAAAGATCAACCTCTCGTTCGAAACGGCAACACTCGAGATGGCGTACAAGTCCCCAACCGTCCTGTTAAATATAAACCACTTATTCGAACGGACAACGTTCGAGATGACGTGCAAGTTCCCGCTAGTCCTGTCAAAGACGAACTACCTGTTCGAAATAGCAACACTTGTACCCAAGTTCCCGACCGTCCCGTTAACGACCAACTATCTAATCGAAACGGCAAAACTCTAGATGGCGTTTCAGCTCCTGAAGGTTTTGTTAAGAGCCGAAACGGTGGCGCTCGAGGGACAATAGATCAAGGTATTTCATCAGCTTACCTCAGCGTAACGTAGCAAACTCATCTCGATACCCGCAGACTTAACTGGGCCTCCATCTTCTGGCACGTCTAGTAGTGTTCAGTGCCCCATGACACAAGTCCCACCCTCGGGAACAAAATCCCGTGGGTCAGAACGACATTCTCAAGCGGCTTCGACTGATACCACACCCAAATACACGGGACACAAGACAATAAGCAATGTATGTGCATTCCTCTATTGTCTCATTTCTGGCGCTCATCCCGTGAAGCCCGATGATCGCCAACCGAAGCAAGTTTGTCATGACTCGTTGTACGGTCGTTGCCAGCGTCCCGTACGCCATTATTCGCATGAACGTCCCAATGATGTGAGTTATTCAAGTCTGTAATACACATCACTCCTTAACACCTAGTATCAGAACGCATCGCAAATGAACGCTTTATCACCAATTCGGAATACTTGTGCCGATGACACACCAAAGTCTGGCAGCTCACCATCACGACACGCACCACCCGGCCTGCCGCCCCCTACCACACGTCGAAACGAGGATCTTGTCATACCCGTGACAGTTGCGGATCATATCACAGTGAAACTACGTAGCGGTTTCGATATACAGGACGTGGACCACCGGATTCGAAACACGGTGGGTACACCTGGAGACGTGTCACCACACGTCAAGGAATCACAACTCCGCTCCCTTTTGGAAGCATATCAAGTCGATGAATTATGTATTCCGGAAGGAAAGGGTGCCAAGCGGTTGACCGTCAAAGTGCTGTTCTCCACTGCAGCCCTAGCTATGGAGGCTTCCATCGCTCTTCATGGACGCCAATTCCTAGGGAGGAAACTCACCGCGAAGCTGTCTTTGAACACCACCGCACGGGGTACCACAGTGCTCAAAGATAATGCCGTCCGTATTACTTGGAATGCGCCCCAGCGCGTTGGGTACGCAGGTTACGCGACCCTTGACGAGGCCAAGGCTGCGATTGCAGCAGCCACTGGATTGGTGATGAGGGACAACATTCTCACAGCCGCATTGTACGAAGGATTGCCCGCAGTTGGTGTTTACAGCGTCATGTTTTCTCACCTTCCTCCCGATGCAGAGAGAAAGGATTTGGAGCAGTTCGGCAACGCAGAGTCGATCCTACTTGAACGCCCCAATTACGAGTCACTCGACAGCGCTCGCCAAGCAGTACTTCGAACGTTGCACTCGTGCGGCAATCTGTCCAATTTTGAACTTGTTCTCCCTATCTGGAACGGCACCGTTCTCGCTTGGGCAACCTTTGAGACCCACGCGGACGCCGGCAATGCCAGGGATCATCTAGATGGGCAACGTCCTCGTGCAATCGGAGGAAGAACTTACATATCCGCACGGCATGTGCAGTCACTCAGCTTCTCATTGCCGTTGAACAAGTTTAAGATGTTAGAAGGAGACATCGCTCGCCTTCGGTGGACATGGCGGACAAGGTTCAACCATGACGTGACCATTGTCGATCGCCTCATACAGACTGATGGACCTGTCCATATTAAGATCTCAGCCGAAAACTTGAATAATCTTGGGATTGCCAAAGCAGAATTTGAACAACTTCAACATGGTGAAGTCGTGACTCTTCAGAGGAAACCCATATGGGACAGATTCTTTTCTCATCCATCCGGCCAGTCATTCCTTCGTGAGCTAGAGGGCCAATATCCTGGAATCGGATTACGAACTCAGATGAGCAAAATCTTACTTTTGGGTCCAATCAAACAACGTCAGCTTGCTCGGCGAGATATCATGACGCGATTCCAAGAATTACAGGCGCGAAAATTGTGGCGCATCCCCCTATCAGGCAAGGTGGTTGGTCCATTTGTTGGCACACACCTCTTGACCCTGCAGAAAACTCTTGGCCCTGATAACTGTTACGTTCATCACCTTTCGAATCAGCGCAATCTGGTCGTTCGAGGTAACGAACAGGCTTACCGTATCGCCTGTGAAGCGGTGGAAAAGGTACAAAGCCGCTATGCAGACAGCTCCACGCAATCCCCCCAATCTGTCTGTCCTGTTTGCTTCACCGAAGCATCAGTCCCAACCATTCTCACCTGCGGACATACTTGGTGCACGTCTTGCCTCGAGAGTTACCTTGTGTCCGCAGTCGAAAACAAGGCATTCCCTCTGACCTGCCTCGGTGATGACGCCTCATGTACGGAACGCATCTCTGTCGCCCTCGCCAAAAATGTCTTATCTGGCGAGGACTTCGCTGCCTTGTGTGAAGCGTCATTTTGGTCGTACGTTCACGCGCGGACGGACGAGTTCCATCACTGCCCAACACCGGACTGCGCTCAGGTGTATCGTGCAGTTTCTGGCGGCATAGTTCTCCAATGTCCATCTTGTTTGGTTCGCATCTGTTCCAGTTGCCATACGGAGGCTCATGATGGGCTCACCTGCGATGAGCGGGACAAGGCAGAGGACAAGCTGTACCATGAATGGGCAGCCACTCATGATGTCAAAAACTGCCCTGGCTGCAAGACTCCAATAGAACGGAGCGAAGGCTGCAACCATATGACTTGCATTAGATGCCAAACGCACATCTGCTGGCAATGTCTAGCAACGTTCCCGAAGGGAGATGGTATTTACGAACACATGCGAGACAAACATGGTAGCATTGGGCTAGAATTTCTGTGATCGTGGTATATTTCTCTCTTTTTCCATCTTATTTTATGCCTAGGCTTGCTTCATTTCCCATTTGTTCCACCACCTGTACATTGCGAGTTGTACTTGTGTCGATATCTTTTGTAGTGTTCTGTCCTGTCTGTGGCATTTATGAATCTATTTATACAATGTAATAGATCTGTTGTATGTATGCTCCGGTATCCACCAATCGCTTGCGACAACAACGAGTAAATTATCCCTCCCATCCTCCTCAATAATAACTGTAGACAACAAACTAAGTCCCCATTAGTCATGCTGTCGACGAAGAAAAATGCACAACACTCACGCTATCATACGGCTGCGCTGGAGGTCGTCCATGATATGGCAGACTAGCAGGTAACTCTGGCCTCGCCGCCAGATACGGCACAAAGGCACCATACTGATCTTTATATCCTTCCGTCTCGCTGGGGTAATGCTGCAACTCCGCAGGATACGCCCTTTCCTCTGGTGCATAAACAACATACGAATTAGACGTGAGGTAATCCCCACGCCGGTTCCAGAACCCCTTCCGTATGCGTCGCGTATAGTGCGCGGGCTCTGGGGACTGATGAGGCGGTGCAGACGCAACCGGGTTGGGGCGCTCCATCGGTGGTGGCGGGAGAGGATTTGAGGACCGCGAACCATTGCGGTATGGCGTCAGATGATTCGCTCTTTCGTATGATCGGCTTCTTTCTCTATGTCGCTCGCGTTCTCTCTCCCGTTCACGTTCTATCTCTCGCGTACGAACACGATTACGCAACGGTGATGATTCTGGCGATTCTTCATCAGAATCTGGAGGTGCAGATAGAGGATAAAAGAAGTCTTCTGCGCTCGAATGGCTAGATGATGACATAGACTCTGGAATGGTAGATAAATGGGCAGGCGGAATTACAGGCTCTGTCCTACTCCGTGTTAATGAAGAAGGAGCAGCGGATCTTTGCGCAGAGTTAATGAGGGGGCTCAGTACACTACCCATATCCTCCGTAAATGTGGACAGCGAACCAATAGAAGGCGGTGATGATGTAGTTGGAAGTGAATGATGCCGCAAAAGGGGTTCCGGCACTGAAAGGCCACGGGAAGCAGAGGCGCTCGTATGAGGCGCTGAAGAGGAGCGTGACGGATGGTCGAGAGCCTCATCGGTATGTCTGCGCGTCCCTGGATAGTGTGTAGGGGTCCGTCCGACATTGGATGAGGATGTCGTTTGAAGGTCCGACCTCATAAATGACTCTGGCTCTCTGGTGAACATGGGTGCCTGAAGAGGCTGTTGCACGCGGGTTGCCGATGACGATATGGCCGTTGACATAGACGAAGATGAAGATGGCGGAGCTGGAAAGGGGGGCACAAATTGCGGTCCGGATGATGATGTTCGACTTGAATAAATCGAATTCATACGACCGTGTGACGATGGTGGTGGCGGGGTTGCCGAAGAGATGGAATGTTGGCTGAAGCCCTGTGAGCGTGAGCCGAGGCTGTCTACAGAACCGTGTCTTGAGGCTGGATGACTGTAAAAATAGTCTCGTACAGGTGTGCCCGCACTTGTAGTGTTATGGCTGTCTTGCGAACCTCTTTGTGATGGCCCATAACTGGCCGGGGTCGAATTGCTCCGAATGCTATCTTGCGAGCTCCGACGATTGTTGAAGTCCCTCGTTGGGGTAGCACGGTCTGCTCCATCCGACGTCGGCAATAGACTCGGAGGATTCCATATCCAGGGAGTTTGTGGCACAGCATCCCCTTGCACATCCCTGGTAGATTCTCGATCTCGATCTGTTCTACAGTATCCTTCAAGCTATATCATTTCTGAAGGGTAAATCACGCACGCACCTTGCAGGGACCATGTTCTCCAAACCAAGGCCATTGTCGGAGAGCTGTGTCTTCCAGTAGCTCGGACTTGGAGGACGAGGGACGCGCTTGTAAGGATTAAAGTTAGCAGGGACGTTCTGAGCCCACCCCATGCCGGGTGCCCAGGGAACACCAGAACCTGCATTCATGTTATAGGTAGGGTTATACTGCCAGAAACCAGCCTTCCAATGGGGGTGGGTGTTGGCGCCAGGTGGCATAGGTGGTGGACCAGGGAAGTTTGGAGGAAGAGCAACGCCAGCTGGTGGCGGCCAGGTGCCTTGCCAACCCTGTGGAATAGAATTTTGCTGCATGAGCTGTGGATTGGGGTGCCAGTGTCCTCCTGATTGGGCCATGACGGGACTTTGGTAGACGTGATAGTAAGCTATGGTTTTAGTTACAAGAACGAAAGAACGCACTAGATCTGTAGACACACTTTTGACAGACACTTCAATCGGAAAGGCAGAGTGGGTATCGCAAGGAGAGAGTGGTTTCTACAGCTTCACTCGGAGTCGTTGAGTGATGTCGAGTATAACTACTAGTAGTAGTAGTAGGTAGTCACCAACGATCTAATGAAGAACAATGAACTTATAACGGAAACTGTACTGGGTATCACTTATGAAACGAGCACTGGCACTGGCGAGCCTGCGGCAGCGACTGTCACGGCGTAAGATTGACACGACTCGGAAACGCGCCAAAGTTTGTATTTACACAGCATAATTTTGTGCCACCGGATCTCTTCAGAACTTATCTACCACAGGCACTACAGGATATGGTAACATCAAAGGACTACCTGGCCAACGGAAGCTCAATTCGGTCAGGTCATACCGGGATACTCCAGTCCAGCCTGCCTCTCCAACATGGCGCCAAACGAGAATAACTTGTCGCAGTCATAGGTTGAACGCTTGTTCATCGGAAATATTACCTTCGAGTGACCGGTCTCGGGTAGCACATTTGCCCAATGCCGGCACTGCAGCTAGTCCACTGTCTATCAAAGCCAGTACTGAGCGGAGCCGAGCCGTCACTGTATCCACCGTCCTTTTAGATCATTGGTTCCTCAACCTCTAGTGTGATGCCTTGAAAGATGTTCCATTAGTTTCTAACAAAACAATCAATAGATGTTGCCAATTCGAATTGCAACACTGGAAGCACACCTAGATTAGACCGATATGCCAATGAATCTCACCATCTATCGACCGCTTTCTCTCCCATCTATTTACAATCGTGGTGGATACAGAAGAATCGAAGGGCGAGTTTTAGTGCGACCTGTCCTCTCCTTTGTATCCAATGGGAACTACAGGCATCCTTACCGTTTGCGAGAACAGTAAGAGATCTTATAGAGGCCAGGAGCAAACGTGTAGAGTGCATCAGCCTCAGTCTGCTTGTGACACGTCGCGAAACTTGTCCATCGATTTAAGAAAGTAGGTGGGATTGGAGGGGCCTCGGTGCCGGATAAGCGTGCAGAATTTGCAATGGGATAAGCGTCCTCTAATGCGACATTCGATCGACCAGCTTGTTGTCCAAGAGTACGACTGGATGCGGGTGCCAGATCATCAGTTATCCCAACTTTGTCGCCGATTCAAACGGCATTTCCCGCTCGCTTGGCACTTGTCGACTTGTACTCGAACCTGGTTTGAATCACTGGCCTATAAGATCTCACGAACGAGCAAACTGCGTCCTTTTTTCAAACCAAACTTCCAGCAAATTCTGGGTGATCCAGAAACTGATGTGAGGACAGCTAATCTTTCGCGGACATGGCACTCACTACACTCGAATACCTCACCATCATAGCATCGACAACGCGAGTCTGTGGCGCACTGATGGCTCAGTGAACTACTATCCAGGCCATCATTGATACATGCCAAGTCGATTTACCAACTGAGAACCACATTACACTGGCACCTCTACCTTGCAGATTGTAATAATATTCCGTGGCCACCCCAATGAAAGTATCACGACTGCCGACTCAATCTTACGGATTACAAAATCTGTCAGAACTCCCGAGTTTCACGGTCAACTTGTTGCCAGAATGTAGAAGCATGGGTGGAAAGCAGGGAGCAAATCGGTTCCATGTCGCCAACTTGCCCGAGATCGTGCATGAGGACCTACCAGGTTCCAAAATACATCATGCTACCACTCCGAGCCCTACCGCTCACAATTAATCAAGTGATCGATTATTCGGACAAATCAGAATGATTACATCTGGTGATGATGAGAAAGTGGACGAGCTCGTGAATTTTCATGTTGAGTGACTACGACAAAATAGAAAAAAATATAGAATCCGTCTGAATGATACCGATAGGTCCGCACGAGCTATGGGTTTCATAGGCATAAGTCACGGATATGTAACACGGCGACTACATTGTTGAGATGGAAAGATGGTGGCGGGTCACTCAACTGAAGTGAACGTAACTGAGTCAGTTGAACGGCGTTCGAAAGAATATGCATACTCACTCCCAAAACCGAGGGTGATGGCAATCCACCCACTGCCATCACTGGCCAGCGAGGGTCGAATTTCCCTCTTCACAGGATACGTACTTGGCACTGCGTGGAACAGTGACCACCATCATCTCAATCCTACCGCACGGACGTAGGCGACGCCATGCATTCAGACGAAATATTCTTAAATGGTCCAACCACCTAGCCACGAGCGACTGTGAATGCAAGGGAGTTTAAGAATACGAACGCAGGGGTGTCGCGTGTCTCGCCTGGACGAAGATGGTTGAAACTGATGGTGGCCAGATGCTCAAGGTCATCGAAGCCAATAGGAAATCCGAACAACCATTTGCATGTGGGGGAGATCTCGCGAGTGCGAACCGAGGATTACCATTTTTGCGTTTAACGGACACCCATGGATTCATCTTTTGAACTGGAGATCTGAATGAAGGACGGTAAGATGATTACTAAAGTCCGCTTGTAGATTTATTCCATTTGATCTTCATGTTCTCGGTAACGCTCGAAATTCAAAGTCATTTGTAGAGTCCAGGGTATGCGGTGTACTGCTAGGTACCTACCCATTTGAATCGTCGTCATGCGAGAGCGGGTTTCCGACTGGCTGATCGATCTCGAGGTTCCAGATGCGAACTGAGCAGTCAAATGGTGCACTAACAAGATGGCTTTCACTAGGAAATAGACAGAGTGATGTGATGATATTGGCATGACCCTGAAAATCAACGAGCTCAATCGAGCGCCATTTTCGTATGGTGCCGTCATACGACGCGGAGAAAATGGATGTGCCGTCCTTGGACCACACATGGGTTCTCTTTTTCTCCCCGCCGCTCGTGAATTTGTCGCCTTGTGGAGAGTATTTGACAGTATAAACCCAAATGTGACCGGTCTCTATCGGTGGTGTTATTTGTCGGCCAGTATCCGGGTTTCAGCGTCGTATGGCGCCCTCAATAGATCCACTTGTTATCTCCAGGGCATTGGGAGACTAATCGAGGACTTGGCCACTGTGGCCTTCCCACGGATCGCTAACCATACTGCCCTTTATGTTCTACAGCCGTGCTCTGCTGTCTGAATTTCCGCTCATAACCACTGATTCGTCTGGAAATACAGCCACTGGGCCTATCGGTCCCCATGGCTATCCCAAAACTTTCCCACTGGCTCTCCGTCTGTTTTCCACCGGCAAATCGAACAGTCCTCCGACGCGCTCAGTACATTGCAATTGGTGCTCACGTAGGCAAGACTCCATATGCAGCGAGAGTGACCCTCAATGATGCGCTCTGGCATCAAGCTTCCTGCTGGACATTCTGGTGCTGGTTTCTTCCATGATGTGGTCCGAGTGTTGTGGTTGACGAAGTAGGACCGACCGAGTGGTGAGATGTGCCATTCGCGTCCATTAACAGCAGGAACTCCAGGATGATCTGCGCATCCTGGCGATGGTGTGCATCATATGGTGGAAGACCCTTCTCTCCCGCTAGAGGTCTAAGACACGCTGGTGAGCCTAACAGCGCTACTCTCCCTCTGGCTTGCTTGCTCGACTGTGCCTCTTCGTGGGGATTGAGCAAAGGCGGCGTGCTTCATTACAGACAGGTAGACAACGTGCCTTGGAATAATGCGCACAATAATAGTCGAGAGGAAGATATAGTGGAGGTGAAGAATAGACCCGCCAAACACCCAAATCTGGATGCTATGGTTGCAGGTAACTACTTTGCTGAGGACGTATGTGGCAGTGAGGTCAATTCTGTCCGAATTTCGATAAACCTCGATTTCTCCCACGTATCACCACTTTGCACCAAATCCGTCGGTGAGCGCAAAAGACATGAACATGCAAACGCAGTTACATCGTCAGTCATCACCTCTGGGAAGTTTGACAAAAGTAGAGAGGAATACGTGGTATGCGTACATACAATGGTAGCGTGACATTCAACGCTCTAGTCGAGTCATCCAGAGATGGACGACCATGCTAGTCAACGATGTCCTCGAGAGCGTTAGCGCACTCCCCATGCGTATCCGGGGTCCAGTTCTGCACTCTCCTGTCACTACACCACAACCCAGGTCGTCCACCACCTCCTGGATCACGTTCCCATCGAATATCAAGTTCCCCACGAAGAAGACCTTGCACACCAGCGAGAGCGGGGTTCCAGAAAGCAGAGCCTACTTCTCCGAGGGTGGTTTCAACGGATAAATTTGAGGAAATTGGCGGAGGGGGAGGGAAGTTCATGAGGAGAAAGGGAACGCTGGATCCGAGTGCGCGGGTGAGGGTTGCAGTGGTAAATTTTGACTCTGAAAGGAGGAGCGCTACTGTACCCAGCTCAGACACGCGTATGGAGGATTCGGAATGGGAACGGTCTTGAGTGTGCATATGCCACACGCCTTCCATCTCGCGGACGTAGTTTGGTGAGAATTTTTTCTTCTCCGCTTTACATTGCGCAAGGACGCGTATACGTCTACGTGGAGGTGTGATTGAGGTAGACTGGGAAACTGAGCTAAGAGGAAGCCACCACCAGCCTATTAAGTCGACACCACCATCCGATTTTCCACCAACGCGTTTGAGGGACATGGAGAAACATTCTTGAAGCAATTGAAGGGATCGTTGCTCGAACGCTGTTCCGCGCGCGACTGTTGATAGCGTCCTGTGCATTATGGCTTTACTTCAGTACGACCTTCGCCCGAGATATGCCTTAGCTAGTCTGGGAGACTAATATTTGGAAGTGCGATATTTGGAAGTTTGTATAAAGCTCTGCCAGAAGATGTATTCCGCTCAGATAGCAAAACTAATCCGGGAAAACCCGGGCTACTTCACTTCTGCTTGAACTTCTTCCTCCACTTCCGAAAATCGACATGTCTTAGTGCGTGTACATATCTCATCTACTAGCTATTGTCCCACTGACTGGAATATTGGTAGCGTCATCTTTGGTCGCGCCATTAAAACTGAGTACCTCACGTTGGGTACACTTTTCGCGACCGGCGGTGCCGTGTATGCATCCCTTGGTGGAAAGAAGGATTCTACATCTTCAGGCAAACCTCTTGCAGAGCGCGTGAAGGAGGCTGTACCCATAAATGCTGGCTCTAGGTGCGTCTATTCTCATTCTCATTTGCTTGTAGACGTAAACTAACTGTGGGGCCTACAGTGAAGAGGAACAATTGTATGTGTTCTATGAGGACCAAACGACTCGTGCTGCAGCACGGACTGACCAGGATGAACAGTATCAAGAACTTTATTGCAGAAGCCGAGAAGGAGGGCGGGGTAGCGCATCATTGATTCAGTTTCTCGTATTAATATACAATACGAAGCGGCCAACATGTAGTTACCTTGATGAGACATACCAGCCAGTGACCTCTGGAAATAGAGATTTTCCTCGCTTCATCCTTCTAGTTTCCTTTTCGGTTCGTGATTATTCCTAAGTGTTGGGTGGTTGCTTTGCAACTGCTGGATTGCATGACAACATCGTTCAGCTCTCGTCCATGACTTTTAACGTATAACGAACTTCATCTAAAAAACAAAGTCAAACCCGACCATAAACATGGACCATAGTAATGGCACCAAATACCTAACTCTCTTGAACACCTCCAGCTCGCCAACAGCAGCGAGTTCTCTCCCTTCCCCGCCCTATTCACCCCCTGCAGGTTGCACCACACCACTATCCAGTGCCCATTCACGAGGCGTGTCTCCCAACGATGCGACAAAAGCCCTCAAAGCTACCCGCCGGCAATCTTCCATCTCCTACGTATCTTCCCGCGTCGATGTGTTCTCGCGACACCAGACATCCACGTCTTCAACCGTAACTGATGCCTCGATAAGAACGGGAGGTTTATTCGAAGGACACAAAAGGACTTCACGCTTGATGAAGAGGCATACTATGGTAGGCCTCGAGGAGTTGCGCGGATTAAACGCAGTCGGGGAAGCTCGGGCGCGTGTCTCCGTCGGGAGTGCCAGTGCCAGTGAGGGTGTAGAGAGAGCTGCACTGACATTAGCTGAAAAGTACGTCCGGATTTCGGTGTACTTATATTGATGTCAACTGAATTCAAATCTCAGGCACGCCGACCTCCTACACGCAATTGCAGCCGCCGAGAGTAGACGCCTCGAGTTGACTGGTCAACTGGCTGCTGTTGAAGGGGATCTTGGAGAACGTGAGTCCCTTCTTGATGTTTCATTTCTTCCTTCCTCGGTGCCGTCGTGCCGCATTATATCCACCATCACATATGCCTGATTTCCTCATCAAAGCGAACTGATCATATCTCGTTTACTAGTAAAACGAAAATGGGAGCGCATCGTCAACCGCGAACCACCCCACCCCACTGTTCCTCTATCAACACCCACCACTTCTGTCGTAGATGGCCTCAAAGAAGGCGTAAGATTACTCGCAGCGGGTCTGAGCGACCTAAGCGAACTCTCTTCTCCAATTCCCTCACTGGCTCCTCCAATAAACACTGAAGAAACAGCGGGGATTCCGAAGTGTCACGCACAGCGTGTGAGCGACTCGTCTACATCAACGTCAACACGTTCAGGGGTGACGCGACTCTCGAGGAGTTCCGTGTCATCTATCTGGGACGAAGACATTTCACTTTCTTCTGGTACCGGCGTGGAAAAAAGCGAACGACATGTCACGAATCAAGCACGAGAAAAGGAAGCGTCAAGAGCAAGACAAGAAAAAGTCTTCCGTCGGAGATCACGCGATCTTTCGCATCCACCGACTGCATTTACGAGGCATGTCAATTCTTATAATAGTACAAGTACTAGTGTGGACCTCGGACGAGGCAGCGTGGAGCCGGACTCGACTATGGAGGTCGTTCGGGGTACATTAAATCCGAGCTTGGATGCGTCCGTTACAACGGTAGCTTCAGATTTTGATCCAGACGGTGTAGGGCCTTTAGGGACACCGAGTGCACATACGCTCCATAACAAACGCTCCCCCCTAGTATCGCATTCATCAATACCTGGCGCTGGATCGCTCGCTGTCGCTAGTGGATGGGGGAACGTTGGTCGCAAGCTCGGAGGTGATGTGTGAGTGATGTTCCCTTCCTGCTTTTCAGTTTGTTTGACCCATCCACCACCGATATCTTTTCTCCGATGTTTTATTACAATTACGAACTAACACCCCATCACAGATTATCCAAAGGCCACAAGCGAGCCTCCATCCTCCTCGCGGACGTCTCGCAATCCATTGTATCGGCATTGACCCCAGGCCCAGTAGCAACCTCCCCCGCACCTGTTCCTACATCAATACAACTTTTCCCATTCCCCTCATCCCTCCGCACACCCTCAAGCAGTACTACCTCCCTACACAGAACCTTACCCAGCGCTTCCGTTTCCGTTCCTTCCTCTTCCTCACGCACATCATCATCAGACACGAGCTCTCTACTCACGCACTCTACGTACCCGCATACACGCACCAAGACTCATGCTCCTGTCCAACGCACGAACAGTTGGCTGGAAGATGTGGAAGATGATGATACGGTGAATGCCGGGAAAGTTATGATGCCGTCTGTACTTGCACCCACCTCAGCCTCTGCGTCAGTACGCAAAACGCCCAATACACGCGCATCCATCAAAGGAGGAACGGTAACGACTCTCGATGATGACGATGACTGGAATTGGTAGCAGCTACCGTCGTCCGCTTTTGACGTTCTCTGGCTGGTGTTGGGAGATGAAGAATAGGCTCCTACTCTGATTGTAGTGTGCGAGGCGTATGTGGTATTGTATGTTGATATTATGGTTGTCTGCACCTCCTTCATTCGTGCAGGCGGATACGACAACAAGCTCTGATGACGAGTTGATAACTTGATAGCATTAGATGATGTGTGCAGACGGGAGGAGCATTGTGAGTATGTTTATAGATATTCATTGTATTTTATTTGTTCTGTGCGGTATTACTTGTGCACTTCGATGTGTTGTAACCCATATCGCATGTACAATTGATGAGTTTGCTGGGTTAGACATTTTGCTTGAAGCAATCAATCAACCAGTAGTGATAGACTTAACAAATGAGAGGTTAATAGTATGTATAATCCCTCGCGGCTGCTCAAGCGCTCATACACACTGAGCACTCAGCACATCGAGCGAAATTGACAGGAACGGTATACAGGTGAGCAGATGCGGCTAGAGACCCGAGTCTGCCGGGTAAACGTTCAGATACAGACACTTGTGTCATGGCCTATAACCTGGAGTCCTTGACTGGCTATAGAAACTAAGTGATAATGCAACTGAAATGACTGTCATTTTCGTGTACAGACGTTCTACTGCGTCGGGCCTGCTTTGGGGTATTACGCATTATTAAATGAGACCGGATGCAGGGAGAGAGCGCGTGAGAGAAAGGAATGTTGATAAATTACTATGCAGCCGCCTGCACGGAACCGATTCGCTTCGTTCACTCCTCAGGTGATATAATGAAACTTACTTTCATGTCTAGCTACTCTTCTGAATCCAAGAATTCAGCTTCAAGCAACCATCGAAATGAGCGTCCCAAGTTCCCTATATGCAGCATCGTGCTGCGGTAGCATGCTATGTTCGGGCATAATCCGACCGTCAATTAGTCCAATGACAATAATCGGAAGAGTTCTTCGCATGCCTGAGGTAAGTACTTACTACATGTACTGCCCGAGTTACTAAACAGTGACGTAGCTATCCAATCAAATCGCTTCTCGTTTTTCGTTTAACGCTCCACTTATAATGGTGCAACTGCCAAAATTTCAATGGTTAGCTTGCTAAATTTTCTTCGCACTACATCATAATGGTCGCATTTGCTGACCTTTCACTCTCCTTTCTTTATGGCCTTTCAGGCTTTACAACACGCGATGCTTCTTCAGAATCTCATGTCGTTCGAAGTGCTGTTTGTGAGCAGATCGCAGCCCAAGTCTCGTCGAGCTCCATAGTGTATTATCCCGGTGCGTACTCCCAGTCAAATCCTTCTTGACACCGAACCCACATTTCTACAGGCTCGTACCAATATTTTAAGGACAATTATCACTGGTCTACATCTAGTACTCAGGACTCTGAATGTACCTTTGAGCCTGCAACAGCTGACGATGTTGGAATCGCGGTATGTCTGAGGCGAACAACTTCACCGCTCACAACATGACGTGTCTTTTTCATCAGCTTCGAATCCTAGGAGAGACCCAGACACCATTTGGAGTGAGTAATAATGGCTTCGACTTCTATTTATTATCATAACTGTCAACAAGATTAAAAGTGGAGGACACGCCGCAAATGCAGGCTTCTCTTCGACGCCAGGCGTCCAGATTGCGATGTATTCCTTCTCGGATGTCGAGTACAATTCGACCACACAAACAGCAACTGTCGGCACGGGTTTATTATGGGACGATGTTTATGTTGCATTGCAACCATATAACGTGACCGTCGTAGGCGCCAAGGTCACAGCCATTGGAGTCGGAGGCGTTGTTTTGGGTGGAGGTATGGTTTTACCGAGACCTTCGACGGAAATGAGCTCATCTTTTCACTAGGATATTCGTATTTGACTAATCAACATGGTCTGGGCTTCGACAATGTCATATCCTTCGAACTTGTTTTACCCAATGGGACAGTGACTGATATCTCAGATTCTACAAATCCAGATCTGTTCTTTGCGTTGCGGGTGAGTTTCCTGAGGCTAATCACGTAAACAATCCTAATTTTCTGCGAAATTTTAAGGGGGGATTCAATAACTATGTATGTAGCGCCAAATAATCTATCGATGAACACGCTGACAATAGCAGGGTATCGTGACGAGGGTTACTGTCAAAACATATCCTCAGTCTCTAGTCTGGGTAAGGACGTGATCAAAGTATGGGCAATTGCACGCTGACAATCATCTCATGTGCAGGGCGGACGTGTCTCGTATACGCATGACCAATGGGAAGGCGCAAGCTCAGCTATGGCCAACTACTGGGCAACCGTCAAAGATCCAAAGGCATCCATATACAACACTTATAACTATGTATCTGGAGTGGTGCGTTAGCTATCGTCATTTGCCCCTTACTGCTCATATGTATTGCATCGCAGGCAGAAGTATCAGTTATCGTCTTTTATGATGCTCCAACGTGCCCTGATGGGATATTCGATGACTTCATGACAGCTCCTCACATCGAATCGGACATTGGTACCAGATCTTACGTCAATCTCGTCCAGTCTCTTCCCTTAAACCTTACTTCTGGGCTTCGGTAAGTCGATGTGGAACATAAGACCATCCTCTATTCACCTAAAGACAGATCCGTGTTTCATTGGGTGGCAATGGAAGAGGTTACACAGCCTGCATTGGACATGATTGCAAACGAGACGATGGTAATCGCTCCTTCCCTTTAATTTTGATATACCGTTAACGCATATGACATTGATCAGTTCTGGGGCGAATATCTGACAGACTACAGTGCTCGAGTTGTCTCGAATGACGTGGACATCTACCTGCCTACGCTCTACGACCATGTCGATTCGCCGACCGCATACCCATCGACACGGAGTAAAGGCTACTCGTTCATCGAATTATACTACGGTTGGACGGATGCCAAGTATGACGACATTGTGCTCAACGCTGTCAATGCAAGTGCCCAGCATATGATAGATGCACTCACGGCTCTTGGCCAGGACGTCGCAAATGTTGACGTGTACCCCAACAACGCACCTCCTGACACAAGCTTAGAGAGGATGTACGGTGACAACGTACCTCGCTTGAAAGATATCAAGAAGACCGTCGATCCGGATAATATAATGGGATTGTCGGGCGGTTGGAAATTCTAGTCCTAATTCGAACGCAGAAGACTCCGATATTAATTCACATTCGTTTTCACCTACGTATCTACACTGTGATGGCGGCTATAAGCACGCAGTATGTACATGCAACAGCCATTCCATCGCTCATCAAGTGATAACGAGCCTGCCTCGTTCAACACACTAATCGTCCGTTTGTCATAGGTTAACGTTGTCACAAAAGCGCAGGTGCCTCTTACAGCTACCTTCATATCTATAAACTAAAATCCATTTTTGTATATTCACCGCTTTTGTTTAGTTGTTCCGCCTATTACGATACTTTGTCGCCGGGTGAGATACCCAGTATTAATGGCACTAGACTGCGCAGCTTTCTCATTTGACACTCTTTGGACACCATTCTTACATACTTGGTTGGAAACCGCCGTCACATTCCAGCCATGCAAACGTCATCCAAGGCCATAACACAAGTCACTAACATTGAAGCCCGCGCTAATGACCAGTTTGCTAGCCCTGAGCGGAGCATGCGAGTACTAATGTTCAAGTTGAGCTGGCATGATAAAAAAAATAATCCGCAACACCTAACTTCACGAGAGACTGCTCCCGTTCCACCCTGCGTTTTTGTTTGTTGCCCTTGAAACACTCGAGTCCTTGGAGTTCCAGGACCGACCCAGTGGTGAAATGTGACACTCGCATCCGGGAACGAGTTGTCTATTTTTCACCACGAGTTCCTCGCTGCTAGTGACACACTCTTTGCTCACATAGTCGCACTCCTGGTGAAGATTTGTTCAATGAAGCCATGATGAGTTATTATCTTGATGTTCTATTCGGTCATCCAACTCATACTGCCACCATTCAGGAGGCACTCGGAGCTTCATTCCCGCCGGTTTCTCATAGAGTAAGTAAGCAGGTATGAAAATGTGGTCACTCACCTTCCCCCAGTGCATCTTGGCAACATTATGCATCATAAAGTGGCGCATCCTTCTCATCCGTCCGACGAGATGTATCAATCACCGATGCAGTTCAGCATCGCTCCTTGTTCTTTATCTCTCCGCTGTGCTGACATCTTGCTGGACTCGACCGTGACGTTAACGAGAACTTTTTTAATTACCGCTGTCTGCACAGACGCTGCACATTGACAGAGCTCGATAAATACGGACATTGAAGAAACCAGCGAGATGGCTAGCTGTACATGCTGTATTTCCAGGCACCTCTTTGAACCGCGCGTTGATGGTGATAGTACCTCGAACGTCGGGACAATTCTACAGATTGCTGTATAGTTCGCCAACGAGCGTCAATATAATATGAAGATGGCACTACGGTCTAAACTCGTAACAATGCTGCCTACACGGTACGTTTTTTTCCCGATGTTGTGATTCCTGCTCCATCACTCGAGCCATCCATACGTGGTAATATTAGCCAGGTTGGTCACAAGAAAAATCTAATCTAGCTGAACATTGAACAGTTTGCAACTGGTCGAGTCGGACCTGAAAGTTTGAACTAGACTAATACTATGCCATGGACTGTACCGTTGTTGAACACGGTCCATGTTCCGGCCTGCAGGTTCAAAGGTACTCCTCAGAACGCGTTCGGTCTGTGTTTAGGCTCAACAAAAATTTGCTCCCACCGGACTTCAACGTTCAACGTTTAACTACTGGACATTTGTAGCTTTGTACACACTGTAATGTTTGAAATGAGACGCTCACGCCAGCAAAATTCAGGTTTTCGAATTTTAAATGTAAGCAATATTTACTATATATATTCAAGTCGGCAGATTTTCTGCAGAGTTTATTCAAATCTTAAAATTCGGAATAATGTTGCAAAGTGCTTTCCAAACCGCAGACGAGAGGGGGTACTAGCCCCCCATCACTAGTACTGAGATGCGGACTTGCAAAAGACGGCAGGACGAGGATGTTGGAACAGATAGAGTTAGATTTGGAATAATGTTAACGTTCTAAACGCTGCAGGAGAATTCAGGACCATCTAGACGCTATGCTCATATTATAAGGTTCATTCTCCCCGTCACCTACTTAAAGTTATTACGTCGTCTACTAAGAAGAATTCGGAAAATGCCGAAGCATTCTTTTGGCCGATGACCATGAACTCGCTGGCTCAGCAGGCGATGCGCCTTGAACTTTCTGGACTAATGATTGCAGCATACAATGTAGGCAACCAGTCAGTGCAGTGTTTGGCTAAGTCAATTGTATGCACAGGTTGAAGCTTAACGCACTGGCATGTCCAGCGTCTTGCACCTCGTTTTTGACTGAACTTTGACCAAACTTTGACAGTTGATTTATCCAGACTCGACTCGGACCGGTGCCAAGTACTGGTATAGCAAATGTATTACAGCTGGGCGTCGCGAAATGCGCCATGGCGCATGAGCTCCTGTTCGCGTGTGCCTACTACTTGCGACCGCAATCGTGACTTAGCTTCTTACAAGTATAGGCCCACTGTATCGATCCCGATATCGTCTATCTTAGCAGGAAGATCAAGTCCCAGTACTCGGTACTCGGTACTGATCCGTGCTCGCCTGTAACGTTATGAAAGCAACACAAAAGGAAGGTATGAAGCTATATGAAGGACAGCCAAATGCATCAGCTTAGTATGAACTTCCCGGCGCTGCAATGTGAACGCCCAGGGAGTCGGTTCGCGCAGAAGCCGGCTGTCCAGCAAGCCAAGGTTAACATGTGCTACCGCCTTGTGGGTCGGAAGGATGCGTACATCCGAATACTCAAGCTCCCCAGCGGCAGGTACCGTTGTACGAAGCTGATCCTGGCTAAATCGCAAAACAAGGAAGGGGGCACAGCTTATGCAACACGAAACATATAAAAGCCTCCTTTCTGACACTCTAACTGTAGAATCCAAGTTCTTCGAGTTGATCATTCAGAGATATGTCTGGCATAGAAACCTTCCCTGTTCCGTTGTCTGCAGGTAAGCCCGCCTTTCAAAATCAGTTCAAGTCCACTTATTATTGGATATATCAGAGGCTATCTCCTCCACGTGGCTGTCTGCATTTATTTCTGACATATCCAGCCCCAGTTTCACTCTGAAGCGCTCGTTTACAAACGATAGCTACTGGCGGGATCTCTTGGCATTTACTCCTGATTTTCGCACCTTGCACGCACTTCCAAAAATCCAGGATTTTTTCTCAGCTCCGATTGCCCTTGCGCGGCCAAGTCGGTTCCGACTCTTGCCAAGTGTCCGTCATCGGCGCATTGGTCCTACAAAAACATTCATCCAAGGAATTGTTCAATTTCATACGGTCATAGCGCAGTGCACTGGCGTCTTCACTCTGACTCAAGTCGAGGACTCCTCATGGAAGGCTTGGTCCTTTGTGACTATGATGGATCAGTTGTCTGGTGTGGTCGATCGCTTTCGCGCCCATACGCCTCTCTGTCGTCCTGCTGAGTGGAACACTACAATGGAGTACACAGCGGTCGTCGTGGGTGCAGGTCAGTGCGGCTTATCCATGGCTGCCCGTTTGGAGAATCTTGGCATCTCTACACTTGTCTTGGAGAGATCCTGCGCAATTGGCAATGGTTGGCGTTCTCGATACGAGTCACTGGAGACTAATACTCCTAGGGCGTTCAGTACGTGCAGCCGAAGAACTACCAACCTTGTCCTATGCTGATGTGCAAGCAGATCATCTTCCCTTCGTCTCATTCCCAGAGGAATGCGGCACGTATATCCCTTGCAGAGACGTTGCCGACTATCTTGAAAATTACCAAAGAACTCTTGGTCTTCATGTGTTGACCTCAGCCCACATTTCTACTACTTCATATGACGCTTCGTCAAGTACCTGGACACTCTCTATATCTTTTTCAGGGCAAGCCTCTATCACAGTGAAGGCCCATCACCTCATTGTCGCAATAGGCGTTGGTACGACGGGAGGTGCACTCCCGTTTGCACCTTCGATTCGAGGAAAAGTACGCAAGTCAGACTTCATTTTTTTTTGTTGACACTGACTCTGCTTGCAGAGCTCCTTTCTCGGTTCTGTTATCCATTCCAGCGAATACAGGTCCTCTTCCTGCATCGGCACGCAGAAAGTAGTCGTCGTCGGCGCAGGATGCTCGGCGCACGATATTGCTCAGGACATAGCAAATCATGGGTCTCAGACAGTGCTTGTCCAGCGTTCCCCGACTGCCGTTGTGAGTCGCCAGACGATAAACCATATGATTGCCGGTAATCTCAATGTACTTGCTGCGGAGATCTCCAAATATTGATTTGACTCATAGGATATATCGCGCAGGACGCTCCTCCGACAGAGATCGCTGACCGCTTATATGTCGCTATCCCCTTGTCAGCTCTTCAAAATTCCCAGTACGACATCGTGGAGAAACATGCCCATATAGACCAGTTCGTTGGCAAGATTCGAAAATCATTTCTTCGTCTCACCTTTTCCGCTTAGGGACCTCAAGGAGAACTTGGCCCGGCATGGATATCTCCTTCCCGGCCCTGAGGACAACTTCTTGCACCGTCTCTCTGTTCGACGAGGTAATTTTGTTTTTCTCTATATCATCATATTTTTCATCGGGATTCCAGGTGGCTATTACATCGACCGAGGTTGCGCACAGCTCATCACGTCTGGCAAGGTATCATCACTTTTTCTGAGTTCTCCTACGCACGTTGCTTACTAGCGACTAGATCACCGTCAAGTCTGGGCATGAGATTTCCCACTTCTCCCCTTCTGGGTTGGTATTTGATGACGGTTCGCGAGTTGTGGCCGACCTTGTCATATTCGCAACTGGGTAAATTTTTCAAATATCTATCTGTCTGATCGCGCACTTCTAATGCATCATTCACAGGTACTCGAAAACTACGATCAAACAAGTCGCTGAGAACCTTTTTGGACCTCAGGTCGCGGACGCTGTCCATGACCTTGGAGGATGGGATAGTGATTATGAGCTTGCAGGTGTTTGGAGGCCGACTGGACGTCAGTATTCTGTTGATGTGATCACGCAATTCGATGATGCTGACATTCTGCTCTAGATGATGGACTCTGGTTTGCAGAGGGCGATCTTTTTTCTGCACGGTTCTACTCCCGGTTCCTCGCATTACAGATAATGGCGAGGGAGATGGGAATTGCTAAGTCCAGACCAGAAAACTTACATCCCATGCTAATTTCTGCGATCAACTTCTCAGTTACCCTATATATTATGTACACGAGATGTCCTTGGCTCGTGTTCAACAACCTGCTAATAACATTATTTATATGCAACACAATTAGGTCATACGCATGTACTGTGGAAAGAACTTTCAACTGCCGGCGTCTTCTACTTTTGGGCCGCCTGGTCCAACACGGGCCCAGGGATGCCTATACCACAATCACGAGATATCAATGATCGATATCTCGTGTGTGACGGGCCAGAAGGTGAAGTAGTTTGACTGATGATATTTTCTTGGGAGATCTACCCCTCGTCAACTACATACTCGCGATGAGACGAAGGTTGACTTATTATGACGGTGCAATGGAGACACCCGTCTCTGAAGTCTGATATTACAACTACGGCGAGGCAGAGTAGTGGGAGCAACTCGAACTCCGAACCAATGAACACGTTTTCATTAGGACCGGGTCGATGAGTATCTTGATGGAGATCGCGCATTCCTGAATCGGTCCTCGAAGTTATTGCTGTGTGGTTTCGATGTTGAGGTGGATTGAAGCTATGGAGAAACGGTGTAATAAGATGTAAGGGTGATTGGCTAATAATTTACGATGTAAAGTAACACTAGAACTAGTTAGTCTCCTCCCTTCCAACAATATTAAATGGTAGTATGTATCAGATAAATTCATCTGCCTCCACCTGATTTGCGTTTTTGCTCTCAACAGCAAGTCTATCCACAACTTTCCTCACCTCTTTCTGCCAGTCGGCTGTAATACACAGATATGTGCCCCAGACAGAGCAATAAATGAGGGAAACTGTGAACCCCACCCATAGTCCCAGCAGTCCCATGTCCATCCTAAAAGTCAACCAAACACCAAAAGGAATGCCGATGACGTAGAAAGCACTGCAAAAAGACGTTATGCGGGAAACATGGCTGGGGCGCGTAGACCTTACCTGAAATTGAGCAGTGCGCCTACGAGCTGCAAGATAATTAAGCCAAAGAATGTGACAAAATAACGCAGCACCTACTTGTTTACCCTGTACTCGCAAAACGCCACCAGTAACAGCGGCGACCCCATCGAAGACCTGATACATAGCGACAAGTGGAAGAATGGAGGCCACCAGCGCCACCACCTCTGAGATCGAATGAGTATTGGGGCGCGCACCATATCGAAAAATCCTACCGGGGTCATCATTGACAAGATACGCCCACGACTGCCTGAACGATATAAACATAGTGCTAAAAGTGTATGTCAGCACTGCTTGACCTGAAACCGGAGCATATGTACCTCCATATCACCGAAATTGCGATTGCAATAACAATCGCGGCGTATACAGAAACGCTGGCGCGCCTCGCCTGCTTCTCGCCCAGAAGATTCCCAATCCTGCTGGACATCAGCCAAGATATCCATTAGTTTGATGTGACACAACATACCGCACAGAAGTAGCCAAGGAGAGGGCGAAGGGAGCTTGATATGTACAGTAGCTTGAAATGAGCAGGACGGATTGGGTAGCTAGGGCAACGGGCCCGAGCCTATGAATGGAAGTTAGTGAGGTTGGCTACTTGTGCATCTGGTCTCGTACAAACTAGCGGCCACTGTCAAATCGCAGATCAGTATCTAGATTCTCAAGTCGCATACCAATATACGCACAGTTATTGAGCTCCCACGACCACCATTCAAATGTTGTCTGGCCAATGCCAGCGAGTCCCAGCTTGATAACACTGCCCAAGCAAGTAAAACTCTGTATGGAGATGGGATGCCAGGCGGTCCTATCGACGTAAAAAATGCCATATGTTACTGATGAAATCGAAACCAAATTGAAAGATATGGAAGTTGCGATTGGAGCTCCAATAAAACCAACCCTGATGGGCTCGGGGCCCCACACTAAAGGGTTATATGAGCTTCCAATCGAAACGCAAAAAAAAACTGAGACTATTACCAAGAACGTAATTCAAGATGGCGTTGATCGGCGCCACGACCAGGATGATCTTGGTTGGCACAGCGAAGAGTCCTCAAAAAGCAATTGACGATTGGTACGTAACCCTTTTCGTGATGTGACATTCATTACCTTGAGATTGAAAGTAGCGACTACAATCCTTGGAAAGTCAGCATTAAACATGTCGATAGTGTGTATACTATCGCACCGCAAAATACAGTTGAAAGCATATGCTGGAAGCCCCAAAGACGACCATCTCAAGTAGACAGCAGCCAGGTACGCAACTTCAGGATCTTGTTTGAGCAAGAGTAAAATGAATTCGGCATTGAACCAAATCATAAAAACAGGCTGAAGTTATATCAATGAGAGATTGGTGGGGAAAAGCGACACACATACGATAAGAGTTGCGACCGTCACAACAACTGCGGAAATGGTTAGATTATAGGAGGCATGCATAAGAATGAGAATGATACTTGCACATGCGTTGGCTCCATAAGCCGACTAACTGCGGATGACTAGATGTCCATGCTGCAGGGAGAAGTGTGTCAAGAGCAGATACTAGACCTTGTACGATTGCGTAGCCCGATACGCTTGCGGTCATGAAAGCTAATGTTGCAGCAGCAAGTGCTGTAGTGGAGATGCGCCCGATGGCCACTACAGAAGCGATATTGAAACTATATTGAAACAGGTTAGTTCTGCGATGTTCTAAGATTAGCGAGAGGTACTAGATCAGAGGTTGCAATCTGTACAAACATAAAAATAGGAAGGGTATATTTCGTGAGGACCTCGAGTTCCTCCTGGAATACCACCCAGGTACTGGGACAGCCCCTTTCATTCAAACAATGGACACCCTCTTCTATGTGAGGAATTGAAGTCGACAGCAGAGGAGTATTCTCTGACGGCAGACTGGTCATCATTACTGGCGGCGGGGATACGAAGGAGATGCTGGGCTGTAGAGCTACCCCGCTTGTAATTTGTGTTGGAGCATTCTTGGTCTCGTTCAGTGAACTTTTCTGTGTTTGCTCTCCGAAGTCATGCCCCATGAAAGCCACGAATTGGTCAAACAACGCGTGGTCACAGGGTAGAGAACTTGGGTGTGCAGACATGGGGAAACTTTTGGCATTTCAACCAAACCGCTGCCACTGTATTTAAAATGGCGATATCAACCAAATTGAAGTGTTAGGTACGTACTTGTTTGCACTTGTGAGTCGTAGTAGGCTACGTCGCGTCCGGCACACTCCGCTTAGCCTGCAAGTCTTCATTCTGTTTTACGGCAGTGGTACTTATTCGCATCTCACCCGCGAACGTAGCTGAACGTTGAGGGTTGGCCTAGCACTTGGCGGGATACCGATTCTTAATCTATTCCTTCTGCGCCATACAACAGATGACATGGCGCCGGGTCTGGCAGAGAGCCAGGGGTCACCGTTACAACGTTGAATTATCGAAGAAGACCTGCATACTAATTGGGGAAGAGCACTCGGTCGAGTCCGAGTCCTACTTATGATACACATTACCTTACTTGACAAGGTTTCTGTAAATCAACCTAAATACTGTCTGCGATAATGAAGCGTGAGCTTTCATGATCACTATCTTTGAGCATAACGGCTAAGGGGCGACAATCTTGACTTACCTACAGATTCCCTGACATTGGCGTGACAGCGGGGAAACTGACATGATTTGACTATCTTTTGCCGCCAGTGAAATTACATTCGGAAGGTGTTTTGGAACGTCTCGAATGCTTTTAGCCAGTCCAGATCTGCTTTTGATTGAATTCTTGCAAGAGGTAAAAATGTTGTCACAGGGACCAACCGACATGATGTGGCCGCTGAGGAAGAACTGAATATCAGATGCCCTGTTCCAACTCGGAGCCTCGATCGGTTCGAAAATGAGGTAGTAGTACTCAAGTCCGAACATCCGCAGCACCAATCCCCCCCATACTAGGAGGAACACTAGAGTTCGCGAAATTTTGGGAACACGAGCTGTGATTCATTTTATCAACCAAATCCCAATGAGAATATATTCGACTATTTCGAGCAATGCAATTACCACGCCCTCGAGGATTGATACCGCTAAGGTGGCGTGTGGAATAGACTCTTGGCAGCATGATTTGCTCCCTGGATTATGATAGACGCAGCGACAAGGTTTGATCGGAGTCTTCACTCTCGCTGGTGATTTATCGAGGGGCCAGAAGATGCCATGGCTGTGTTTCGGTTGGCGACTCCTCGACGATGAGACCCACAAAATCACAATCACATAACTTTAGCCCCATTATAAGGTTGTTGATACTGGAAACGGTGAGCAAAATATGGTCGAGTCGTTTCGATTAGAATCGGCGGATAGTAGGAAAATGTCGAACTCTACATACCCCATATTAAGTTTGATTTTCCCTTATAGTCATGATCTAGATCGCCAAGGCAAGGTACAAAGTCAATCATATGTTGTAATAGGAGGTGTGGGGTAGTCCTCGAGGTGAATCAGGTGATGGGCATGCGCAGCAGGTCGCTGACCGAAGCTTCCATGAGGGCATAAGAGGGAGTCTTGGTTCAATTTTGGATTAGTGTGAAAATCGATGGGGCGATAAGATGTGAAGAAGGCCAAGCGAGGGTGGAGTCGTGATAGAGCAGATGGTGAATTGATGCAGGTTTGACTCACTCCAGCCGAGTTCCCCAACACGTTTCCGAATATCGATTGACACAAGTCTGTTCGTCGCTTCGTATCTGGTCCTGGCAGCTGCCTAATGGTCTTAAACGTAGTCCGTCACGTAGAGGGCATGAAGAATCTTCCATGAGTTGGTGCTAGTTGGCTGGTAGTAGTGTGGGAGTCTGAGACAAACAACCAAACATCTAAAGAATTTTTCACGCCTGCTACTATCACTGGCGGGGTTTTTCAAAATGGGTATTGGGTTTCAAAATTCGCTGATCATCTTATCCCGAGCTGCACACTGCACAAAAATATTCTGTGATTTTATCCAGTGTTCTCTAGTATCTATAGAATACATCTGTGAAGATCCCATAGAAAAAATCAAGCAGTTGTGTTCACAATAAATCATACATTGACATATGTCACACCACTGAGTGTTAATGATAGTAATGCTACAATATGTATACTTCGTCAAACAGGAAAAAAAAACAAGGGAGAACAATCTCTGTGCCTATACAAATGATACTTATGACTGCAATTTTTATATCGTGATTGAATGAGGGCAGAACCATGTTATCAGTGAAATTGTTGAAAGAGTGTATGCCGCACAATGACTATAGTGCAGCATCAATTATAATCTCCACTCGAAAACTGTACACCGAGTAATCTTTGATTTCCTCGTTCAGATATCGAGATTCAAAATTCTGCTAAGCATGCCGTTGCGGAGTTATAAAACTCCAGTGTGACATTGCGGTGACAAATTTTGAAACAGCATAGCCAGTCCCTGCCAAACTGACATCGCACAACTGGATTCCTTCTGCCACTCGAACATCATTGCAAAAAAAATCAGATTTCACCTGGGTATGATAGAGCACAATATTTCCCACAGGTCTGTCAAGAAGTGGGAAAAAAAACCTCTTGATGAGTGTGCTACACATCAAACATTGAAAACCTTTGAAAAACCCCGCCAGTGATAGTATGGGAGACTACTATAGAAGATAAACTCAGTTGTGTATAACCAACTATATATATATATATAATATGTACCTATAGAAGATAAACTAGGTAGCTCATTAGTATCTGTACTAGTAAGTAACAAATGTATCTCACCTCAGTTGTGTATAACCAACTGAGGTGTGTTTAGTGTACGAGAAGTCTAAACAATGAGCGTGATTATGTAAGTGTATGATTGAACGTCCACGCTATCTATTGATAACGATGTTTGACCTTCAACACTCCCCTTCAAACAGCGGTGTGGAGACTGAGCTTGGATGCAAAATGTTTGGCCTTGATGTTGGGGAGTGCTTTGGTAAGTGTATCTGCCACCATACTATCAGTGGGACAATAGAGAAAACTAATAGAACCTTGTTCCACAGAAAAACAAATAAAATGATAATGGATATCAATGTGTTTGGTGCGTGCGTGGTAAGATCCATCCTTCGTCAATGCTATGGCTGATTGATTGTCGCAGTAGAGAGTCGTTGGGTGTTTGAGTGGGCGAAAAACCTTGGAGATGAGACGTCGGAGCCAGAGGATCTCTTTCGCAGTATGTGTTGCCGCTACGTACTCTGATTCTGCCGTCGAGAGTGTTACTAACTCTTGTTTCCTTGACCCCCAGAGTATTGCTCCCCCATCTACGAGCAGTGCGAAGCCAGTAATTGCTCGTCGATGTTCTTGGGATGCACCATCTGCATCAGCATAGCTGAGGAGTCCGCTCTTCGTCATTCCAAAGGTAAGTGCCCACTTCTTTGTGCCCAACAAATAACAATATACTCTCTTCACCCCTTCCCAGTGCGCCCAGCCAGGGTTATCGGCGAATTGTGCCAGGGTTGAAACTGCAAACACGACGTCTGGGCATGTTCCCACTGCCAGGTACATCAATGACCCGAGTGCGGAACGAAATGGGACTCACTTCATCTCAGTGATCTGTGTTGTCATAGTGGGGGATTGATCCTTCGTGTACTGTATACTTGGATCCATAGACACCGCTGCGGGTTTGGCATCAACAAAATTGTATTTCGTGATAATAGCGTCGACGAAGGACTCTTGGGACAGCAATATGGTACATGCTTTGCGATTTCGAGTGACTTTCATACCGAGTAACCAACTGATAGGTCTTAGGTCAGTTATTTTAAATTGCGATGCGATTTTGACTTTGAACACTTTGATTAGCTCTTTTGAGCTGCTGGTTATGGTGCAGTCATCGATGTGTGCTGCGAGGATGAGTAGGTCTTCTCCTATGTGCGCTGTGAACACTCCCCAGTCACTTTCCATCTGTTCGAACCCTAGTTTGGCAAGTTCTCCACATAGATGTTTGTACCATTTTAATGCGCCTTGTTTAGATCCGTATAGTGTAACGCGAAGCTTCACAACTTTGTCTTTTCCACCAATGTCAGCACCTGGTGGTAGCTCCATATAGATCTCTTTGTCGGCATCCAGCTTGCCATTCAAGAATGCACTATGGAAATCGAAGACATCAACGTCCCAATCTTGGCGTGCGGTGACAGCGAGGATCAGTCTCAATGATGCGAGATGAGCCACAGGTGCGTAAGTCTCGTAGTAATCAACACCATAGACTTGTGTGAAGCCTCATGCTACCAGCTGGGCCTTATACTTATCAATTTCTCCTGCAGTATTTCTTTTAATCTTGAAGACCCATTTGCAACTAATGATATTCTTGTTCCTGGGCCGCTGGACAATGTCCCAGGTGTGTGCTTCGTCGAGACTCTTTAGTTCCACACTGACGGCGTCTTTCCAGTTCGCCCAATCAGATTGTGTCTTCGCATCTTCAATGGTGCTTGGCTCCAGGCCTTCAGCCTCGCTCATTCCCGTGAACATCGCGTAAGCGGTCGGTTCTTCATCAAATCCCAATTTACTTCCTAACCCTTCTCCAGATGCTCCCATGCCTCCGCTATCTTCCTCTCTCTCTTCCTCTACCCTCTGCATGCCTCTAGGAATGATTGGGTCGCTGTCTCTACCATTGTGAGTACCTTCTCTGCTGTGCAACCTGCGCATGTATGGTGATTCTGTCCGCTGACGAGTGGATCGTCTAGGGCTGGGTGGCTGCTGTTCGAAATTTGATCCTAGTGGACCGGGTGCTGGTGCTTCTGTGCTTGAGGTAGGGGTTTGGGCAGTGTGAGGAGTTGCAGTCCCAACCTGTCTCTCGAACGAGATGTTTCATTTGACAGTGATTATTTGATGATCCTCAAGGTAAATTTGGTGTGCTCCACTTTCAGCATCAAATCCTACCCACCGGCCTTCATGTGCTCTCATATCCAGCTTCATTCGAGTGTCATCGTGCACCCATACACGAGTGCCCCAGACAGGTAAGTCTGTGAGGTTTGGCTTCTTACCATGCAGCATCTCATATGGGGTCTTGCCGTCTAGCGTGCGCGTGGCTGTGCAGTTTTTTACATAGACCGCATGCATAATAGCCTCTCCCCAGAGGAATTTCGGTAGTCCACTTGCATGCAGGACTGCACGGACTCGTTCAATGAGGGTCTGGTTCAGCTGCTCAGCAACACCATTGTGTTGTGGTGTGTTGTGAGTGGTAAGTTTTCGTTCTGTACCTTTTCTGCGAAGGTGTTGGCTGAACTCGTCAGTACTCTCCACCATGGTCAGAGCGTAAGCACTTGATATTGGCCCCATGCTGAGTCTTCAGCCATGCCTCGTAAGTCTTA